TGGCGATAGAACGTCTATACTGCTTAACCACCTCTACGATGGCTCTCGACACCTTCCCATTGCGCGTAAAGACGGCAACATTTGTGATACTCCCGAAGACATCACGACCAGCGTCCACCAAGGACACAGGCCTATCAGCCTCTTGTCAGCTTGGCAAAGCAGCTGAGGCGCCCATACTACCCGCTTGAAAGCAGTTGTTGGTGCAAGCTACGCCCTGCTAGAGTTCCAAATGGATATCGACGAGGACACTCTACGACTCCACAACCCCTTCGCATGAGAGAATGGAGGACCCGTGCATTCACTTTGTAGAAGGCAACGGGCGCCGTCTTTCCTGATGTCGAAAAAGCGTTTGACCGAGTTTGGCACAAATGCTTGCTTAACAAACTGGGCGCCGTAGTCCTTCCTACTATTCTCTTTAAAATGATGAAATCTTATCTTGAAGACCCCGTCTTTGATATACGCGTGGGGGATGCGCGCAGATTGCTTTATATGTGGTACGATACGACGATTTACTTGTTATTTCGCCAGCATCTGCGGTACTACCTAGCGACGCTTGCCTACTGGTGTCGCCGTTGGAAAATTAATATTAATGCGAAAAAGAGAACAGCCCTTTTTATCAGGAAAAAGCGCACTACACCCACACCGCCGCTGAATTTGAAAAAAAAAATCCCTTAATGTTTTCAGGCGAAATACCTGGAGGTTATTATTGGCTGTAAGCTCTCGTAGCAACCGCACGTAAACTATATCTAGGCGAAGTTTCAAACTCTTAACCTTTAGTTTGAGCCCGAACCAAATTTTCGCTGCACAATACCATGACGCTCTTGCATTTGTTGTGTATCCGCCAATCATGATATACGCGTCAATGCCTGAGTCTACGTGTCACCGGTAATAATCTGTTCGCGTCAATTGAGACAAAACAAGCTGCTACGCCTTATGACGGGCGCGCCGAGGTTTGTTCGCAACGATGCCTTACATAAAGACTTTGAATCTCTGGGTAATGTTTTTCGACCCTATGCTATCGCCACCTACGATCGGCTTAATGAGCACACCAACTGATTACTGGCAGCTAAGGTCAATACGAAATCTGGGCCGTGGCGCGCTATCGCCACCTTGCAATGGACGAAATATATAATATGGGTAAGGGTTGCTCTATGTTCAAAATATAAATATATATGAGATTGCTTTAATATAAGCGTAAAAACATTCCTGTTCACATTAAAGAAATTATTAAAAGACGATTAAAAAGAGAGTATATGGAATGGCAGCCCCCTAGTGATAAATTAGCTTTTAAAAAGATATGTAAGTTTGTTAAACAAGAATTGCGAGCTTTACGAAAAATAACATGGAAACAAAAACTGCAATCCTTAAAGCCTACGGATAACTTTTGTGGAAAAGGCAAATGTGTTCAAACCTGGAAGAAAATGGTCCAAGGTCCCTATCATTAAGAACGAGGAAGTTATCTACGCCAACTCCGTAACCCTAACCCTAACCTAACCTTTACCCTAACCCGCTAAAATTTAACGTAGACAATGTACGACACCATTATTAGAGAACAAACACGAAGCACACATCCAAGAGTAAATTTCACTATTTTTCCTTACTAATTAAAAATGAAAAACAATCTATAATCGACAAACTTAACGCTAGGAAGAGTCTGGGTCCTGATAAAATTTCAATTAAGATTTTTAAAAGTCTACTTATAACCGCAATTAATTACCTTACAGTGCTCACTAACTAGTTTATTACGCATGGTTATTTTCCTATAAGATGGAAGCAAGCTGAACTTGTTTTTATCCCGAAATATCTCGTCCAAGTAATTACGCTAAAGGTTATCGCCCTATTAGCCTACTTTCCTGCTTAAGAAAAGTCGAAGTAGTTGTGCTTCTTCTAAAATTGCAAAAATTTATTGATGATGAAAGTTATTCCAGCTCATCAATTTGGTTTTCGAAGAGGTCACTCTACCACTTAACAAATCATAAGGTTAACTGGAAGCGCAACTAATACCCTTAATAAAAAGAAATCCTACTCTTATGGTTTTTTTAGACATACCGAAGGCATTCGACAAGGTATGGCAATAAGAGGCTTATATATAAATGGTCAGATGTGCATTGTCCGCGTTCATGATACGAATAATAAAATTATACACCAGCAGTAAATCCTTCGGTACGTATAGGAACGTAACTATCAGCTACCGAACTACTTAACGCTGGGGCCCCAAGGGGGTTTTAATTTTCTCCTTTAATCTTATCATACATGTCTGACACACCTCCCCATACCGCTCAAACCTCCTTGGCGTTGAACGCCGATTATACAGCAGCTCAAAATCTCCACCTCTTTCAATCAAATATATGCATTCTACCTTAACTTTTCTGGAGGTTGGTTAACAACGTGGAAGTAACCGTTATTTCTTTAAAAAGCCACGCCATGCTTATCTCGAAGAAAAGAAAGAAAAGGGTACTACAAGACTTATCTCTTTTTCTCGCCTGGTAGCCAAGTCAAATACCTTGGGGTTATTACTGATAACAAACCTACTTGGGAGGCTCTCAGTGAATATTTGGTTTAAGTAAATTAAAAATACAATACACGCTTTATATACTCTTCTAAGCAAAAATCGTGGTTTAACCTTTATAACAAACTAATAATCTCTAAAGTTATTTTAAGACCAGTATTGGGTTATTCATCAGACCTGGGTCTGTTCCTCGACCTCCAATATAATAGACTGCAACTTAAGCAAAATAAGTTTTTAAGAATGTTTACAGAAGCTCCTTGGCATATAAGACGCTCCCAATTACATCGTGAATGCAAACTGGTACAATTTTGAAGTTTACTAAGCGCTTAGCTGAGGACTCCATAAAAACATCTGAAAATCATTGTAATAAATTACTAGCTAAATCCCTAAAGTACGCCTCCTCTCACTTCTCTAAATATGGACGACGAAACATTTTTTTAGCATGTTCGATAATAACTTTAAATGCAAAATTTTTACTGAAAAAATAAAATAATAATTCTGATAAATAGTGGTGAACAAATAGCAATAACAATATATTAATAATACCTATGTCAATAATGTAATACTCATAAAGCAAATGAAGGCTTACTCACGATCTAAAATTTTGGAAAAGAAAGTTGTCCTCAGTAAGTAATTATTATTTTGGCAATTTTACTTCAGGGACATGGTTTAAAAGCAGCATTATGCAAGAAGAGAACCCTTTCGAACCCTCTCACTTCAAGGAATGCAGATCAAGCAGTTTAAGATATCTTACTTATAACGTCTGTAGCATGCTAGTGCAATAAATAAATAAATAAGCTTAAAGTCAATGTGCATGCTATCACTCTGTTGAGAGCTCGTAAATTTGTTGTTCCCCTTTTTCGACCCTATCGAGCACCTGGAAATACCCTTTAATAAAAGCAAGGTATAAGCTTAACTCCTTCTCTATTTACTATACTTTTCTCATAAGTTTTTAAATAACTCAATTTATTTAATAATAAATGGTATAAGCAAAAGGTTTATTTCTTTTTAATAATGAAATAAAGACTTTCCATGTATATGCTTAACTTCTGCTTTATTTCACTATTCTTCTTTTTAAGTTTTATTAATGATTCGTTTTATTAATAATTATGAAAAGGAAAGAGTGGTTTACTAATTTTTACTAAAAAGGCAAAAGGTTTTATATCTTCTTTTGTAAGTGTTATAAACAACTCGTTTTATTAAGAAATAAAGCAAAAAGTAAAAATTCTTTATAAGAAAAAGTTTTGCGAGTATATGCTAAACTTCTGCTCAACTTACTATACTTTATTATAAGCTTTATTAACAACGCGCTTCACTTAGTTGAGATACATTAGTTCTTAGAAGAAACTTTAGCTTAAAGCATATTGCTATTTTCTCATATTCTCCAGTAAAACAACAATGACAATAAGTAACTCGAACTATTAAGCTGTACGTACTTTAATAATTCTTACATTTTAACCTGATTATAATAATGCAATAGTTAATTATGAGGGCATATAAAATCTAGAACTTAATAATATTAAAAAAAAAGAGAATTATTTTGGGCCATAACAATTTTTTAAAATGAGGCATATTGTTGTCTTTATAACCTTCGAATCTAAAACGTTAAGTGTCGAGAGTAAAAAATAAGTAAAAGTTGTTAAAAAAAAATGAATTAGTTCGACTGATCTAATAGAGTCTTAAATTTTAATATTGTTCGTAAAATTACTTTACGTGTTAACGCAAGCAAGGAAAAAGAGCTTTTCTTCGAACTTACTTTCTGCAAAGAAAAGGTTGAACGTAATATTAAATTTATTAACCTTACCTCAGTTTAGTGGTTTTTAAAAAACATAAATCCGTTACATTTTAAATTATTACTAAAGTAAACATGTTAAGGTTACTTTAAGTTCGTTACGTTAATATAAAATCCTTCTTCTTTTTTTAAAAATTTTTAAAATACCAAAGCAATGTTACGAAATTAAAAAAATATGTTAATAGAAAACTATGATAATATACCTCGTTCGCAAATGACTTAAAAAGTGGGAAAAAGCAGTTTTTAGGAAGTATAATGAAACGTTAAGCTCTTAAATTAAATTTATTTAAATTAGCTGGATGTTTAAGGTGAAACAAAATGCTATGTCTTCTGCAAAAAGATTGAGTTTAGTGTTCGAGAGTAATGAAGAAGAGCAAAGGAAATAGATTTAAGCCCTGTGAAAGATTGGGAAGATCAGCATAATAATTCTATTACATTTTAAGAATGCCGGAAATTATAGTCTTCAAGTTTTACTGAAACTGCAAAAGCTAGAATCTGTCAAAAAGTTTCTAAAACCTTAGTAAAACCAGTTGTTGCTAATATAATAAATTTTTTCGAGGCAAATACATAAATATTAGAAATAAATTAATTTAGATCCAAACTTTTCTTAGTAAAATTTTGTCTTAGTTATTAATAGGATTATTCTATTATAACACTAAAACAGCTTTCAAAAATTTGCCTACTAAAAATAGCTAATTAATAGTTTATAGTCATTTTCGTATTGTTGAGGGAAAACAAGTTCTGAAAAGAAGTGTGCATGTAGCAAGCTTCCAAGCATAGGAAAAAACTCCTCAAGCTGAATTAGCATTGTTTACTAAAAATGTGATACCAGAAGATTAGATAGATATTTGAGCATAATGTTAAAAATTCGACCTGGAGTTTGGTTACTATTCATTTACATCATCTATAGTATCGGGGCTAAACAGATTGAGTATTTTGAAACGTCGCCTCTACTCTTATTAACCATCTTGTAAAAGTAGTCTCTTAAAAATGGGAAGGTGCTAAAAAATCAAGAGGTATTCATAAATATATATGAAACGCAGTTTTTTTTCCTTCTGCATAATGAACAAAGATTAGATTATAATTTTTACTTACTAATATTATTATAAAAAGTTTTTATAAAAAATTTAAAAGTTAAATTTAGAAAAAAAAATTACATCAATTTTATAATATAAACAAAATGAAACTCTTTTCAAAATGAGGAAAACAAAATAAACATCGCTCGACTGTAAAGAGGGTAAACACAACTCCACTTTTTCCTTAAGTTCAAGTTAGCTGGCGTAAAAAGGTCAAGGAGTCCTTAGGATACCATGATGTTAGTAAAAAGCGACAGCATTACCAAACGTAAAGAATGAAAGAATAATAATTTAATGCATGACATAAAAGATAAAAAAAAAACTACGAACAAAACTAAGGCAAGAAGGATAAACATAATCGAGGTTTTTAACAGAAATGTAGGACGCGCTTTGCTATATAAAATATAACAAAAATTGTCGGGCGCAAGCCTTCTACCTGAGACTTAATTTAATTACAATAAAAACGCTAGCAAATTTATGAGAATTTTATAATAAGAGTTATGATTTTACTAATATAAAAATTAAATTTATTAAAAAATATAAAACTTGAGGTAATCTGTGTACGACCTTAGCAGTTACTGTGTTACCGTATAACTACATAGTAAACCCTAGGGCCATACGCAAACAATCATTTACCTAGTTTCCTAGTCAGGGTCGGAACAGTACAAGAGGCAACTACACCTTGCGTGAGCCTTCAGATCCTAGGAGGTCTCGGAAACTAGATACTATTATGGAATTTCTTTATTGAAGGTGCTCAAGTAGTATTTCAAAAATTAAGGTTTTACTTTTATTACTAACTGTAATAAACGGCGTAGTTTTAAGACGAATAAGTGTGATAGTATGAAAATAATAAAGTTTCTCTGTAGACACTCGTAAGGCAAAAAATAAACAGAGTGCTGAATTAGTCGGTGCTTCCCTCTAAAAAAAAAAATATAAGGGACCACGTTTGTGCGTACATTTCTATTTCCCTTCTTTAGGCCGACGAGGCTGAAACCCCACCATTAGAGCTGCTCGGGTCCATGCTATTTCATAGGACTGTTGCATATTCAAAAAGTTGTAAAGCTCCAAAGTGGTTTTCCACTACGTTCAACGCCTTAACTGACGTAAATAAAGTTACTAATTTCTAAAGAACCCATAAATGTGGTCTAATAAGTAAGGTGTTGTTTGTCGGACCGTTGATCTTTTCGGTTAGATTTTTAATGTTTGGCTAAACATACTGCCCTTTGCGGAAACTTTTTGTTCAGAACTTATGACTTTCACTTTATAGAATTTGCAGTAATTTTATATTTTTGTTTTAGTAAGTTAGGGCAGCTTAATTTTATATGGTTGCGAGATTCTTCGGGCGAAGCTCCAATAATTACTAAATTTGAAACTATTGATATTCCGATATCGGAGAGCTTGACTTCAAAAAGTGTTATTTATATTTTTCAGTTAAATTGCAAAAGCGGCCAGGAAATAATGAAAATTCGGGATTGAAGTAATACGAGTATATTTTTAAAAACCTTTTAAACAAATATTAGAATTTGACTACCGGCGTATGAAGTTTCTGCTAGTACAATAGTTTTTCTAAAATAAATAAATTATAAACTAAAATTAGGTTTCTAAAGATTAAGTAAAATTATAGTTTAGTAATAAATTAAAAAAAATGTTTATTATTTATTTTAATTTTTATTTCTTTATATATTAAATAATATTTTATAAACCCAAAATTTTAAATATTTAGTGAAGATTAAATAAAGTTTTAATTAATTAATAAATTAAAGGAAATATTATATATTTAACTTAAACTTTATTATTTATTATAATTTAAATAATTATTACATGAATCCTCATTTTCAAAATAAGTTAGTTCAGTAAAGATTAAGTAATTACTTTAAATTTACAAAATAAAAAAAAATTTATTTTCATTTTAACTATTTATAAAAATTTAATAAGAATCCCAAAAATCCAAAATTTCATAACTTGGCAATTATTATTTTTACTTACTACTTTGCCTTTACTATCACTTATGTCTGCACTCATTACTAAGTCAGTCATTTCATTGTACCCAAACGTTGACTCTCGTCTCTTGAACTATCCGATGTCGCAACATCATTTTTTCTGAATTCCTCTTATGACCCCCATTTTTGTTACTTTGCATATATTAACATTAGTAAAGTTAAACTTTTCAACTGAGTTTTCGTTAAGTAAAGTAGTTTGCTATGTATTATGTATTTTTTTTTCTTATCAAAAAACTCCTGAATATATTTATATTCTATGTTTTGTCTTTGACACTACATCATAATAATACTGAAGCTATATACTACCTGTAACTCCATTTGTAGAATATTTATATTTTTGCGTAATGCGAAGTGGCTAATGCGCGCTCACCTTTAAATTCAGTTCATCGCTAACCTTTTTTCAATTTTTTATATCTATTAAGACTAAATAAAAGTAATTAGCCCACTCTTAAGAAAAAAGACAAAACTAATTTTTTTATGTATGACTTCCTTTTGTTTATAGTATTGGTACAAGGGCCATAGAGGTAAGCTGCCTGTAGAGTTTGATTATATAACATATAAAAGTATCTTTCAAATGGAATCTAGACCCACACAAGAAAATATTAGAGCTGTAATCCTTCAAAATTTTGAGGCGTAGATGATTCTAGAGGGTCGGTATCGAGGGGCCTCATGGATAAGGCTTATTTCCCCTTATCCCGACGGCAATACTATCAAAATTTTTGAGCAATCAATTTTTAGATTACTCACTACTATTTAAAAAAGAGCAACCCGAGCGGGTGCATATATAATACTATTCTGTTTCCAATCTGCAAGCAGCAAAAAGGTCGCTCTAAGCAAAAAGCACTGATACAAATTTAACTGTACTGTCTATACAATTATTCTTGCAGCTCGGGAACAGAGCGATAGGTTACCTGCCCGTCACTCATAAGTTCTTTTTCCCAACGCTTTCTTTCGAGAGTACTTGCTGTTTGAGAGTAGCGTACTAGCTAGCATGTTTTCCTATGTTTCAATGGTTCCAAAGGATCTGCTTCATTATCTCTAAGAGGTAACTTCTACAGGCGATGCCAGTATGCAGCGCTCAAGTTTTAGTAATAAGTTAAAGAGTTGTTGCTTTCATATCTAAAGATTAAGTTAACAGACCGTACAGTAAATACAAAATTAATTTAAGTTAATGCAGTTTTTTTTAAACTAAAATTTGACAACACAAAATGGGCCATACCATTTATCGAGGGCGCTAGGTGGCTTTTACCTTGCTGAACGGAGGAAAATTCCGGGACGACCCTAGAAAAAAATGAACTATCATTATGTTTTATCAATTGTTTATCATAGTTTTCTGGGCTTTAGGAACAAAATTTATTTCCTATGTTTTAGAATGGATACGCAAGTACTCATGTTAAAAATGGCGCTTCGTCAAGAGTAACAAATTCTACAGAATTTATTCTCAGGTAAATTTTCCTTTTCAACTTAGAGATTTATGGTTCTCAAACTATACAAAACATTATTTTTATAATTTCATCTGAAACCACTAATTGAAGCCTTTGCAGAAAATTTTTTTCTTCTTAAATTTCTTTCTAAGAGAATTGAATATTAGAAATTCCTCTTAATAGAAACTATAAGAATTATTTCATATACGACCGGGTAAAACATGTTACGACTATCTAAGGGAAAAGGCTACACAGAATTCCAAAAAAGAATTCGTTTAAGATCCTCTACTCCACAAAAGTAGTAATAGGATTTAGGTATTGTTTTTTCAAAGTAGTAGAAACAATTTAAAGCATACCAATATAAAAGACTAAATTCTAAAAATTTTTTAAGTTTTCTAACTTTTCTCTTTTCCTTTCAGCTCTCTTCTTTTTAAAAATAATATTATGTCCGTAATAATCACTGAGGAGCAGAGTTTCTGAGTAACGTGGATAAGAACCTCTTCTACACTGCCCAAAAAGGTTTTTAATTTTATTAAACCAATAAATTTATAACTTACTCAATTATGAAAGCGTAGTTTATATTTTTTATAAGAAAAAATCTTAAATTGAAGTTACAGGGAATCTGGCCAAAAAATAACTTGAAGTTTTGACGTTTCTTTTCCTAAAAAAAGAAATCTCATAATTAGAAATTAAATTCGTTTTTGGTTCCAAAATTTTCAATGGAAAAATCCATTTTATACTTAAAAGCTTGACGGTTAACTTGCTAACAAGCTCCAACTCGCCTGTAGAACTTCATTATTATAGCTTTGAAGAAGCAAGAAAACATTTTTTTCTTTAACGAAGTTACTAAAATGCTATAACAATTTGTATGTATATTCCTCATTTATTTTGAGCTCCCGCGTCGATAACCATGGTTCGAACTGTTAGAATTTAATAAGCTTATACACTTTAGCCACAGCTTTTTTAAATTCAACGAAAAGTTGTAATAATTCTTCAAATTCACTCTCTGGGAGCGGGCCAATTTTCGTGTTTACCTTAAAAATTTTAAAGCAACTCAGCTCCACAAAAGTCTCGACACCAAACAAGAGGCCAACTTTTCAATCTTGATAAAATTATCTATCTCCACTATTTCGAAGTTTTTGGTGCTCTCTTTAAAAAAATTTATAGTTTTATCAGACTGCTAATTCCCCCAGTTTTTCAAAATTAAACACTTATGCTGACATCGATTTTTAATGTATAGCTGTATTTAAAGTTATAATACTCTTTGTTTACCTTAACGCTATCTATCCTTGCTTCCTAAAACCTTTATTTTCGGTAATCTAGTTTTATTTTAGTTGCTTATTTTAACACTCAAACACGTTTAAATATTCTTGTAAAAGTTTTATAACTAACGAAATTTAGTTTGATAGAAGCTGTACAGTTTAAATAATTAAGAGGTTAACCCACCCTCGTAGGTAAACTTAATGTCTACGCTAGCAGAATATAGAACTAGAATTAATAAACTTTTCATTTTTAAAAAAACTTAAGTTAAAAAGTTGCACAAGTTTAAAAAAAAACTACTGTTTTTGTGAAATTGCAAGAAAGAGTTACTAGAATTCGCAGTATCTCTCTTTTTAGCTCTAACAACTTATAAACTTAACTCACTACAAAGCTGAACAAAAATGATTTTGCATAACATATCAGTGATACGTAAACAGAGCTCCATAAAATAATAAAAGAAACCATTAATTTTAATTAATTAAAAGTGACAAACCCTACCCTTAGCTTAAGGCAGAAAAGCTCCTATTATTATAGGTTTGATTCTGAATGTAATAACACATGAAAACAGAAGTAATTTTATTAATAAATAGTTACGCTTTTTACAGTTTACACAAGTAGAAATAAATATACCAAAAGCCAGTGAGCGTAATGTAAGTTCGAAGAGGTTTTAACCCCATAGCAAACCCCCCTTTTTTGGTATAACTGTTAACCATAACTTCCTTTTGAGAAATTCCCAATGTTTCCTCAGTATTTTTACCAATAGTTGGGGAAGATCCAGGATTACATCTATTAACAGCAAGGGGTGATTTCGGATCGTCTACATTTCCATTTTTATCAAGAGTTGGAGGGTATTTTGGATTGTCCACACTTCTATTCATACCAAGAGTTGGGGGAAATTTGGATAGGCTACAAATTTAATCCTTGTATCCAAAGATTTGGGTCTACTAGATGGACATTTTTTGTCAAAAGTTTCAAAGTCTACAATGTCTCCATTGTAAGTGCAGTTTTGATCAACATAGTTTAACTGCTTGTAGTGATTCCGCGAGCAACAAAGAAACTTTTTGTCAAGGTTTACTTTACTAATAAAATTAATGGCAGAGTTAAAAATATTCAGTAGGTCGGTAATACTAAGGAAAAATGGAAGGATACATGTTATCAGGACGTAAAGATACATCAAAGGCCTTAATTTCAATCTCTGTTATTGGGTTACTTCGAAGGTTTCTAATTATATAAGAGAAAAAATAAGAAACTTATTAACAAGCAAAATAATTAATAAAAAAAAAGTTATTTTAAACTGAATTATGAAAAAACTCTATACAGTTAGAAGAAATAAAAACGCCTAATTATCTCTATTATTAGTGATTTATCCATACTTTTATTTTAATTTCTACTTACTTAACCAACCTTTAAAACATACGAAATGCCAACTTAAGAACTTAACAGAATAAAAGCGCAACAGTTAAAAACTGGGCAGGGAAAAGTGTTAGAAAACAAGGAAGAAGCAAAAAGATGATTTTAGGAGTGAAAGCAATAAAAAAATGTTCACATAATATTGTTTAAACCAGAATACTTACAGTAACCGCAGATTCTTTAGCCCCCAGAAAGAGAAAGATGGGATACGCTTAACAGAATTTTCAAAAAGTTCTCTTTAAAAAAAATGCTTAAAAATTTTAGGTTTACGTATATCTCACAATATAAATTACTCTACTATAGCTCATACTTTTTTTTAACAGAACAGTATATATTTCGCACAAGTTCTTATGTGTAAATAAATATTTAATTTACGAAAAAGGTGTATTTTAATTATTAGCAGTAAAGGAAAGGATGTGAAGCTAAGAGAAAGTAAAAGAGGAGCTATCACTTTATTTTCCTATAAAGAAAAGTTAATTACCCCTTCAGAGAGAATAAGGATGTAACTGAAAAGGTGGAACAGAAAACACGAAAACACTAAGCAAGCTAGCACATGGTATACACCTTAATTATCAGAAATACCTCTAAGCCGACTAATAGCAATAGCTGCATCCTAAGAACAAAATAGCCTATCGGATATATCTTTACCATGAGGCTGTCTATATGTATTGTACTGTATATTTATAAACTTACAAATGATACAAGGCGCTAAGGTGAGAGAATGAGTCGTCCTTCATAAAGCCAATCTTGTTACTCCATAAAGTTCTACAAAGAGTAAAAACACTTATTAACAGTGCTTAAGTCCTTCAGAAACAGTGCATACAATTATAAAGTCTCATAATCAAAAAGAAAGACGTGACTAAATGATAATTCATCTAGTAAGGTAAATAACATACTCTAACTTATTACAATTGTAATAAGCGATGTCTTATAACAGCTATAGACTTACAAATAAGTTAAACTGGAAAGACCAAAGAGCATTTCTTTGCTTACGAAGGTAAGTTGGTTAAAACTTAAATCCCTTGGTAATATTCATATGTAATAATAATTTAATTTTAAGAAAGTTAAAATTGATCATTATTACTAAGATTTCGTCTAAATCTATAAGGGGCCTTTTTATTACTGAAAACAAGTAAACTAAAAATCATAAACTTTAAACTATAATAAAAATTAGCTTTGTATAACAACGTACAATCTACGAAGAGCAGTTAACTTAGCAAACGAGTAGTTTTCGATATTCTCGATGAAGTTCGAAAAAAGACACCTATTATATTAAGCTGTTTGAGGTTTAAAATGTTATAAGCCATATCTTTAACTACTAGTTAATTAGAGACTAAATATTATAGTTGTGTGACGTTGTGATATTGGCCAACTTACAGTTCAGTCAGTTGAACGAAGTTTGAAAGCATGCCTTTACTAATAAAGGTAAATTCATTGTTTCTCGATATTTCGCTTAATTATATATAAATAAAAATTAAGTTATGCTCTGAGTACAAGCAAAACTGTTATAATTAACGTAGTAAGGTAATATCTGCATACCTTCCTACAAAATTACATGGAAGTTATATATATATTTAAACAGGATCACTCTATATTTTCACTGCCTTGAAGGTCAAAAATAATTAATATACTATACAATAATATGGGGATTTAAACTACTGTATAAAGGCGTTTATAGTGTAGGTTTGTCCGCCTTAATAAAAAGTTAAAAAAATTAATGATCTATTGAGATACACTAAGTGCATTATTCCTAACTTTTAGGCTAGACTTTTGCTAAAAAAAATTGCTTATAATGTCTCCTTAAAACAATAGAAACAGTCAAATGCAAACAAATACAGTCTTACCAAGAAGAAAAACTTATATTAAGAGTTAAACCTTACAGTATCGTGAGATCCATTGGTATTTTCTCTACATCGGGTGGAAAAGTTGTAAGATTGCAGCCCTTTAAACACCTATTAATATTATGTGCATTAAAAACGTAGGTAGGTTTTGTGTAAATCATCATATTTATAAGGTTTTAATAAATACCCAACAGAAGTTGAGATATTTTATTAAAGGCTATTAATAAAAATGATGACTAAATTTTGATCATATATTCTATTTTATGATGCTGTGGAGTAAACAAAAACGTTAAACAGCAAGAGTCCTTACAACTTCGTAAGGCCGGTGAATGGTCCTTGACATGTAGGTGAAAGACCCTCAGCAAAACACTGCGGTGGCACTGTCCCTCCCTGAGGAACAGCAAAGAATAGAAGGGCGAAGACGCTACCCAGACGCAGCATACCGAAAAAAAAAAAAAAATAACCGACGTTAACGCTGTGTTGACTCTCATATATACTTGTTGAAAAAATGTTAATCCACAATTTACTACTTGCCTCTGTTAAAGCATCTTTTTGAATAGATTAACGTATTCGGTTGGCGCTCCTTTCATATATTGTCAAACAAAAACCACAAATCTTTTCCTTTATTTAGCCTCTCTATTATAAATATCAAGCTAACTTTTTTTATATATGAAGCTTAAATTAATTTTATTTAAAACTCAAACTAACAGCCTTATTTAATAGTTTAAATATAGTAAGTAAAAATAAGAAAAGTTGTAACAAGTTTATTTAAAAGTTCTTACAGTAAGCAATTTAACATGAGTGTTTAAACATTACGCGTAATTTTTTAATAGTCATTAAAAAATATTAGTTATTATACTTATATAAAACGCGGTGTATAATACTAACCACAAAATTACAAAATGAGCCTTCGATAAATAATCAGATTCATTTTAATGTCGTGTAATTGGTAGATTCAGGTGGTTTTTAAGTTGCCTTCCGCTTTTTATTAGTTACCAAATAAATTAGGGCTTACATATTGCTAACATTAATTTTTGGTTTACTTAGTACTTTATATTAACTAATTTTAAGGTGGTAAGAAACATTTGAAATGACAAAATATTAGTAATTCAACTATCACTTTACCTTTATATACTATAATAACGTTCTTAAACACGTACTTTAATAAAGTGGAAGAAGGAAAGACTTTGCGTCACTAAGTTTGTGGCACTTGAGGAGGTTAACACCTTGCCATCACTGCTGGAATAATTAAGTGGCAACTCACTTTTGTTCTCTTACAGTATCATTTCTTAAAGATAAAAACTTTAAAACAGAAACTATAGCCTGCTGCTTGTTATTTTGTTATTTATTCATTTTTTTAAAATGTACTACATCAATCTAGTCTATCAATCTAGTGCTGAAGAAATTTAGTTTTTAACCTCAACTTTAAAATATATTAAATAAAATTGTCCATGTAGTTAATATTTTTTTTTAAAAAAGAAGGTATGTATATGTACTTATTATGTCGGCTTAAATTCTTAATATTTTCAAAAGAATGTAAATAAGGTTATGCAATTATGTGAGGAAGGCACAGTTCAGTCAACCTTTTCACTGTTACACAGATGTTGTACAAGTTGTTCTATTAAACCTTTTCTATGAGCCGAATTAAATTTTATGTACATAGTATGATTATAATTTTTTTTTAAAAATTATTAAAGTGAAGAGCAAGTACAAGTATTATATATTTCGAGAAGCTTACCTTACTTTTTGTTCCATTTTGCCTGTTTAAGGAACGCATTTAACTTCTTTTAGTTCTACTTATGAGAATTTACTTTTTTTGTTGCAAGTAAACAATTATAAGGACTCTTTGCTACTCCTTCCTTATTTTCGATTTATTTTTTTTACTTCCTGTTGAGTTGTTGAAACTTAGATGGTTAAAGAATTTTATTATCCTAGTAATTTAAATTAACCTTTAAAGTAACTTATTGTTAAAAACCTTACACCTTCTCGAAAATTACTGAAACAATTAATGTGTAATATATAAATTAGTTGAATATTGAGGTATCTACTGTTGATCAAAATCACTTGTCTCTCATGAGTCAGTTTAACAGGCAAAAAGATATCTCACTAACCAAATTGAAGTATAAAACCTAGTTACAGTTTGAAACTGTAACCAGTTCTTGTACTCGGGGGTGCCCTTTGATGCTTTCGCACCTGTCTTTTAATCGATTGGCTAAGTGGACTATATTCTATCGATCTTACATATATTCCTTAAATCTTACAATTATTAAAATATAACCTTTTATTGCTCTACAAGCATATATTTTAACATTTTTAAGATTTTCTGATTCTCAACTCTAAGTAAGCTATGGGTGGAAGCTGATTAACCTGATTAAAACATTTACACTATGCTGAACGCATAAATTTTTCGGTTGGCGTTATATAGTAAGTGTAAATAAGATTGAGTCCTTTAAAATGGAAGTGCAAATCTAATAGGTTGGCTAGCTACGGGCTATTGGCAATGGCGACTTTTTTCCATCTTGTAGGAAAGGAGCCAAGCAACATTACAGAAATTTGTAGAAGACAAACAGGTGGCTACTAGCCTCCGATGGGGATTTTTTAGCTTCTCGTTAGTACACGATTGGCGCGTCACTGGTGTCAAACCTTCGTCCCTAAAAACAGACCAAGTTGGAGGTAGGTAGGTCGGCCAAAGAGCACCGCCTTATCTTCCTCACTTCTAGCCAATATAACGCCATTATTAAGTGGGGGAGGTGATGTTTGGTACCTTTTTTTATTCATTTGGCAAAGCGTTAAAAAGATGACCGTTCTTTGTCGGCCGCTACAGCAACTCCTGCAGTGTTTCGCCCCCAGCAGTTGACCAGCTTTTCTCTAATTAGTAATGAATATTTAGATCCAGTTTGTGGTCAGGGGCTTTCAGTAGCAGCGGTAGGCATATCATCCAGCGGCGTTGACCAATAAATTTCATTATATAAAAATTCGTCAGGTGAACGAAGGCGAACGCTACTTCCCGGTAGTATCAGTCGCTGTTAGTTCGCTTTAAGAATGAGCAACTACGTCTTTTTACAAGGAATGAATTGAGAGGTTAAAATGATCCTTTCCGTTTCTCACATTTGTTTGTAGACGTATGAAATTTTCATATAAAATATACCATACTAATTTAATTTAAATTTAAATTCCTCCTTTACGAAATATACTTAAATTAAATATTCTTTTTATTCACTTTTAAAAAGCAGTAAATAACCAATTTGAGACCGCTTGCTCCATGAATGTAAAAATAATTAAAACACACAAAAAGAGAGGATTGGCAAAAACTTTATTATAAAAGATACCTTTGCAGTTGGTTTTAAGAGTTATGTTACAGAGAATTGGCAGCTTACTAAGTACTACACTAATTAAAGCCTTAGATAATACTATTAAAGTAGTAACGAATGTTATATCTGGTACTATAGCTCAAAAATACTCCTCGGACAAAATTTTTAAATTTTTATTTACAATTGCAGTACTTAAAGAGCACTAGTTTGTTTTACAAAAAAGTGAGTGTGTGCACGACACTTAATTAATTTTCTTAGTTTACTAGTCGCGGGCTTTATGTATATATAAATAGGCACTACAGCTATACAGTTTACCTAAAAAAAAACTAAAAAAGTGATCCACCTGTAGCACTTTGGCAAAATAAAAGTGCCTTAAGCGCCTAATATGCTTATTTAAAGCAATGTTACATAAAAACAATTTTCTTCCCAATGCTCAAGATGTAATATATCGTCCTTTTTTTTTTTTTTTACAATAAAGTTTACCAATACAAAATATAAAAATGATTCAATTAAACCCTTAAGTTAAGAGAAAAGTCTGTCAGAACAACTACTTGAAAGGGCTTCCTTTGTTGGGTTGCCAACGTGCAATGCTTAACGGCTTTACCACGTGCATGACTACGTGTCATTCACATTCTTCTTTTCCTACTCTTAATTACTTCTTTTTCTAACTTTTCTCTATAAGGTAATGTTTAGGACCCTTATAATATTACGAAATAAGCAGGAAGGAGGTAATTCAATAGAAAGATTAATGAGGTTTTTCAAATTGAATTAACCATTTTACAGCAGACTCATACTCATGACGTAAGTTTCGCACAAACTAAAGTACGTTAGTATCTGGAGCTGTTAATATATGTATATATATGCTACGGATGCGTAATTCGTAATCAGCCTGTTATAGCTCTTTGTTTATGAAAAGTTTTTTTTTAAGATTACTTCTAAGCATAATAAAATATAGAGCGAGAAAATAGTAAACACAAAATAACACGTGCACTGACAAGAGATTAAGGCAGAGTCGCATGGTATAGCAGCACGAGGTATGAGCGAGTGGTCATGTGGCATAAAAGCACATGGTGTAATGAACAACGTGGTATGAGCACTTGATTTACGGGAGTTCACTCCAAGATTATTTCCGAATTACCAATACAAAAATCCAATAAATTCTTTTGCACTAATTTACTTCTAATAAAGTTTCATTTTTTAGTAAAAATCTAATAAATAAGTAACTTCTGCTATATCTTCAAATAAACATGGCATATTCATTATTTATTACTTGTTAATTTTTTTTTAATTGATTAATAAATTTATTATACCGCCAAACAAGTTTATTTTTAAAAAAGTTATAACGGAAGTGCCGCTCACGCCCGAGAAAATCGTTCAAGAAGACTTTGATAATAACTCTATTATTATTATTATTATTAATTATTATTATTACTATTATGAGTATATAAACCTCAAGCTCTTTATAAAGTTGATCTAATAGAAACAGCTTTTCTTCTTTATTTAGAGTTTCCAAATGAGACTTATAATTATAATAAATCTTTCTTTTAACCATCAATCGATAATTTTTATAGCATTCTTTATCGCTTCGATTAGTTTCCTTCAGTTTGATAATATCGTATATTTTTCTTATTTGATTCTTGAAAGAGTTTATCATAAATTATATAAATTTAAATGAATAATTATAATTTATAATAGAAAAGCTTATATATAAAATAATAACGATAAACTTTATTTATTTTTAACTTCCTTTGAACGGCTTTCATAAATTCACCAGTAAATTTTAAAGGGATGGAGATATCTAACCAATCACAGTCAAAATAAAAAGGTAACCAATAGGAGATCGAATAAAAACCTTTGCACTGCCTATCAAAATTTATCAAATCAACTAGATCGCGAAGGTTTTGAAATTCAAGTGATGCATCTTCAACTTTATAATAATAATAATAATAATAATAATAATAATAATAATAATAATAATAATAATAATAAACGACGGAAAAGTTGTAAAAAAGTAAAATAATATAAAATATTCACGAGAAATACTGATAATTATAACAAGTATAGTAAATAACATTATAATAAAACATACTTACAAAAAATTATAAGCTAATATTTTTTTAACATAAAGTTTTAACAAATAAAAATAATAAATAGTAAAATAAAATATTTAGAAATAATATTAATTAAAATATTTACAAAAAAGGAGAAATATAAAGTTTAAAAACGATGTGGATTCAGTATTGAAACTGTAATCAGTAAAAAATTATTATATAACCAAAAAAGTAGAAAAATTCACTATAAGTTTTCGGAAAATAAATATGAAAAGCAATTTTAACGATAAAATTAATTAATCACAAATTATAATGAAAAAAATAATTATTAAAAGTTTTAAAAAAATTTAATTTTAACAATCGTTGTTTCTAGTTAAAAAGGAACCAATAAAAATCAGATCAAAAAAACACCAAAACAGAAACTTTTATTATTGGCGTGCTGAGTGCTAAATGTGAGTCCGATTAGTTAATATAAACGATATTGGGAGAAACCATAATTTATAAACCAATTAAGATTTTTAATTTTTTTTGCGCCAATAACGAGTTCAACTTTTATGAAAAACATATAAAGTAGTGAACAAACCTGTAACCTCAACAACTTCCTTATTGGATAGGCAGTCGTCATAGATGCCCTGCAGCAGTTTTCCTTATAATAATAATTATTATTATAAAGAATAATCACTGTATTATTACTATTATACTTGTTTTTATAGAAAAAAAATATATTATCTTTTTACTTTATTGTAGTTGTAAAAGTTTTTTATATCCTCGACAGAATTTATATGTAAATTAATAACAACAAATGCATTATTTAATTTATTATAATAATAATAATCAACGAACTTCCAAAGCCACACTTTTGATAAGGCGGTAATATAAGGAATTGACTAGTATAAAAAATATATTTTATAGTTTATAAAATATATTAAAACTATTATTTATTATTTACTCATTATATAAATTTCTATAAAAATAATAAAAATATATAAATTTATTAAAAATTCAATGACTATTCAAAAATAATATTAAATATTGTCTATATTTATTTATTACTTATAATTACTTTTATTATAATTATTTATTTGTTTAAAAAATATTATTATATCATTCAATATTTAAAAGTTTTATTAAATTTTTTATTTATAATTAAAAATTTTTTTAATACAAAATTTAGTTTATAATTATTTTCTATTTTCTTTTTATATGATATTTTACCTTACAGAAACTTTTATTATAAATATTATAAATAAGTATTACATGTTATTATAGTAAATATTGTTATCAAATAAAAATATTTTATTCTTATTTTTTAGTTACAAAATATAAATAATATCATTACATTTTTGTTAATATTATAAAAATTTATTACGCTATTTTATAGTTCAAAGAATATTATCTTGTTTATTAATAATTCATTTATCATTGTAAAAAAATATATATTTTTTTTAATACCATAATTATTATATACAATATTATATTGATATTTATAATAACATAATAATAATTATGTATTTTTTATTAGTTATAATCATTTTTTTATTAAATAATAAAATTCTTTAAAAAAAATAGTATAGTAGTAAAAATTTTATAAATTTTATAGTAATTTATAATTGTGTTAATTTTTATATTAAATTTATATGTAATATCTAATATTATTATTTATTTATTATTTGAATAATAATAAATTTCAAGAGTAAATAATAAAAAAGTATATAGTTTTTATATATTTTACTTATAATAATTATTAATATAAAAGGAAATATATATTAATAATTTTATAAAAATAATTCATATTTACGCGATAATAAGTAGTAATAGTTAATATATATATTTACTTATTATTATTTATAATATAATAAATTTTTGTAGATTTATTATAAAAACGTTTATTTCTATTTTAATAAAAAATAGAATTTACTACTAATGAAGATTTTTTATTTAGTTTATGTAAATACTGAAAAATATATATTAATATAATTATTATTAATAAAAGTTCTTATGAACTTTATACTTTACATATAATAAAATAGTCGTGTTATTATCATTATTATCATTATTGTTTTATTATATTATAATTATTATATAAAGTTTCCTTATTCGAGGCCTTTTATGATTAGGAAAAGCATAAAAAGAATAAACGGTAGAAAAGCCAATAAACTTCCAAAGTTTCGTAGAAGGACAATTAATAAATCTTTAATATATAAAAAAGTGTTTATTATTAAATATAATAATAAAAATATTATAAATATCTATAAAAATAATAAATATTAATATTAAAAGAGAATATGCAAACTGAAGAATAAAAAATAAGAAAACTTTTATTATTTTCATTATTAATATAATAATAATGAAAATTTTAATAAAAATAATAATAACAATAATATTATTTAATAAAATTTATTAATAACAAAAATATATTTTTTTATATTTATAATAAAAATATAAAGTAAATATTTATATGTCCTCTTTCCTATAAATTTTAACATCTATAAATAATTCATATAAATATAAAAAGAAAATAACAAAAAATTCTTATTATTATATTATTTATTATAATATAAATAGTAATAAATCATGTAAAAATAAATAATTATAAAAATTATATAAATTTTCTTATAAATAATTTATAAAATAATAATAATATAATAAAATAATAATAAACTTTTATAAAGTAAATAAATATTATTAAAAATAAAGTAAATAAAAATGTTAAGTATTAAATCTTCATAAAGGTAATAAAAATATTATAAAAAAAAAATAATTATTATGAAGGAGTGTACAAGTAAATATAATAATATTACAAATTTTATTAAATTATTATTATTAAGAAAATGAAAAAAAAATAATAATAAAAATAAAAAATATATAATAAAAAATTATTATTATAACAAAAGTTTTCATTGAAATGAATAGCAAATATATAAAAAAGCTTATATAAAAAATTTAAAAAAATTTAATAATATAAAATAACAAAATATAAAAGTATATAAAATATAATATAAAAAGTTATTATAAATAAAATATAAAAATAATCAAAAATAGTTATAATAATAAAAAATACAAAATAAATATAAACTCAATAAAAATAATATAACTTTTAAAAAAGTTTTTTATATAAAAAATAAAGAGTATTATAAATACGAATATAAAAAATAGAAAAACTGAAACCAATAATAATATATATTATATAAAACTTTACAAGAAATAAACAGTCCAGTTCTGATCATCAGCTTCAATAAAATTCGCACCATCAATAAAAAAAACTGAAAAAGTTTGAATTCTGCATAAAAAAAATAAAATATTAATATGTATAGAAAAGTTTATTATAAATAATATAAAAAGCTGCTTATTATAATAATAATAATAATATCTTAAAAACATAAATACTCAGAGAAGGTTTTTTTTTTATTAATATATAAATATTAATAATATCAAAAAATATATAAAGTTTTACTTTTCTTTCATAAAAGTAAAATACTATAATAAATTATTATGAATCAGTATGTGGTATTTTTTACTTTTCTTTATAAATAGAAACTTTTATATTAAAAAATAAAAATAAATCAATAATTGTAATAATAAATATTAAAAATAAAAATAAAATAAAAATTGTTATATAAATAAAAATATATAAATCAGTAATTCTTATTATAAATATTCATAGTAAAAATATAGCAATAAAGTTTCGTTAAAATTTTTTTTTTTCATAAAAATAAGTAAAATATTTTTCTTTGAATATTAAAAATAAAAAAATATTAAAAAAAGTTATAACCAAAAACTTCAACTAATAAAACTTTGCAAAGTCTTACAAAAATCTCGATCATGTGGAAAACTACATTTCTTACTTTTACCACGTGACCCGAGTTGGTTATTATTTTTTATGGCATTCCACCTCCGCTGGGTAGTTCCTCTTATTACTAGTATTAGTACTATTTAAACTTAACAGTAATTTACATATACACTTCTTTCTAGTAATAATAATGAAAGTTTAATTATTTAAAAAAATAACGAAGTCAAAAGCTTTTTTTAATGAAAATTAGATGCAAACGTGCCACATTTAAGTGAAAAGTACAAAAGGTAGACATAATATATATAACATTATTATTACTATTATTATTATTATTATTATTATTATTATTATTATCATTGTAATTATTATTATTAAGTTATAGTAAACTAAACTATTTTCACTATCATTGGCCTATTTTTATGATTCCAAGCGCAGTGTCGCTAACACGTGCTCACTAAACAATCATAAAAGCCGGTGGAGTTCAACTGATTAATAAAGAAAATAAAAGACCCATTGGAAAACTCTTTAATATTAATGCTTTACTTAAAGTAATTTCCGGACAACAAAAAAGCTAAAGCCAATCGCTACCGCTCAAGTAGCACCCATGAAGAACGGAGCATATGGTATTATTAGTAGAAAATTTTGTTGTTTTATGTTAAAAAAATATTAAAATAAGAAAAGGATAAATATATTTATAAACTTTTTTTTAATAATGATTTAATACTTTTTTTAGTACATTATTAATAAGACTTTTCATAATTAAGGTTATCAATATATATAAAAAAAAGATAGCGATTATTAATTATTATTATCATAATTTTTATTATTAGTAATAACAAATATAATCAAAACATTATTATTTCTAACTACCAATCAAAAAAGGAAAAAGGTACTAAGATATAAAGGGCTCCATTGGAAAATATCTTATTAAGAAAAATATATCAATAAATAAACTTTAAAAGAACTAAGAGAAAAATAGAAAAAAGAAAGTTTTCTATACAAAAAAAGTTTTAGAAAAAGTAAATAAAAACGAAACTTTTATTATTATTTATAGAAACAAAGTAAATATTGTAGAAAAATATAAAAAGTTTAAATAAATGATAATAATAAAAATATAATTTAAAAGTCTTCTACTATTTTTTTTTTTAATAAAAAAATTTATAAAGTATTTTTATTTAAAGAAAATAATATATAACAATAATAACTATAAAGTATAAAAGGTTTAATAAATTTATTTCAAGTATTGACTGTCATTTTTTAATAAAAATAATAAAATGTTTATAAAAAGTTATAAATATATAGTAATAAAGTATGTAATTTTTTAAATAAAAAAGTATTGACTTATTATTTTTATAATAATAATAATATACAAAAAAAAGTTATAAATACTATAATAAAAAGTATTAATAAATAATATTATTATGGATTTTGTTCCTTTTTACATATAAAAGTATTGACTTTTTTTATAAAAAATAATAAATATAAATATAAAAAAGTGCAAATAATATTATTATTCTCAATTATTCCGTTTTAAAAATATATAATAATAATATAAGACTTTTAAAAAAAATAAAATAAAATAAAATAAAAAAAGTAACCGCTTAAAAAATTCTTTAACATCAGTAAGTTGAAGAGAAGATTTTCGAATCTGATAAGTAATACGGTTTTTGTCGCTGAAGAGCTTCTTTAGTATAAAAAAATATAAAAAACAATATAAAACTTTAATAAATATATAAAAAACTTTAGAAATAATAATAATAAAATGAATACATTTAAACAGTATAAAAAAACTTTAATATACTAATAAAAATGAAAAAGAAATATAATACAATAATTATTAATATTAAGTATAATATAATAATAAGGACCTGGCAGGACGCCTGCCTCAGTAGTGTGGAACCTTCAAAAATGAGTTCACCTCCAGAAAATAATAATGTTATTAAAAGTTATATAAAAAGTGTTTTTTTGTAAGAAATAATATTTATGAGTGTTACTTATAAAGAAAATAAAAAGTTTTGAAAATTATATAATAATAATATTTAGATTATTAATAATAAAGATAATAAAAAGTCGTTATTAAAAGTTACCAAAAATAATATTATTAGTATTGATAATAAAGATAATAAAGAATTATTAAAAGTTATATAAAAAAGGTTTCCTAAAAAATAATAATCATAAAAGTATAAATAGAAATAATAAAAAGACTAGAAATTTTTAAAAAAAAATATTTTTAAAAGTATAAATTTTAATTAAAATAAAAAGTTTACAATAACAAAAATTTTATATATAACAAAAAAATTACAGCAAAAAAGTATATTATAATAAAAAAAAAAGGGAGTAATAAAAATGTTTTTAAAAAACTAATTATGAGTAAAAAAATATTTTTTATACTTCACATTTTTATGAATTTTATCAAATATTATAAAAACAAGAAAACTTTCAAGTAAATATAAAAAAAACTTTTTTCTTTACATTCTCATAAGTATTAATATAAAAATCTTTTCTAGTTCATATTCATAAATATTGCCGAATAAATATTAAAAATAAGCAAACTTTTAATGTAAAAAAATAAATAAACATATTTCTTTATTAGAAACAAAGGTTTAGCTATAATTTTTATTCTATTATTATATATAAAAAACACTTTTATTTCAGCAAAAAGTTTATTAATAATATAACTTTCCTATAAAAAAATATATTTTTCATAAAAAAAAGTAAAAAATTATAAGAATTTGTAAAAAGTGTACAAAAATAAAACGTTCATCGTAAAAATTTTCATATAAAAATATATAAAAAAAATAAGATATATATATAAAAACTTATAATATTATAATATATATATATATATAAGAAACCTATAAATATATTTAATATTATAATAAAAAAATATTATAAAAATAACAATATTTTACAGTGTACGTCTTTTATATTTTTATACACTTTTTTATTAGTAAAGCATATAAATGTAATAATAATAAGGAAAAATAAAAAATTAAAATCTTCTATTACTTTTATAAAATTTTATAAATATATAAAATAACTATTATTTTTTATAACTTTTTATATGTAATAAAAACGTTTAATAGTAAATATAATAAAATGTTTTATACACTTATGTAAAACAGAGAAAAATAATATATAAACTTTTAAAATAAGTAATATTAATAAATTTATAATGTATAAATAACTAATAATAAATAATAATAATAAATAGTAAAAAAAGTTATTATATTAAAAATAATAATAAACTTTTTCTATAAATATTTTACTCGTAAATAATAATTAATAAATATAAAAACTTAAAAATATAAATAATAAAAAATATTATATAAACTTTTGAAGTTAAAAATATATTACTAAAAAAAAACTTTTTAATATAAAAATAATACCAAACTTTTTATATTATAATAATATTACTTATAAATATTAAGCAATAATAAATTTATATTAAAAAAAATATTAAAAAAAGGTAATATAAACTGTTGTATGTAAAAAAAAATATTATATATAAAACTTTAACGAATTATAAAAAATATGTAAAGCCAAAAAAATTAAACTTTTGCTAAAGAAAATATTTTTTTGCCTTTTTATTTATAAAAAAAACTTCTGCGAATTATGGGAAAATATAAAAATTATATATAAGTAAATTTTACTTGCAGGGTTATTAATAATAATAAAACTTATAAGTATAAAAATATAAAAATAAAATAAAGTTTTAATTATAAAAAATATATTTTTATAAGCATTTTTATAAATAATACTTTTCCGAGTATTATAATAAACTTTAATAAAATATATAATACTAACAAAAAACTTTTACTAATATAAAGTTTATAATAATGTTTTTTTATTAGTAATAGAAATAAGCATAACTTTTACTAAATTATTATAAAACTTTTTTATATATATAATAAAAGATATATATAAGATAAAGAAATTATTATTTAAAAAACTAAATAAGCAAAATTCCTATTAATATAATAATTTTTATATATAAAACTAAAAAATTCTAAATAAAGATTTAAAGAAAAAAATATTAATTTAAAAAACTAGATAAGCATAACTTTTAATAAATTAATAAAACTTTTTTATATTAAAAAAAAATTAATAAATAAAGAATAATATAAAGGAAAAAAGTAATATTTTATAAAACTAAATAAGCATAACTTTTTCAAAAATATAATAAAATTTTTATATACATAAAATGAAAAGATATAAATAATAATATAAAGAAAAATTTTTATATATAAAAACAAAAAAATTTAAATAAAAAGAAAAATATTCGTATAAAAAACTCAGTGCAACTGACCAATAGGAGAAAAGGATTCGTTTTTCCTTAGGAATTCTGTAAAGTTGTTTACGGAAGCCGTGCGGTAAACTTTTGAAAAACATGAAATTATAAAAAAAATGTAAAGTTGACTTCCAATTTAAAATCCTTATTTAGAAATTTATAAACATTTATAGATAAAAAGAATTAAAATACAGTTTTACAAAAAAAAGTTTTAAAGAAGAAAATAATGTTTTAGATTTATTATATAAAATTATAAAAAAAATTTGAAAAAAAAATAAAAATGTCCTAATTTATAACAGTAATTTAAAATTCTATATATATTTATATAAAAATAATATAAAAGAGTTCTATATATAAAAATTATTGAAAAAAAATACAATATTAAAAAAAAGTAAAGTATATAATAGATTGATTAAATAAAAATAGAAAAAAAATTTAAAAAGTTAAAAATGATTTCTAACCTATAAATCTACTAACATTAATATACAAAAAGATATATAATAAAGTTATATATATATATATTTATTTTATAAAAAAAGTAAATTATATTTTATATTTATTTAATAAATTTACAAAAGAAAAAATTTAAAACAAGCATTAAACTTATAAGTATTATTATTAAATAAAATATTATATATATATAATAAATTTTTACGTAATAAAGTATTAAAAAATATATATTATTAAAAAAAATAGAGTAAGTTTTTTTATAAAATTAGATTTAAAAATAATTTCTAAAATTTAAAAATAAGTTAAAATTAACCCTAAAAGTTGAAAAATATATAATATTTATATATAAGAAGTATAATAAATTTTTATATATAACAAAGAATTTAATAAAAATGAAAAAAAGCTAATTAATTTCATATGATATAAAAATTAACAAAATTATTACTAAAAATTAAATGTAATACTAAAAATTAATTGTAAAAAGTTAAAATAACTTTAAACTACAAGTAAACTATATTACGACGAAGTTAACAAAAAATAAAAAGTAAAACAACTAAAACTTTTTGAATTTATAAAAAATATATTAAATTCTAAAATTTAAATTCTAAAATATAAAATAAAAATTTGAAGCTGTAAGTTAAATAAATTATTAAAGTTGAGATTTCGGTAAATGATCTTTTTGTATTGCATAATATTTACAACAACGTAGTACTTTTTTTTTAGAATTAGAGATTATTTTATATATCTCTAAGTGTATATAAGAAATTTGTGAAAGATTTTTAATAAGTTTCCTACTAGAAATATATAGAATCTAATTATTGAGAACAGCGAAATTTATAAAAAGCTATAAAGAACATTTAATGGTTTCCGGTTACTAATAGTAAAGCGGAATTGAAATTGAAAAAAAAAAAAATTAAATTATCAATTTTTTTACATTGAAGTTAATTAAATTTCTGAAAAAATAATTATTTTAATTTAAATGAACCAAAAAAATTTTGTATAAAGAGAATAATTCCTGAACTATGAGAATATTAATTTTAAAAAAAATAATAATAATAAAATTGATAATACATTTTATGTATTGGATAAGGCTATATAAAAATACTTTTTGGAATAAGCGAGGAAAAAATTTCAACTACTGGATCTGCATTTTCTAATAGACGCGAGTAATATACCGATAAAAAAGGAATCATACTACAACTCGTGTAGCAAAGCTTATAAAAAAGAAAAAATAATTACTAAAATTAATTTTCTCGTACAATAAATTAAAAAAAATTAAAATAAATTCAACCACAAAATTCTACAAACCTAATTTCCAATGATGGTAGTATAGTTAAAAATGTCTTTTAATTAAAGAACCAAAAAAAAAAACTTTAAAAACTTTTTCTAAATAACTATAAATAATAATTTCACGTAAAAAAATATTATAAATAGCAGGTAACAATCATAGAAAATATACTACTTTAATCTAATCAGTAACACGTTATAAGAAAAAATATAAGATTTTTATTATCTTACAAGTTTGCTTATACTTAAACTTTTAAATAATAAGTAATTGTTTTATTTTATTGTTTTTATGTTTTCTTTTTACTCACCTTAATTACTAAATCTTCGTAACCGTTAATAATTTCCGATTCTCCAAACTGCTGGTGAAGAAATTCAGCTGGAAATTTTAAAGGAAAAAGATCTTCCGAAGTAAATATATCGGGGACAAAATATTTTTTGAATTGTGTCTCGTTATCGTCTGCATAAATATTAAACTTTACTAGAAAAAACCATTAATAATAAGAATTTAACGAGAAAACGTACAAATTTCGATTTGGAATACGTCTTGGGCTTTGACAACTTTGTAGTTTTAAACCAAAAATAATATTAAAAAAAAAGTTAGTAACTAGTTAATTCTAAAATTAATTTTGAAAAGTAAAAATTCTAAGAATATTAAATTCCATACTTAGTCCTTTTGAGCCGTTTGTGTTAGTCATAATTATATTGCACTCCCCCTTATTGATTAACAAAGTTTTATCGCAAACTATGGAGTAAAAGAAGAAGTAGTAGGCTGTGTTATGGGTGCATGCACTGATATAAAAGTTTTTTAAAAAAACTATTTTTTATAAACAAAACAATTTAATTCTCTGTACTTTAATACCAGGATAAAAAGGTTGACAATTATATTTTATATCTAGTTAATTGTAATATATATACAAGCGTGACGATGGTGGGGCTTGGTCTTCGCATTGATATTGTCGTTAAACTAGTCGTCACATTACTGAAAAAATATTCTTTTGAAATAGGTCTTCCTACGCTTTAAAGTTATCTTGAATAATTTAAGTACTTAGAAAACTACTATACTTCAAAACAACTCATCTTTTTAGATCCAAGCGCAACAGCCTTTTAACATAAAATTTAGCCTCGACCTTTTCTTCTAATAAATTTATTTTTTGAAAATAATATATTGTTTTAGATGTTGTATCTCTGATAGATTAAAGAAGTCTATTTCATCATATTCATGTTTATTATAGTAATGGGCCTCGTTCAACCTTTGTATGCTAACAATAAGCTCTACATAAATGTTTATATTAATTTGCTTCATTAAACAATTAAATTTTGAAAAAAAAGTAGATGATATAATTATAAGCTATGACTGAAAATTTTAAGACAATTGTATAGTACATCGGAGTTGCTATACTAAATTATGTTTGTTTCGTATGTTATTACTCAATTCTGGTTCAAATTTATTACTCATTCATAGTTGAAGCAAATTGCTCATCACCTTTTAATTAAAATGGTTCCCGATGAAAAGAATTTCTCACTTTCCCCAATTAAAATAAATATATTTATTTATACTTGTAATGGCCACAAGCGCCAAACAACCAGTTCCAAAGTATAGTTTTTATATTATTTTTATTTATTTATTACTGACATACTACATTTGATATGCATAGCATATTATTAATTAATATTAATTTATATACTTTATGCTAAAGTGCTGTGGCCATGACCGAGTCTAATAAGATTCTTAATATGATATGTAATGTTTTTAAACTTTATACCGAACTTGTAAAAGTTTAATAACAGATTAAGCAGGCCTTAATGTCGCCGTTATTAGAAAATTATAGTTTAAGCCTTTAGACATAGGTTCTTCGCCCATCTAAAGTAACTAGTATACTAAAGTTTTGGAATACTGCTGACCAATGAACCGAGATCTCGGCCAATGGGCTTCCTTATTTCAATATTGTAATTAAAAGTTTTTTTTGTTCCATAAGAATAATTTTCTCATCCAATAAGCTGGCTAGCTATTGCCATTCTATATTTAGCAATTTTTAATTTTAATTTTGTTTTAGTTTCTTTTCTGTCAAATTTTTAATTTAACCACAGTCCAATGCCATATTTCTGTCCAGTTCCATATATGGTAAACCTTATGCGGTTATGTAAATTATTTATAATTGGAATGTTATTTTCACTTTTTATAAATAAAAAATTATTTCTCAATACGAAAAACGGTTAAACTGAACCTAAACTTGAAAGTGATGACACTATAACATCACTCTAAAAACTTTCAAAGTGCATACATAGCTTAATTACACCCGACTGAGACTATTATCCAACATCGTATTTTATTATCTAAGTGATGAAAACGGAATTTTAACGACCGGGTGGTAAACGATGCCAATATTATAAAATATTTAATTAATAAGCGCTATAAACTGTTATAACTCTAGTTAAAAAAAATTTTACAAATATTTTGAAATTGTTATGTATTAACAACTTCAAATTCCTCTAAAATATTTACATAGAAATTATAATACTACAACTCAGAGGAAGGTCCTTGCAAATTCCACACTAGGTGCTTTCTCCAAAACCCTAAAGAGACGCTCTTAGCTCTAAACCCACCGCTAGCTATGCTTCGTATTTTGAGGTCAAACAGGCTAAGTAAAGTGTGTTAACGCCATAAGCATATAAAAAGGAGTTTATAAAGCTTAAATATTTACGGGAAGAACAATAAAACTATATTAGCAATAATTCATCCTCCTCAACTAAAGCTACTCTACGAAAGAACTGACTTAAAACCCTTTTTTTAATCTCGTTTATAAGAAATTATGCTATTCCAACACCCTTGAATGGGGTGATTGTAACTTCTTCTGAGTATGCACTATAAAAATAAACGATTGTAATTTGAAAGAATCTTATTTTTACTTTTTAAAAATGGTGAATATATTAGGGTCGTCGTCATTAACGGGGGTTGGGGGCTTCACCCATGCACAAATTGTAACATTTCGAAAAAATTTGGTCTGATATTTTTCGTATTTATAATTTCCATAAATGTATTTTTTGTACACCTATGTAGAACCCCTTATTTAAATTACCAATTTGTGATCTTTCTCGGGACCATTAACAGTACGGAGTTAAAAAGGGTAACTCATATTAATACTTGAGATTCTTTCTCTCGAAAAAAAATTCTTCTAGTAAGTTGTTCCCCTCGTTGTCTTCTGAGTACTAGCACAAATGAGTTCGGGCGTTAACAAAGTTTATACTCTAAATGATGGAAACGTTATCCCCTCACTTGGCCTCGGCACTTGGAATTCAGAGAAAGGAATCCGTTTTTAGTATATATTTAACTCTTTATGTAAAGTTTATTATTTAGGAAAAGTTAAGGAAGCTGTTTTGGAAGCTTTAAAGATTGGCTACGTCCATATCGACTGCGCTTACATATACAGTAGCGTTTTCTTTTTTTCACACTTTTTACTTGCTTCAATATTTTTGAAAAAGATAATCAAAGAGAAGTCGGTGAAGCTATTAAAGAGGCTATTGATCAGCATATTGTCGAAAGAAAGAATTTGTTTGTTACTTCTAAGCTGTGGAATGATCATCACCGTAAAGTTTTTAAAAATCCTTATAATATTACCGTTACTTTTTGCAAAAAAGATTTACACCTAATTAATTTTTATATTTTAGGTAAAGAAGATGTCGAAAAATACTGTAAAGTAACTTTAAAAGATTTAGGACTTGATTATTTGGATCTCTATCTCATCCACTGGCCTGTGTCCAGCAAGCCCAATTCCCACTTTCCTACTCAACCGTAGGCTTTATATTAAAAATTAATTTTATTATAATTATTATTACATTGGATTATTTTTAAAATTTACTGTTGGTTATTTTTCACTATTCAGTGACGAATTTATCGACGTTCCTATTGAAGAAACATGGAAGGCGATGGAGTCACTAGTTGAAAAGGTTCATAGAGTTGCTATTAATAAAATATTTTGTTAGTATTAGTTATCATCTGTAATAATATTACAAAGAAATCCATTTTTGGGTTAAAAAAAATTTCGTCTTAGTTATAAACTGGAATTCAACCTTTTAAAATTTAAAAAAAATGATTAATTATTTTCATAAAAAAAATTAGTAACTTTTATAAAAAAGTAGAAGTGCGCAAAATTTCAAGTGAATATTTCTATAAACTTTTATGGTTGTGTTCTTCGGTGTTATTACTTCAATTAAATAATTTTTGTATGAACTTCATTTAGCAAATTTATAAAGTTTGTTTCTACAGAAAAAAGTTATGCGGCATCTAACCTTAATGAGTTTATTGTAAAACTGGTTTAGTGAATAGCGAAATTTCACTACTGTGCTAGCATTACATCTGCTAGTAATCTTCAGCTTATTTTTAAGCCGATTTAAATTTTCTTTTTTTTTTTTTTTATTAAATAAGGTATACACTAGAAGACTTTCAGAGTATTTTATAAAAGTTACCTTATGCATAAACTTTCTTAATTTCTGTAACCAACGGCGCTCAGACTGAACTAATCAGATATCTAATCTTTTTCTAAAAAAATTTATAGCTTTAGAAAGCCTTATATGTCACTTGTCATTCAGCTGCTACAAGTAAAACTTTGATATTCTAAGCATTAAATTTTTCCTGCTTCAAAGTTTTCCATAAAAAAATCGGCTGTCGTACTTTTTTGAAGAGATATGCAACCTCTATGATTGCCACAAGTAAGAGCAGTGTAGACTTCCATTTTCAATAAATTTTTATAAATTTTCTTGGAGTCTATAAGCAACCAATATATGCAATTTTACGGCTTTGCACTTTTCTTACTCTTTTTTTAAAACCGTTAATTTCATTAATGGGTACTTGTAGACTACGTGTGTTTAAATTATAGGAAAGTTTTTTTCAGGTGTCGGATATATATGTTATGCAAAGAGTCATTCTCACTATCAAAAGTTTTTAAAAGAGTAGTATTTATATTAAATTTATGAGTTTTTGGCGCGATAGATTATCTGTTGGATTAAAATTAAAAATTTTCGTGATACCTGCAAGTTTTAATTTTTATAAAATATTTAAGCCCATTTTTTAATTTCCTCCTAATTTAACTTTTTTGTTATTAATATTACAAATTTATGTTTTTATTTAATTTTTATATTTTTAACTTTTATAAATTTTTTATCAGTCCAAGTTTTCAAGTTAATTTGGTTTTTTAGGGACTCGTCAAGTCCGTCGGTGTCTCAAACTTTAGCATTCACCGCATTGAAGAGGTTACAATTTATCCTCCAAACTATTGCTTCTGCTTATAACTGAAGCCTTTTAAATTTTTTATACTTTTAAAACTAATTTGGGCGCTAATACTGTTTCTTTATGTATTAAATATTAATTGATAAAAATTTTAAAAAGCATTAATTTTAAAAATTAATAGAGTTTAACTTGATTGCTTGTTTATTTACCTTTCTTTACTTCTTATTTCTAATAAAGTAAGCTCATTTTTTTGAATAATTTAAATGTCATTTTAAATTTTTAGCTTTTATGGAAATTTATCTTCTTTTTAAATAAATATAATAGATTTTGAACTTCTGCAAGATCAAGCCGGTGGTTAACCAAGTGGAGTGCCATCCGTATCTCACGCAGAAGCCGTTGCAGCAGTTCTGCTTATCGAAAGACATTCTCTTGACTGCTTACTCTCCGCTGGGCTCTCCCGGCCGTCCAAGCGCCTTTAACAAGGAAGACTCGCCTAAACCGCTTATGGAAGGTTTTCGAAACCTTTTTTTTAATTTTTAAAGTAGAATCTGTTAGTTTAGATTAATCATCATAATTCCAGGGTTATGATTCTTATATTTTTATTTTAAACTTCTCTAAAGTTATTAACTTAAATTTGAACACCGTTAAATTCTATTTAAATTACTTTGAATTTGTACATTACGTTGTAAAGTTTTTAATATTTTCTTTATTTCATTTTTGTAAAATTCCTTTGAGTTATTATTTATGTTAATTTTATTACAAAACTAAATTTTAAATTTTTTAAACTGATTAATTAAACTTAAATAATAATTATAAACTTTGGATTCAAACTTTTCAAGTTAAAATTATTTTTATTTTTTAAAATTAAATTCTTTCAGGGGCCAGAATTAAATTAATGTTATAACTTTTACTTTGTTATTTGGCTTTATATTATTACTTTACGTTCGCTAAAGTTTTTATTAGCATATAATGAAATTTTTAAAATTTTTTAAAAATGTATAAGAAAAAAAAATAATTTAATCTTTTGAAAATATTTTTATAATTAAGTTTTATTTTAAATTTAAAATAAATAAATATGATTATATATAAAACCAATAGAATTAAAAATAATAAAATAATTATATGTTCAAGTAAACTTGTTCTATATAACATAAAAATTAATATTAATTATAAACTAAATTAACACTTTTCTATAATTATAAAAAATGTTTTTTTTGCTAAATAAAATTTTTTCACAAGATGAAAAGCTGATCTCCATAGCCCAAGCCAAGCACGTGAGCGTTGCGCAGGTGTTAATCGCCTGGCAACTCCAGAACGGCAACGTTGTGATTCCGAAAAGCGTGACGCCGGAGCGTATAAAAGAGAATTTCGATGCCTTTAAAGTTATATTATCCAATGAAGAAATGGACGCTATCGGTTATAGAAATCTGTTTTATTAATTAGTTTTATAGACCATTTAATTAATTGATTCAAATTAATTTCTAAATTTATAGAATAAAATTATATTATTATTTTAATATTAATTTTGATTAAAACAATTATTAATTTTTTTTGTTATTTAATTTAATTGTTTTACATTTTTGCCTTTATTTATTTTTTAATTTAAAATTTATTAATAATTAATAAATTTCATAACAAGGGAATGAAATTTTTTTGGTATTTTCTGAAATTTATTATTAATTTTTTACAAAATATAAATAAATTTAATTTATTAGCAGTTAATTTTTAAAAAGTAAATTTTTATATTATGAAAATTTAGTAAAATATAATTTAATTAGCATTTAATTTGAAATTTGAAATTTTACGTTTATATTTTTTGATAGATTATTAATTTTAGATTTATTATATAATCAATTTTTTTATTATATATCTTGTAGCAAATTTTATTAAAGTGGAATCTCCAGTTTTTTATATATATATATATATCTGGATAATTAATAATAATTTCCTTTTTAATATTAGAAATTGTTAACTTTTTAGTTTTGAATTAAGTATTAGTTGGTAAATTGAAATTACTATAGTTTTGTTAAAGTTATTATAATATAATTTTTCACATTTTTTTGATTATTATTAATTTTAAGGCAGTTACGTATACTTTTTTATTAGAGAAAGAAAAAGATTATATAAAATAAATTTTGTTAAATTTAAATTTCTCTATTATATATTTTAAATTCTTAATAAAAGTAAATTTTAAATATCTTAAATTTATCGGCGAATTTATATTTACTTGAAAATTTTTGTATTTTCATAAAAAAGATAAAATTTTTTTTTAAATTTATTAATAGTTAGTAAAGTGAATAAAATAACTTTTTATAATTCCAGAATTAAAAATTCTAAATTTTTTTTTTTAAAATAATTATTTTGTTTATTTTTAAGAAATATTTAGAAATATTTATATTTGTTATTAACTTTTTTTTAGAAAAAGTAGAGAAGTATATAAAATTTTATTTATAAAATTGTTAATTGCTATAAAAAAAAGTACTTTATTAAATTATACTTAAAGTAGATTTATGAATAACTTTTTTATTTAGTATTTGAATTGTTTTTTTGCTTTAAGGGAAAAAGTTTTTCTTATTAAATTTTCTATAATTTTTAGACGCTCTAAACAAGAATGCTCGTTACGTTAAAGGGCATATCTTTTATCCTTCAGACACAACGGGTTTACCTATTATTATTATTATTATTATTATTATTATTATTATTACTATATAATTTTATTAGTGATCTACTAGTAATTGTAAATTTATATTATAAATAATTTTTTTTAAAATAATAATTATTAAATTATAAATTATAACAAAATACATTTACTAATAATTATACGTAATTAGGAGTAAATTTATAGTAATGATATTAATAAAGTAGGACAAAGTAGTAAAAGAAATCAATTTACACAAAATATAATTAGTAGAATTATTATTTATTATAATAAATAATAAATAATGAATTAAAAAATAATAACAAAAATTTAAAAACTAACTTTTCTTGTTTATTACTATTTTATATTTATATTCAAAGATAAGAAAAAGAATATTTTTATAAAGAATAATTATAAATACTCTAATTACTTTTTTATACAATGCAACTTTTATTATCTTTTTATAAAAGTTTATATTTTTCTTTTATTATTTATAATTAAAGTAAAGTTTTTATTCAGAAAAAAAACCAAATTTTTAAATTTAATGTCTTAGTTATTTTAAAGTATTATATTTACTTGTGAACTTATATTTTACTATTAACTTTTATTAAAGAATTTAATACTTTTATTACCATTATTTATTTAAGCAGACTAAATTTTATTAATTTAATTTTTTTATGAAAATATAAAATTAATAAATTTTATTATATTTTTATTAAACTTTTATTACTTAAAAGTAATACATTTTTATTTATTTATATTGAATTGAATTTACAATTTTTAGATCATTATTATTCCTTAAATTTAGATTTAGATTTTTGTTTTTGCTAATATTTGGTAGGATAATAGCATTCTATTATTATTATTACTTTTTATTATGTATATAAACTTATTATAAACAAATTATATTATTTTAGGCCCGATCAAGACATACGATCAGCTGTGGAATTGAAAGAAATAAATTCTTTTCTGACATTTAAAATTAAAGTTTTATATTAAATTCTTTAGTACTTTTTTTAATTCACTATTTATACTAAAAATTTATTATGGACTGGAAAATGCGCTAAATATTTTGGATAATTAGAAAATTATTTACATTAATTTTATAAATTTATAAAATTACAGTTATTTTAACGAAAAAGATTTAAGATTGGTAGTTATTTTTTAACTAGAGTAATAAATTAATTAATAAGCTAATTTAAAGTTTAATGAAAAAGCTTTTGTAGTAAAAGTTTAGAAGAAAGGAAATAAATAGTGGGAAAGTGGAGAGAAGATGAAAGGCAAAAGTAATTATAAATTTAAATTAAAAATTTTGAAGGGTAAATTAAATCTATGCTGACTTTATAACTCTAGTAAAGAATTTAAAATTATTGCAAGAAAAGTACTTTTAAAACTTTATAATTGGCTATTGATGTACCACATTTAAAAGAGGATTGTGCTTTTAACATTTAATAGTAAATAAATTTGTAAAAAAAAAAATTATGGTTTAAAATTTTAAAGAATGAAAATTTTAAAAAAATATACAATGAAAAGTTTCAGTATGATAAGCCTGTACAGAAAAAACGAACTAATAAATAATATGTATATACACTACAAAAGTTTATTTAAAGATTGTAATATATAAAAAGTTAAAAATATTAATATAAATATATAATATAATTGAACATTTAGAAGTTTTTGTTTAGAAATTTTATTTGTTAACAGTCAACTATAAATAACAGAGCTATAAAAACTCATTTATAGAATTTACTTTATAATGAATTTGCTAAAAGTTTTTTTGTAATCTTAAGATCTAAATAAAGTTGTATATAAAAAGTAAAAGGAAACCTGTTTTGCGGAGTATTTAAATATATAAGGAAGAAATTATAAAAAGATGAAGCACTTAAAAGTTAAGCCGAATTTCATTTTAACAGAGTAGAGAACTGAAATTAAGAATAAGTCTTTTTTTTCTAAGCCACTAAAATATATAAATTCATAATGCTTATATTTTACTTTCGCCTATAAGATGGAAAATACGATTAGCAAGACAATAAAAGGACAACTTCTTAAACAACCTTTTCATCTTAAGGCGGAATATTTGATTAAAGAATTAAATTTACGATTTAGTAAAGAAATTAACTTCTTTTGCCTTAACCCTAATTTATAATAATAATAGTTATTTTGCTAACAAAATATTTAAACAGTAAAAGTGGAAAGAACAGGTAAGTGAATAACCTATATTAACTTCTTTATGTGAGAAGGAAGTAACTTTTTACGTTTTATTTATTATAAACCTGATTTAAGAAGTACAAAAAGAATTTGCTCATAACTCTTTTCTTAAAACAATTATTATAAGCAGAACTCCCAAGATTATATTAATGAATCGTTTTTTAAAAGCAACGTAAAAAGAACCTAAAAGTTTGGGTTAAAGAATTATCCCAGCACTTATTAGTTTCAGAGCTGAGTATTAATTATGCTAAATATTAAGACTATAATAATTATAAAACTAGATTTTTTTTTTAATAACAACGTTATAAATAAAAGGAAAGTATGGGTTTAAGTATTGTTATTAACTTATTTTGCTTAGTACAATTATTAAGAATCCTTCGTAGAGATTTTTAACTATTTTTTATTTATACCATTGGCTTACTACAAGCGTAACTTATAGTCAATTGCTGCTTAATCTATTTTTTTATAATTAAGAATGCGAGTATTATAAGTCCCTCAACGATTCTTTGCCCAATCAACGATTACGGATGCGTTATCATTACAGCTAGATAGTATATAACAAAGAATAATTAAGTTTCAATGCCTTTGTTTTATTAAAAATAAATATATAAATAAGTTAATAAAATAAACCATAGCCTTAGCCAATTTCCTCCTAGGAAGTGTTTTGGCCGTGGGTACTTGGTGTACCGAGTCATAATCAAGTGCCTACCTAATTAATATGCTGTGGTGTCTACTGATTCTAGTAAGTCAGTTTAATGTAATTTCGTTAAGATATTTTTGAATAGACTCGAGGTGTTAAGCTCTCCATGTAGTTGGCTGTTGAGCCCAAATCAAGGGGTTTCTACCACCATTCTCAGAACGCGATTTTGTAGTATTTGTAGTCGATGTATATGTTTGCTTGGGTAGTAGGCCCAGACGCTAGAGGTATAAATCATCAAAGGGTGCACAGGCGAGTAGAGCTTGTTTTTTAAATATAGTTTGCTTTTCCTGCATAGTAAGGGATACAGAACGGCTATAGCTTGTGCGGTTTTAAAAACGTCGTAAGAAAGAGGTGATGTCAAGCTTAGTCTATCGTCAAGTTTAACCTTGAGATATATAATTTTCTTACTTCGAGGAATGATAGTTTGACTGGGCCAGTATTTTTCTTGTTATAATTATAAAGCTACATTTAAAGGCGTTAATTCTTAAACTCCATGTTAAAAACCTTGCCTCAGGTACTGTTAAATAATAATGTATGCTATCAACAATAACCCAGCGGAAGGCTGAGTCAGCGTATTGGGCTAATATATTTTTGGCGATGATGGCATATATCGTACTTGTTGACATAAAAAAGTAAAGGGTATAGTGAGGAACCTTGTGGGACTCTCATCTTTAATTGTCTAATAACGGATTCAACGAACTTACTCAGCTGTAAAGATTCTATCTGTTTAATATGAGCGTACTACCGCAGTTAGATAAAGGGCAGCTGGCAGTAATCATTTTGAAGGCTAGACCATCGGGCCGTATTTTAATAGTAGCCTTCTCAATGTCTAAAAAAATCACCCCTGTAATTTTCCATTGTTAAAAGCTTTTGTAGCTTCATCCGTAAGCCTGGGTATCTCGTGAATCGTGGAGTAAATTTTTCGAAAATTAATTTGAATAATAGGCAAGACGCACATACTGTTCACAAAATCTTGTAACTTAGAAAGGAAAACCGCTTTCACCGCCTTTTCCTTGGCAGACAACAAGCTTATTGGACGATAATCTTTGATAAAACGGCAATGGGGTCTGGTTTTAGGGATTAAAATTAACCTCTGCTAATTCCCATCAATGGGAGAAGAGTTACCTTTGTTACATATAGGTCTTAAAAGGTAAGCAGTAATTATGGAGAGAGGCTTGATGCGGTGTTCATTTTCGCGAACTCCTATATAAATGCTTCTACTATTTCGGAGGGCGTCGTCAATGTGCGCCCAGCGTCCTAGAAAAGCGGTGTTATATGTTTCTAGGTTCAGTAGATCAAATGGCAGACTCTAATTTATTCAGCCATCTCTCGTTAATCCAAGACTTTCAATTCCTCCTCAACTCGAGTGTTGAGCTTGTCTCCTAAAAAACGAAAGTTCATATATCTTGCCCTCAACTTTCGCCTTCTCTTAACCAGCGCTCTGATATGGTCTGAGAGGTCATAGTGCTGGTCTTCGCGTCTTCAAATGAAGTGGCTCCACTATAGGTCTCCTTTATAGCTCATTCCATTTGCACAACAGCCGCGCCTAAATTAGGGACTTTCTCAATGGTGTGCGTCATGGTATCTATGCTTTTGTCTAAGTGATCCCGGAATGTTGGTCAACTAGTTACTTTTTTTATCCAAGTACTCGAGGCCGGCTTATCTCCCATCTCTATGAGGATGGGGTTATGATCATAAGAGAGTTCAAATAGAGTATTAATGGTGATAGGTACGTAGCTATATGTGTTACTGTGATATCTAAAACGGCCCAAGCCCCTTTGACTGGGTGATACGTTGAGTCCCTTGGACTGGCATACATCTTCCATTGGTGTTTCCCCGCCTGCTATCCATAAAGGGTTTTTACAGTTTCAATCTACAGTTTAAATCTCCAGCCATTAAGATGCTTACCAACATCAATTTTATGCACAACCTTACCAGGTGTTTTATAAGAAGCAATTATATCGCCTTTCCCATTGTGACAGGACTCTATATTCACGCCCTACAGCTTCTATATTTCCCAAGTCGAAAAATTAGAGCGCTTGGTGGATAACGTTTCATTTAATTAGGACAGCTAGGCCTTACCTCCAGTGCCTTCCCTGTCGCACCTGTAAGCAAAATATTTAGGTACTCTAAATCGATTACCTCCTCCAGATGTGTTTCAGAGAAGAGGATTATGTCTAGGTCCATTCGAGCAACAATAAGTTCCTGTAGTTCTTGCTTCTTGCATCGAATGCCGTGGGGGTCCCATGCCAAAATCCTTAAGGGAGTAAGAGCTGGCCTCCCTTCATTTAACTTCATAATTATTTAAATTTTGAAATAGCCCCGTTATGGCCTTTGCCAGAAAAGAGCTGTTCTCATTGTTGTGTTGTTGCAAAGTTATTCATCATATCGCTTGAGGGCGCTATATTACTTGCTTCAGGTGATAAGTTCAGTTTAGTACGCTGTGCACAGCTTATATTTTCTTCATTGAAACTTTCAGGATTCTTGGAAGTTTTAGTTGAGATGTTTTAAAAATTTTTCTCGTAAGTGCATTTTTCGAGGATGCTCCCCTGGGCATTGGCCCAGGTAGACTTTTCACCCTCTTTTTTTGTGCAGGAACTTCGACTCATGAAGGCCACCGCATATGACTCATTTATAGCTTGACTTATAGTATTTCTCTGTATTTCAAATAGTTGCATCTATGGCACTGGCCACCGATCCTCCCTCTTCTTTATTTTTTTAGGAGTTCATCCGACAGGGCGATATACCCTATACTTTTTAAACTGTAGCTCCTTGCTTCGCAGTTAGGCAACTTAACAAGTAGAAGAGGCAGAGGTAATCGCTTCAGACGGGTTGAGACCTTAAGACATAAGATCTGCCTTTTTAAAACACCTCGAATTACTTTGTGCTCTTTTTCGCTAGGCGGCTGGTATGTATAATATTCGCAGCAGCCTCCGCCAAAATGTGTCAGTTTTCGGTAGTCGTCTGCAGAGACTACGCTCACACGAATTCCGTGTCTGAGGTCTTGGACCCCATTTATATCTGTTTTGTAGGAGATATATTGTTTAACGAAATCCCAAGCTAGTTTGTTACGTAATATTATCGGAGGTAATCCAGTAATGTAGGCTGGTTGCTCTTATGGAAATTATTAAATTAATGTTATTATGGTCTTTGCTGTAAGTTAAGTTACTATTATCAGCACTACAGTTATTTGTTACATCTATGATTATTTTTATAATTAGTGTTAGTAAATACTACTATCTAAAAAGTTTACAGTGGTCTCTACCATAACACTCTCTTCGATAACCTCTTTAGAAAGAGAGGGCTCATCTAGAAGCTGCAGGGGTGAATAAGAATGTTACTATCTTTTATAACGGTTGACCCAAAAGGTTCCTTACGTCTTTTAAAAATTACTTTGTCGCTACTTACTTTCTCTAAGCAAGCTAATTTTGTTTTTACAGCCTTTGGTTATTGTGTAATTTCAGCATTCCTAGCTAACAGGTCAGTAATTTTACCTCCCTGACTAGCAGCGCCTGCAGCATGCCGTTCCATGGTAGCAGAGTAAAATAAAATTTAGTTAGTCAGTAATTAAAGATTAAAGAAGTTTAATTTTTTAAAAAAATAATAATAAAGTCCTATATAAATAGGTTGTAAGAAGTCGAGATACACGGAACACATGATCAAACGGTTAGCAACTATTTTTATAGAATTTAAGACTTCTATAATAATACTGGAGCCTCAGGGTTAATCTGCGGCAGTATGCAAGTCGTTAAGCAACTGCACTCGAAATGCAGTGGGCTCTGCCCGCGCAGGTTCAAATCCTGTCTGCCGCGTTTTCCCTTAAATTTTTAAAACGCAGGAAAAGTGGCTCTCTAGGTTTTTCTACTAGATATAAGTTATCCTTAATTAATCAAGATTTACATGAAGTTGTAAAAAAAAAGTTGTTCCGAACAAGCCTTTAAGTCCGACTAAACAAATTTTTCATTGATATGACTTGAAGGACTCCCTAACCTTTAACTTTTGAGAGGCCCCCAGTATAAACTAAAATAATTTTAATATACTACCATTGTCGTAAATCGCTAATTATTTAAATCTAATAACATAAAAAAATCAGGTTGTGTATTTAGTAATCAGCTTCTATAAACAAATATGTTTTTTAAATTTAGAAAAAATTAAAAAAAATTTACGAGTTATTACGTGATTTTATAAAAAACTACTTGGACTTATTATTTTAATTAATTAATTTTTTTTTTAATAAAGCTTAAGAATATAGGTACTTTTCCAATGCTTAAACTTTAATAGGGATTAAAATAATTATTATTACTATTACCGACAGTTAATACTTTTAAATTCGGCATACGTTGTCGTCAACGGAAATAAGTCAAAATACTAAGGGATATGAAGTTCTATATTTTGTGTTGACTACTAAGGCGAGAAGAGAAGATCTGTATAAAAAGCTAATATCATTACTTTTATATATTCAATTATTTGTTTAACCAGTTTATCACACCGGTGTTTCTATCGCAGTAAACTACTTATTCTATATTTCCTTGTAAAAAACAAGAATTAAAACTTAAAGTAGAAAGGGCTCCAAACTAGGTAGAAAAGAGGTTACTATAAATTAACTTGTAGAAAAAGTGAAAATAAGTGAAAACCATCCGTTAGTAATTGAGAAAAAATTTTTAGGTTATTAGTAATATTTTTGTTAAAGCATTAAAATTATTTTAATATAAATTTACTGATGTACTTTTCATTGGGCCATAGATGAAAAAATTCCAAAACACTTTGTATGGATGTCTTCTTTGTAGCTTTCAAAAGTCACTTCTAATTAAATTAAAGTAGAATCACAATTAGCTGTGAGTTGAGAGTAAAATACGAGTTAGCTTTTGTGCTTTAATAGTTACAGCTATTCTTTAAAACTTCGTAGCTTTTTTATAACTTGTTTTTATGCTTTCTCTGCAAAGGCAACAGTAGTCCTTCACTCTCTTAATGGTGTATGCCTACCAGTATAGTTAGTCATCTACTGACTAATTAGTTCCTGCTACAAAGCATATTGAGGCAAACATGTGTGAGCTATGCTTTCTTTCTTTTTGTTATTAATAGCAACAAGACATATTCTTTTTTCTACAAAATTTAAACGACTGTCGTGTAAAACCTCTCCAAATCTTAATAAATTGGCTGCAAGCGGACTAACAATAACAACCTATCTTTTTCGGACCTAATCTCTTTTCAAAAATTTCAAATCCAACATTTGCTCCTAAATCAGCATACTTTAGTACTAAAGTTTTTTCTTTAATTTAAAATTTGCACTTTTTAATTAAAGAACTAAATATACGAGAGAGGCGTTTTTCAGCTTATTTAAAAAATTAGAAACTTTTGGGCTGAAATAAGAAAACCTTTGCACCACGAAAACTTGGAAATGCCTCTCTCTCCTGGGATAATGACTTTGTTAAGTCGTAAAAGCTATAGGCTGGTCGGAGAAGACGGGGAAATGCTTCCTCCTGCTTCCCACATTGATCCACGTAGGGAAAAAGGGACTTCATTTACATATTCACAAAAAAAAGCTAAATTTTTAAATATTTAAGTAAAAATTAAGCTATTTTATACGCTAAACTGCTGTAGTAAAGTTAGACAAAAAGACTTTTTAGCTAAATTTTTGATCAGAAGGGGACAGGTGCAAGGGGAAGGTGCAATCAATTCACTCTTCCGTAAAGAGAGGTTATTATATCTTTAGGGCAAGATATATATGATGTAAAAAATGTGGAACAGACTTAGAAACACATAACCGCTGGGCTACGCCTACTAAATGTGTAAATTGTGAGAAAGCTCAAATCACCAATTACTTCGACTGTAAGTTTTATCTGTGGAGGCCTTCGTCAATGAACACTTTACACGACCACGACACCATAGCTATTCCAGCTCTTACCTTTAGCCCGACTACTTTCTTGTGTTCTCTGCCCTACTTAACTGCGTCGTCAGAGAAAAGTAGCTCTGCCCAAATGTATGTATCATCTAACTTCTGCAGCTTTCTAACGTATAGTAGATTCGACTTTTCACTAAGGGCGGTGGTGTTTTATCCTAATTTAACAAAGCATCTAACACTCTCCACTAGCATCGATAGCTCAAAAAATCTGAGGATTGAAATAGCTTATCCGGACAGACAGGAGCCCGCGACACACGATTTTACCAATGCTCCATTCCAAGTTGGTTCCGAACATTACAGCATAATTGCGCCATTTCTAACCGGACGGACCTTTCGAGTGAGAGTTGGGGCTGCCCAGTCCCCATAGGCTTGGGCAATGGGGGGTAAACATTAACGGTACGAGGAGCAAAGCAATGCGTCAAGCTACCGCCTCCAAACCTCTAAAGTGTTAAGATCCCATAGGCTCACAGGCCAAATACTTGGGAGTCACCATTGATAACCCACTAACTTGGAGGCAACACGTAGAGTTCGTTAAGACTAAGGTCAAAGCAGTAATTCATGCCGCTGCAGTATGCTTGCGCCATATTATGGTCTTCGCATCTATTGCTTGGTCATCTGATTGACCGTCGACGGTCGCAACCCTCCAGGCTCAGCAAAACAAGCACCTGCGACTAATGACTGGCCCACCTTATTTCGTGCGGATGACCAGGGTTTGGAACGACGTGAGGTCATCTTCCAAAGTTCAACTTTAGTTTTTTTTAATAGTGTTAGCAGGCATCCAAACCATTAACGGATCCAAAAAACTTACATACGAAACCTGGAAAGGCTCACGCTCTCGAAGGGTCCGCGCTGCGCTATAAGCGCACCATCAGAGTTTTGGTTTGCCCTTAACACTTATGTAGAAAGTTAAATGTAAGATGACCTGCCGAAAATGAATATGGACTAAGCCTAAAATATAAAAATTATTTGCGAGCATATGCACAATCCACTAATAAAAAATTACTTTTTCTTCTAAACTCTTGCTACTTTTTTTGGCCAGGTGGTGCTATGGATTTTTGAGTTTGGTTTCTTGCTTTAGCTTTTTAAAATATAAATATCAACATAGAAAAGTACATCTCTTAGTATTTTGCTATTGTTTAATAATTATTAAAAAGACGCTTAACTTTCTTTAACTCAACTTTTTTTTTAAACCTAACTTTATAATACATAATAGGTTAAGAATTCTCAACGTGAAGCACATTCTTTTTAGTTTTTTGCTACTCTGTTACAGTTTTTTTTACACGTTATCTCAATGACTACGTAGAGCAATATTTATGACAGTGATCTTTGTAAGCAGCCGGGACAGTTCAGCAGGGTAAAAAAGGATCTTAAACAATTTAATGTTTTTACTAATTTAAAGTATTATTTTTAACAGATAAAACTTTAGAAGTTTATTTAAAAAGTCATAAAAAACCCCTAAGTTTATTTACACCACCTTATCTAGATTTGCAAAAGCAGTATTAAAGAAAAGCTCCATATTTACGAGTTGTCTTAATTCTTTCACTTTTATTTATAATAATCTCAATATACATGACTCACTTTTAAATTTTATTAGAGCTATTCAGTTTTATAGTACTTATAATATTGCCTTCACCTTCCTGCTTCCTATATATCATACTTTTACATTCTAAAATTTTAGCTAAATCGCTTTATAAATTTTTTTCTTGTTAATTATAAAATTTTATAACTATTTTTAAAGTTTCTAAAATTTTTTATCGGTGTTTCTTCTATTTAAAATTAATAAATCTTAAAATTATTAAGAATTGGACGCTTTATACAAAGTAAAGTGCCTAGTATTACACTTAATTCTACAAAAATGCTTTTATATTTATTCTATAGGAAAAAATATATAATCAGTAAATATATATCCTTAAAATCTTATTAAAATCAAAATTGATTTCAGCCGTTCAAAAGATTTTATTCTTATTAGTTTAGCTGGTCTCCATATTTATTAGTTCTTATTCGAGTCTGTTTTTAAAAATTACAATAAAAAAATAATTTTAATACTAACACATAATAATACCGAATAATTAAATTGTAAAGAAAAAAAGATTAATTAAAAAAACTTTAAATGAAAAAGTAAAGTTAATATGAAAAATGATTATATGTATGGTAATAATTCTTTATAACTAAATTTTTTTAAGTAAATTTAGAAGTAAATATTGTACAAGTATGACAATTATAAAACTTTAATAAAATATAATAAAAAATAAAAGTATACAAAAAATATAATTGTAAGGAAAATATCTATAAAGATAAGGTTTTTGTCTTTAACTAAAAAATATAAAAATAATAAAAAAAGAAAATGTCAAACAAATATTTAGAAAAAATGAAGTTTTCATGGTCTAAATAAAACAAATAAATATAAAATATGAAAAAAGTTTTTATAATCAAATAAAAAAATTATAGATACATTAGTAAAATATTATAATATATTTATTAATATAATAAAATAAATAATAAATATGTTATAAAACTATGAAGAATTATAAATATTTTTAATAATTATCATAATTACAAACAAAATGAAAGTATAAACCCAGTTAATAATTTTAAGTAAATTTAGAATTAAATTATGAAATGAATATAATAATTATAAAATGTTATTAAAATTTTTAAAATAAGAAATATATATTAAATTTGATTCATTTTATAATCAACGTTTTATAAATATTATAATTATAGCTATAAAATTTTTTTAAGTAAATTTAGAATTAAATTAATAATATTTATAAAACGTTAAAAAAATTTTATTAAAAAAGTATAAATTATAAAATACATATAAAATTTAAATTCAATTGTTTATCAATTTTTTAATATAATATAAACAAATTTAATAACACCTTTATAATTAACTTCAAATAATTTTTTGAAAAAATTTATTTAACTTTTATTATTTTCTAATAAAAATTTATAAAAAAAAAAAACAAAAGTATAAATTTTTACAAAATTTAGTAAAATTTTTAAAAAAAAAAATTAATTTTTAACGATTATAAAAAATTAAAACAGATTTTGTTTCTCATTATCCATAAATACTATAAAAATATATCAAATTTCTAATAAAAATATATTAAAAATATACAATATAAATTTACACATGATTTAATAAAATTTTGAGTAAAAAAAAGTTAATTCAATTAATATTTTTTATTTATAACAAAATTTAAAAAAAAGAATTTATTTTTGAAGGATTTAATAATATTTTATAAAAGTTCTTCTAATTATTAATAAATAAATATTTATAAAATTTACATGTATTAACATTTTTATTATAATTAATCTAATTTTTATTAATAATGAAACAGATTTTTAAAAACATTAAATAATACTTTTCTATATTTATTTATGTTATTATTAAAACCTTTATAATATATCTAAAATAATAAAAGTTTACCGACTAACAAGTAACTAATAATAATAAGAAAAATATTAAAAGTATATTATATACGAAAAGTATTTATTATAAAACTTTAGTTGGAATTTTTTTAAAAAGATAACGATATTCATGTTAATAATTATAATAATGAATATAATAATAATATAAACTTTATTTGTTTCTCCTGCTAATTCTTTGGAGGCTTCATCATATTTATCGTCGCTGTAGTTATCCAAAACACTTTCCTTCTATATATAAAAAAATTAGTAATAATTAAAAAAGATAAGAAAGTAATTATTATAATAATAATTGTTATAAAGTTTGTTATTATTATTATTTTGTAAATAAAATGTAATAAAAACTTAAAAAATATAAATAAATAGAATAATAAATATTATTAAGAAAATAAAAAAATGTAAAAATAACAATATATTTAATAAAATATTATAATATATAAAATGTATCCTGAATTTAAATAAACTTTATTAATGTTATTTATAATAAATGTTCTACTTTATAGAAAGTATTTTTTATTACTGATTTGTATAATAAAAATAATAATGAGATGATAAGTTAAACCGAATTAAAAAACTTCGTGCTTATACATATATAATAACTAATAAAAATATAATAAAAAGTTCAGTTTTAAAAAAAATAATATATAATAAATATTATTATTACCAAAAAATATAAAAGTATTACATAAATATAATAAAAATTAAAACTTAAAAATTAATTCTTTTCTTATTTCTATATACTAAAAAAGATTTTATTAACAAAAATAAATATAATAATCTGAAAAACTTTAAATAAATAAAAGTTTATTATTTTTAAAAAATAAAACTTTTTTCGTATTCTTAGTAATAAAAAAAAAATCAATAAGTATTTATATAAAAAAATAATAAAATAATAAAAAGTAAAAGTTTATATAATAAAAAAAATTATTTTTATATAAAACAAAACTTTTTTATTGTTTTTATTTTATAGTAAAAAATAAAAAAAATAAAAAATAGAAACTTAAGAAAGAGATTATATATATTTTAATAAAGAAAATAAATAATTATATAAAGTAATAATTTTATATAAAAAATAAATAAAAGGAACTTGATAAAGAATTTATATAAATATATTTTAATAAAGAATAATAAAAATTAATTAAAAGTAAAAGTTTTATGTATAAAAAAAAAACCTCATTTTTTCTTTTTTTTATATGCTCATAAAATTTTTCGCTCGTTTCGTCTGGGCGGCTCCACGCGTGCTTCTCGTTTTCTATCGCAAGCGGGCTAAAATGTTCCTTTATATATAAGTTATTATGAAAAATTATAATAATAATAAAGTTTAGAAAAATAGAAAAGTTGATAATTAATGTAACAAATATTTTATAAATAATATAAAAATTTAATAAATAATAATTAATAGAAATAATAATTTAATACATAAAAATATAATGATAATATCTAAAAAAAAATATAATAATGTATAATAATAATATTAAACAAAAAAATTATAGAATTATACTTATTCTGTTTTTAAATATAAAAAAACTTAAAAAATAATATAATAAAGAGTTTTAAAAATTATTAATAATGCTTTATAAAAAAATTAAATATTTATATTTTTATATATATATATAAAAAGTAATATATAATATTATATATAGTTGTATTATTATTATTTACTTAGTATAATAATAAGTAAAGATACTTATAATGAAAATTTTTATAATTTTTTTTTTACTCAATACAGTAAAAATATTAGTAATAATAAATAAGAGTGCTATAAATAAATATTATTTACAAACTTATTTATTAATACTAGTAATAATGAAAAAAAGTACTTATAATAATAATTATTATTAACTTTTTTATATTTTCGAAATTTTTTGTATTTTTTGATTAATTCATTTCGTAAAACTTTTCTCTTTTATTTTATTTATTCTTAATATTAATTATATATAAAAAATTAATTTTAAAAATTAATAAGAAATTTATAAATTTTGTAAAAAGTTTATATATAAATACTTCAACCTCATTGGTCACCCATGCCCGTTCCTCGTGGTCATTGGCGGCCAGTCCGGAAAGATGATCTTCTTGCCGCGAATAAATGCCGTGAAAAATCGAGTTTTGCTTTTCTAATAAATAAATAAAATTATTATTATTAATATCATTAAAAACTTTTTTTTATATTATTACAATTAAAAAATAATATTTTTTAAAAAAAAATAAAAACTTTTCTATTTTCTTTTAATAATTATTATATTTTTTATATAAACTTAAGGAAATAATAATAATTAAAAAAAGCTTTATATTTCATATATTAACTAAATATAATAAAACTTTCTGTTATACTTATTCATCCTTTTTGTTAAAAAAAAACAATAAACTTTTTTTTGGTTATAAAATATATTTTATAACGTCTTCTATAAAAAAAATTTTGATATACTTCTTGGTTTATTCCTAATATCAAACTTTTTTAAAGTTATTGTCTTTTCTATTTACTTTTTACTGTTATTATATCTATTATAACTGTTTCTTGTTTTTATTATTTTTTATTATTTTTTAAACTTTCTATGTTAATAATATTTCCTAAGTGATAATAATCTTTTATATATTTCATAATAAATATATATATAATATATAAAATAATAAATAATTACGCTCTTCATTTTCTTTACAAGTATTTTTTTCAGGCTCGAATTGTTCACTTTTTTGTGAAATTTCTGCTCTTTGTTGAGGTCAAAAATTTATCCAAATAATATTAAGTAGAAAATATGTATAATATATTATTTAAATAAACATGTTTATATTAATATCAAAAAATAAGAAATATTAGTAAAAAATATTAGTAAATATAAAAAGAAAGATAACAGTAATAAGTAAAAAATATATTATACAATATTAATACTATTAATAAAAAAGTTTTTGATAGTAATAAGAAATGTAATTATATATAAAAAGAAATATAAATATAATAAATAGTGAAATTGCAAGGATCTTAAGTAAAGAAATTTAGTAAATATGATAATGAAAAATAATTGATATATGACAAAAAAACTTCTACAATAATAATATAATACAAAAAATAATTATTGTTATGAATATAAAATAATAAACAAATATATTATAAAAATAATGATAATAAACAAATCTAATAATAATAATAATAATAAGAAACCTTCCATGTTGGTATCGGTTGAGAAGAGTTTTTTTAATAAACGGAAAAGCTTCAACAATATTTCTAAAATAATAAAGAAAAGTTTTCAAAAAGTTAATAATAAAAATAATAAATATTAAAAACTTATATAAAAGCGTTGAATAAGTAAAAAAAAAGGTGGTAAAGATAATAAGTAAAACCAAAAAATATATATAAAAAAATATAATTCATAATTTTTTTCCTAAAACATATAAATTATAATTATAATAATACTAACTAAAAAATATTTTTTTGTTACTATTTAAATAATGAATAATAATAAGAGTTATTTTTTATATTTTTATTAAAAGTTAAAAAAATATATAATAAATTTTATTGTAAGATTTTAAATTCGAATAAGTTATAATAATTATTCATGTGTAAAACTTTTGAATTACTTTAAGTATTATAATTAAAAAAAACATAATAACTTTTTTAATAGTAGTAATAATAAAAAATTAATAAGAAAATATTGTATTACTTGAACTTTTTAATAAAAATAATATTTATATTTTTTATTTTTTTATAAATAAAAATTAAAAAAAAAATAATAAATAAAATTACAAAATTAAAATTAATAATAAAAATAATAATTTCTTTTTTTTTTAATTTTCATTAAAATCTTAAATAAAAATAGTTTCTTTTTTTTTTTAATAATAAGAAAAAATTCTTCATAAAAATAAAAAGGTTAATAAAAGAAAGTAAAATAAAAAGAAAAACATTTTTCCGGTAGCTAACTGGTCCCCCAACGGAGTTTTCAAGTTTTTTAGTGATTCTTTTCCACTAATCCAAGCAACTTTAGAGCCAATAAAACAACCGCAAAAATATCCGCCTAAAAAAAAAGATTATTATAAAAATTATCAGTTTTATATAAAAATTATAATTAAAATTTTAAAAAAAAAATATTTATAAAGAAAAATAATAATAATGAAAAATATATAAAAAATAATAAATATAATAATATATATAAAGTACATGTTATAATTTTAATAAAGATATGGATAATAATAAAATATAACATGTATATAATAAAATTTTTAAATGAATAATAACATATAAAAAGCAAATATTATTTTAATAAATCAATAAATAAATAATAATAAGTTTACTCGAAAAAAAAAAAAATAAATCAAAATTTCATAAAGTAAAAAGAAAAAAAAAATTGTAAATGTTATTAGTGGAACAAAAAAAGTTTCAGTTTTGTATTCTTTTTTTTATTATAAACATAAAAAAGTTTAATAAACGGAATTCAATCTTTATTATCAAAAAAAAAATTAATATATTTATACTGCAAAAAAATAGTAGTAATATAAACTTGAAAAGCGTTTCATCAAATATTTGAAATAATAAATTTATTTGTATTGCAAACAAAGTAGGAAAAGTGGTAAATTTATATAATATATTTTATTTCTTTTAATATTATAAACTTAAAAAGTTTTTATTTTTATGATTATATTCATTCGCTTTACTTTTTATTATAGATATTTATTTTTTATTTTTATATTTATTTATTATTATCATTATTTTACTAATTTATTTACACGCCAAAAAAAATTATTTTCATTTTATTTATACAACTTTTCGAGTTGACAAATATTAATAATTATTTATAATTTTTATTGCAAATAAAAACCTTTATAATTAACACAAGCAAATAAAAAATTATAAAACTTTTTATAAACATTAAAAAATACTTGGAATAATTTTAGTAATAATTAAAGTTAAATAGTAATAAAAAAAAATTCTAATTATATAATTCTCTTACTTTTATAGTTTTATAAATAAAATAAAAATAAAATAAAAGTTTATATTAATTATTTCTTACAAATAAAATAAATATAACAATTTTAAATAAAAATATAACAAACATAAAAAGTATGAAAGTGAGGCTTGACTACAGCTTATGATACTTTATAATAATTGTTTATAATGAAAAAAAATTTAAAACTTTTATAATTTTTATAATTTAAAAAAAAATTTATAGAAAGACGATTATTTTTTTTTAATAATTTATATATGGTAAAGAATATAATATATTTAACTAATAAAAATAGTAAATATTATAATAAACATAAGTAAATAATAATATTTACATTATTAACTACTTATTCATATTAAAAAAAAAGTTTGAAGTGCTTATTTAAATATTTTAAAAAATTAAATATAAAAAAATTATCTTTAATGAAATAAAAAAAGTAAAAAAATAAAAATTTTAATAAAACAAAAACAAAAAGTTTATAAAAATTAAATTTTAATAGTAAAAAAATATATAAATAACAAATAAATAAAAAAGTAAAAATTTACTCACTAACTTTTAAAAGCTTATTCAACTTTATAGTAAATAAGAAAGATAGAAATTTAATAATTATACTTTTTTAATAATAATTATAAATATTTTATAAATGAAAAATAAAAAATATATACCAAACGCTGCTACTCCGCGAAAACGATGTACTGAAGGAAACTTTTTAGCTAAAATTTAGATAATTTAAAAAAACACCAATAAATATCAGAATATAAAAAATTAACTAATCAACATTAAAGAAGAAATAAAACGATAAAACCAATAAATAACGTTGTTTAAATATCAACCAATCAACAATTAATAAAAAATTTATAAAAATCACCCGAATTAAAGGCTAAGAAACTCGCTGCTATTCCAAAGGCCTGAACTAATAAGTAAAAGTTATTATTTATTACTTGCTAATTTTGTTATATTTACATAACTTCCTAAAAACTCTTAAATTTCTTTTTATTAATTGAGGTAAAAAATGTGAAACTTTGGGTTTGAAGGTATAAGCCGTAGATTTAATAATTTATTGTAATACCACAAATAAAACGATACTTGATAAATCCAAGAAGGCCCGATATTTCGTTATCGGAAAACTATATAATTTGTGATGTGTATATCAATAAAGCAGAATTATTAATTGAGAAAACCTTATATCTCGACAAATCAAGTTGGCTAGTTTTGTAATCGCTATAAAAATCATTTTCCATTTGATCTTTTCAAGACTAGTAAAGTTACCAAAAATTGTATACAAATTATTTTTAATTTTCTTTAAGTAAAAATATAAAGTTTTTAATAAAAATTATAAATAAAAATTAAAATTTTATAAAATGAAATAAATGTAGAGAAAAAAAAACTTTATAGTATAAACAATTTATTTTAAAAAAAAAATTAAAGAAATATTTAAAAACTTTCTAGTTTTAAAGTCATTGACTTTTAAAGTATAGATTGTAGTACTAAACACAATATTATACTGAGAGCTATTTACTTCTTGATAGATGAGTAAGGTTTTTTATTAAAAACTATAAGTTATTCTTATTACTAATATATAAAATAAAATAGTTTAGTACTACTGACAGAGAGCTTTTTTTACATGTATTTTATAAAAAACAGTGTTAAAGTTAAAAGAACTAAAAAATTTTTTTTTGATATATATTAAGTGAACATCACCTTTTATATATTATAATACTCAATTTATATAATATATTAGAACTGTTAAAAATTTTATATTCATAAGTTTATTTTATTTAAAGGCCTTATTAAAGTAAAGCAATATTATATAGTAAACAAATTCACTTTTAAAATAATTTATTAAACGGTTCGCAACTTAATTTACGTTTATATAAGTTGAAAAAAATAAAAAGCACCACATATTTGGTAAAACATCTTTGGAAAAACCAATTAAAAAGAAAAGGCGAGTATAATAAAGTAAATTGTCAGTAAAGTTCTTAAACTTTTAAAAATTTAAATAGTTAGTTAAGAGAGTTAGTAACAGAAAGTTAAAACAACATACACAAAGAAAACGATAATTTTATATTAAAGTAAACTAGTTAAGAAATGTATCCATATCTCTATAATAATTAAAATAATTAGTAAGGTAAAAAGTATAGCCGAATATAAAAATAAATAATTCACTTAACCCGAAAACTAGTGTACGTTTAAATTTTTATGAAGAAATATACGTAAAAGCAAGGACAGGAATATTTATAATTTAAAATGTATAACTAAATTAACCTAAAAGTTTATTGTAGACAGTTAACTTATATAACCCTTAAAAATATAAACTTTTAACAATAGCAGATACTTTTGGCAACCTCTTATTAAATATACACTTAAACAAAAATTCCCATATAAAGTCTGACTTTTCTTTTACTGGAGGCTTAGGTCCTTTTACTTAATTCCAATATAATAACTCTGTGAAGTAAAGTTGAACAAAAGTTAGGTAAGGCTACATGATAATATCTACTTATAAACAAATAGTTATAAAGGGCTTCTTAAAATATATGTAAATAAGTTATATACATAGCATACATTGAGAACTGTGTAATTTTCTTTCAAACAGTATAAAAGTTTCTGTCTATGGTAACTAGAGTCATGGTTTTCCTAACCGGTGAAACATGGATACTTTTATATAGATTACAGACTTTAAAATTTTCTAAACCTAACTTATTAAATAATATATTAATAAAAATTTATGCCTCTCCTGATAGCACACATATAACGTTATTGTATAAATCTAAGTAATCTTACTTTTCACGTTCTTTCTTTCTAAAAAATAAGGAAGTTCCTGTGGACATTTACGTATCAGGAAGGTTAAATAAATAAAACAACTTTTGAGTTTTCTTATTAAAAATTGTTTATGCTTGCCAATGCCTATATACTGCGCTTGTTGAGTGTAATTTTTTTTTAGAAAGTCATTGTTAATATTTTGTGCCCAAAGTCAGGTGTAACATATATTAAACCGTCTCACCTTTCAATTGTAATAACAGTACATACGGACTCTTTCTCATAGTTATAAAAAAAAATGCTGTCGGAAGTGCGAGTTGCGCATCAGAGATCCATTGCATGTGGATTAAAATCCACATAACGATAACTTTTCCAAACATTAGAATTTGCAAATGCTGAGAAATCATTCAAAAACAGTTGTTAACGAAATGTACCTAAATTCCTTCTCTATTTTTAATACCAGTAAACTCCTAATTCAGCAATTTGCTGTTTCCTCCTCTTCCAGGAAATATAAACTAGTTTAAACTTAGAGATTTATTACTAAATGAATTTTCGGCAGGCCTTTGTGACAAAATTGGGTGTAACAATAGTATTTCATTGCGGACAAGTACGTTGAAATTAAAAGTTCTAAAAAACACTGCTGAGTACTCTTGAGGCGGAGATTTGCATCATTTGCAATTCTTCAGTACTGTGGAGAAGTTAAAGCCTTCTATTTTAAAAAAAAGGTCCTTATACAGAAAGTAAAATTCCAATAGTAGATCTCAAGGATAAGCCTCGGGTTCTCTTAAAATTTAGTTTAACATTATCATATAATACATAAATTTACAGTACATCCTTAATAGTTATCTTCGATATTCAAAAAGGTAATAAGATAGTTTTTCACCGTCCGCGACTATTACTTCGTTGTGTTTTTAATTGGAAACTTTGATCCATAGAGCCAATTAATTATATTTTCATCAGCGTTGTTGCTCTAAAACTAGCAAGCTTCAAGTCTAAGTAAGTTAGTTGTCTATTAGATTTTATCTTCAATTATTTTATCTTCTCGAGATTATAAATTCAGTTACTTAGAAAATTTAATTTCTTAATCACACTTTGCTGGTAGTATACCTTTCTGTTAGCATTCGTTTAATTAATATGAACCATATGCTGATAAAGAAATTAATAAATTTTTCTATATAAGAATATTAATGTTCATAAAACAGTATAATAATAAAAGTAAATACAAAACATAAAGAAAAGAATAAGTAAAACAAAAAGTGCTGAGTAAACAGTATTATTACCGGTTTTCATATCCTCTATGATTTGTGTATATAATGCTGTGTTTTTCATTACTAATATTGGCTACCAAAAGAACATTGTGACAAAAAAGTTATAAGTTTTTTAATAAAAACTTCCACTAAAGGAATAAAGAAATAAAAGTAATTGTATTATTGCAGGGGCAAGTTATATTATTTTAAAGGCCCCTGCTATACCCACGTGCCATTAAAAAAAGATTGCCATTTAGTATGAAACGCGGTTTTGTGTATATTTGGTAACTAGGCATTGTGCAGTGGTGGTAAGGTGATAGTTCTCAAGCATTTGTTTAATAAACTTAATAGGCCCAAACTGAGAGCCAGGGCTATATTGACCGTATGCAAACTTTGTTAAGAGGACATTCGTTGTAGGGAAAAAGTTTATATGTTTGCAAAGCTAATAATACAATTCACCTTTTTTTTAAAATTTAAATGCTTTTTTTCAGCTTTTAGTGTTGTCTATACTCAGACAGTATTAATAGACTTCCAAAGTTATTAGGACTCAGAACTATTAGAAAAAGGTTTAATTAATAGTTTTTGCAAAAATCAAGCATTCTAATTTTATGTACTTACGTTATAGAGCTTTTTTAATATTTACTATTAGCAAATCTATTTTTAATTATTATTAGTGAGTCACAAAGGTTGTGAGTCAAAGTTAATAACATTTAATAATATTCATAATACGTTTTATAATAATACACAACGAACCCAAGCTCAACTGTAAATAAATATTTTTAGAAATAAATATAAAATATGCCCTAAAAAAAATTGATGGTCGTAGCACAAAAAAACAATTATTTTTTGTCTATAGCAAACTATAATAGTCTCTTCGACAAGCGTTTAAGGAAGCTGGTTAAAAATATAGATTAATATTTTTATAAACCCCACGGAAACTTCATTAATTACGTTTTCAAGTTTTATAGTATAAACTTGCTTTTATTTTACCTCTTCTTTAACAAAAAAGTAAATGCTTATAATCTTCCTTATATGATTTTAATAGCGGAAATATCCTCAATAGCCGTCTCTCGAAACCTCTTCGAACCCTCAATTCGCATTTTTATTAAAAAATACGTTTTTAGCTTATGTTTTCGCTGTATTTAACTTACGGAAAATCTATAAGTTCACTTTTAACGAATATTATTAATCCATTAGACACATCTCAATCAAGATCTTAAAAGTGGCGTATGCCTGTTCAAATTTTATTTAGAATACTTATTTTTACTGAAAGAAATTCACATTTTTTATAAGCAAAAGTTAGATAAATCATCGATGAAGGAAAAGAATTTGAGTAAGGTTTAATATTAACCGCGAAAGCCTGTTTAAATTTAATTTCTATACTTATAATAGCGTTTTGAAAATTACATTTGAGTTTTATGCTTAAGTTAAGTAATTTATAAATAAAGCAATTTGTAATAAAGAAACTGAGTTGGTTTAAAATTTTCAGCGAAGTCCAGTTTAAATTTTATTTTATTTTACTAATTTTTTAGATGAACTGCGAAGATTTGTTAGTAAATTCGCAAGAAAAGCATAGATAAGTAAGAATTTGATTGAGCTAATTAACTGGAAGAGCCCACTAATTTATTTTGTGTTGAAAATTTATAATAATAGAATTACGCAAACCAATTTTTTTTTTTGGAAAGCAAATTCTTTTGTTAATTACAAAAATTTGTTTAAGCGGTAATTTAAAATTTATATAATAATTCAAGAAATTTTGTTAAATTTTATTAAATAAAATAGTTGAATTTTACAAGAAAAATAAAAAATAGTGGAAGTAAAAATCTCCAAGAAATTTTAGTTATAAAAGTGAATGAGCTAAATAATATATAACTATTTCTAATTTTTATATAAATTTGATTTTTTCATAAAGTTATAAAGTTTTTATATTTCTTAGTAGATCTTAAACTTGTTTCAAGCATTACAGGAAAATTCTATTTATTTACTACTTTAACATTTCTTTTTAAACACTTTTTACTAAAAATATTTTAATTTAGATTGTATAATAATATATTTACTGATCAATTTATATATAAATTTTATATGAATACGTTTTTTTTATTATAAATTCTGCTAAAAACTTAAGATTTACTTTATATGTCGTGATAACCAACGAAAACCTTCGCCGTAGCCCTGCCGTTTTTTTAATGAACACATAAATACTTGAAGGGGCCTCACACCTGTAAAAAAATAATGAAAATGATAATAATGTTTATAATAATAACAATAATACTAATAATTTTAATAATAATAGTAATAATTAATGAAATCCGCCACGCCAGAAAATTTTTAAATCTTTAAAAAGATTATATTATAATAAAATAATTTAAATAATAATAAAAATGCAGAGCGCTGCACTCTTTTTAAAATTTTTTATTAATAAAGTTGAAAATAACAAATTATTATAACAATGCACTTGTAATAATGTAATGATAGTAGTGCTTAGCTTTACAAATATAGTAATAAAATTAATATTTTTTATAATAGTAATAATAATTCAGGGATCCGAAAAAATTAATAAAGTTAATATTCGTTTAATAATAATAAATAATACATGAATTTCTATTATTATTAAAATATTTAATATAATATTTAGTAAATTTTTAATACAAATAACTAATATTACGCCAAATTCACTACTCCTTTTAAATTATTATAACCGAAAATTAATTTGGTAGTGAATAAGATAATAATGCAGAGTTTTAAAAAAAAATAGTAAACAAGTAAATATCTTTTAAATAATACTAATTAAAAAAGTATTTCTAAACTTAACATTTTTATTATAATAATAATAATACAAGATTTTCTGTTACTATTAGAAATATTATAAACCAATATAAAATAATAATAAAACTATGATAAATCTTTTCAAGCACAATTAGAATTTCCAGTAAAAATAATTTTTTTACAGCGCACATATAAATATAAGGAAAAGTCAAGCGAGTATAGATTTATAGTAGTAATAATAATAAGGAAAATAAGCAGAATAGAAAGAAAAATTTTTATAATAATTATGTTTTTACTTTGTAATAAAAAAATGAAGTCATTTTTATAAATTTAAATAGAAGTTAAAAGGATTATAATAATAATTATTATAAAATTTAATAATTATTAAAATTTCTATCATCAATAAAAAATTTGATGATAGTATTATTTTCCGATTTATATATTAAGAATAATAATAGTTGTAATATATGAAAAGCATATTTTTTTATTAAGTTTTAATAAGAAAAAGTAATGATTTTTATATATTAGAAATATAATAAGATATTTTTAAAATAACTAAAAAAAATTTATAATAATAAAAAATAAGTGTAATATATGAAAAAAAAAAGTTCATTATAAAAAAAATAAATCAAAATTTCTTGAGAAATAAATTATTAATAATTTGTAATAAATATAAAAAAAATTAAAAAAAAACTATACAAAAAGTTTATAAGTTAAAAAGTAGTCCTTATATATTTAAAATCATTGTAATATACGAAAAGAATTTTTATAAAAATACTAAAAAAAAGTTTATAATAAGAAAAAAAGTAATTCCTTTTATATTAAATAGACATAATAATTAAAATAAATATAATTTATAAAAAACTATAAAAAAGTTTATAGTAAAAATAATTTTTTTACAATATATTAAAAAGATGCCCAAAAAAAGTTTGTAATAAGAAAGTAATCCGACTAGTAGTAAAAAAAAAAAATAAGAGCAATATATGAGAAGAATTTTTTAAGAAATATACTAAAAAAAAGTTTATATTAAGAAAAAAGTAAAATATTAATAACGCTAATAGCAAATTATTATAAAATAATAAACATTTTTATTTATTTTTAAAAAAAGATAAACTTTATTTATTATTATTACTATTTCTACTATTATTATTAGAATCCCCAAGCTCATTAGTGTTCGTACTTTATTATAATTATACTTATAAATTGCTTATGTGTATTTTTCCTATAAAATCAATATCACAAAAAGTTTTAAAGAATAAGAATGAAGTAAAAAACTGTTTTAAAACGGGAAGAAACGAAAAAGCTGCACGACTGTAAACAATTTTTAATACTACACTTTAAGTATATTTTCTAAAAATATTATTAATAACAATTATTAAAGCAAATATAAAATTACAAGTTCAGTATATTTTATGACAACATTCATAATTATTCAAGAAGTTATATAATAAATATAAAGTAAACTTCGTGCCTTCAGGGACCGCAGAGGATTTATCGTACGGCACGAGGTGGGCAATTCCCATTAATTGGCGGAATTCCTCTTCGCTGCAGGCGCTCCGCTCATCAATTTTATTTCCTAAAACTAATACGGGAACTTTAGATAATTCTTCATCGGAGAGAAGCCTCTAAAAAAAATATTTTTACATATATTAATTATATTTATTTAATAATGGATTTTATTATATATATTTTTTTATTAAAAAATATATACAAAAAGTAGTGGTAATATTACGAATTTATTTAAAACAAATTCGTGTACAAAAATATATTGAAAATAATAAAAATGTTTACGATATAAACTTTTAAAGAATATAATAATTATATACATATGATAATTATAGTTAATTTTATAGTAATGAATGCTATTATTTTTATTTTTTGAGAAAAGTTATTGGGAATAAAAATAATATTATATTTTAAATATTAGAATATAAAAAATATATTGAAGTTATAAAAAAATAGAAAAAATATATAGAGAGAAATAAACTAAAAAAATACTTATAATGATATTAACTTTAATAAAAAAAATATAAATTAGTTTGTTAAATTCAATCAATTTTTTTAACAGGTAAGTAAAGATTATAAATCTCTAATCGGACAATTTAAAATTATCATTATTTATATTTCTTATTAGTCTGTTGAATAAAAATAATTATAAAGATTTGCATGTTATTATATTTTTAATCTAATTTACTTATAAGTTTATGCATTTAATTATACAATCTAAAATTACAAAAGTTAGAAATCTCTAATCTTGAAATTTTACAGATAATTATTTTCTTTACATTACTTATTAGTTTGTTTAAATATAAATTAATTAAATAGATTATAAATCTACAAAAAATTTATGCCCAAAAAGATTATTAATTATATTTAATCTAATTTACTTATAAGTTTGTTACTTGCATTGATTTATAAAATCTAAAATTATTAAAGTTAGAAATCTCTAATCTTAAGAATTAAAATTTTATTTCTTTATGTTGACTTATTAGTTTGTTAAATGCAATAATTTTTTAAGAAATTAACATTCCTAAATTCCTAGAGTAACAAACTAATTACAATTATTAGGAAGAAATAACTGAAAAACATAGTAATAAATAAAATAAGCAAATAATAGTAAAAAAAAATAAAAAGCTATAAAAAAGTTATAAAAAAGAATATAAAACTAATAAAAAAGAAATAATAACAAAAAAAAATAAATATATAACCAATTGTGGATGTTAAAAAAGTTTCTATATAGACGTGACTTATATTATATATTCTTTTGATGTTATTTATTAAAATGCTGAAGCGTATAAAAAATAATAATATTATTATAATTAAAATTACGTAGAGTTCCAGTTGAGCTTCTTTTAGGCGATCACGCTGAGCGGCGTCTACCATAAACACAACTGCGTCAATATTAGGAAAATAGTCGCGCCAGACTCTTCTGGCTTGCTCGTGCCCGCCCAAGTCGTACGTTTGAAATCGAATATTGCCGATGCTTAACTCTTCCTTAGCTTTTAGCAGAAGCAAAATCAACAGTAAAAAAAAAATTAAAATTAAAAATTAATTTAATAATTTAAAGTTTAATAAAAAGAACAAAGTTCAGAGTAAAAATTTAAAAAAAAAAAATAATAAATACCTACAAAAACTAAAAAAAGTTAATTTAACTAAATGTAAAACTAAATAAAATTATAAAAGAAACAATAATTTAGGAATGAAGATATTATTTAACAAATTAAAATATGAATATATAAAAAATTCCGATAATAAAGTTAAGAAAAGATTTTAAAACAAATAAAAAAATTTAAAGTATATTAAATTTTACAGTAAACGATATTTTATAAGTAAATCTACCTGCCAAATGCAAAGATTTGATTGAAAATTCAAATTTAAAATAATAAAAAGTCAAAAAAAAAATAACTCAAAATAAATTAAGTGAACATTTAAATTAACGAAATTGATTAAAATTTTAATTAAAAAAATAAAATTAAGAACAAATACAAAATTTAGTAAGTTTAATAAAAAGTATTTTAATATTTAAATTAAGAAAGGGATTAGAAGTAATATAAATTGGAATTACTATAAATAAACAATTATCTTAATACCTTAAAAATTAATTTAAAAAAGTAGTTGCCTAATTCGATAGGGAAAAGTTAAAAAATGAATTGTCATAATAATAATTTTAAAATTTAATTAAAGTAAAGCTGATATAATTCAGATTTTTTACCAAAAGTTAATTCAACTTAAAAAGTAAATAAAAAATATAAATTAAAAATTAAAATAAATTTTTATTTAAAAAAAATTAAAATTAATTATAATTACCAAATTTCAAACGTTTAACTTAATAAATTTAGATAATATAGTTGAAAAAAGAGTTAATAATAATATAAATTAATTTAAATTTATATCTTAAAAATTTTAAAAAAAAATTTTATTGCCAAAATTAAATTTATTAAAGAAAGTCGATAAAATAAAGTTAATAAAGAAGTATTATCTAAAAAATAAAATAATTAAGGCTAAACTAAATTAAAGTTTTCAGCAAGAGTTAAATTAGAAATAAATAAAAATTAACATGTTTTAGAATTTAATTAATAAAAGTCATAATGTTAAAAAGAGAATTGAAAATAATAAAATTAAAAAAAAATTTAAATTAAATAAAGTTAAGCTAAATTAACTTTTCACGATAAAAATAATTTAGAAATAAAAATAATAAGTTCTTAAATTTAAAAGTTTATTAAAAAATTTCCAAAAATAATTATTAAGAAGAAATTACAAAATTTAATAAATAAAAAATAACAAATTAAATAAAAAATATTTTTTAAACTAAAATAAATTTTTACATTATATTTAATATTTTAAAAAATTAATAAATATAAATTTTAAAAAGGTGAATAAAAAAATCACAACATAAAAATTAAAATGAAAAAGGAATTTAAAATCACTAAAAAATAATACAAATTAAATAAAATTAACAATAAAAATAAATTATTTATTTTTCAGTTGAAATATTAAAAATAATTATAAAATATTATTCATAAAAGAGAAAAGAGAAAAGTAGTCTAAAAATTACTGAAAAATTAAAAAAAATTATTTATACTATAAAAAGTTTATAAGTTAAATTATAAAATATATTTTTTATATAAAATTATATCACAAATTAAATCGAAATAATATTATTTTTTGTGTTTAATAAAAAAGTTGAAAACTATAAAAGCGTAACAAAAATTATAAAAAGATACTTTCTTCTTTTCTCATTAAAATTAACTTTAAATTTATGAGTTTATTATTTTATAAAAGTTATTTTGGTGGCGGAACTTTAATATAAAAAACTTATTGAAAGTTACTTTGAAGTTTTTAACAGATATCAAGTTTATACACAAAAAAGCTTAGAACTTTAAAAAAATTAGAAGGTATAATTAAGTTATAAGTAAGTTTTAAAAAAATATATTTATATAGGAGCAAAAATAAAATTTTAAATAGTAAATAAAAAATATAAGTTAGAACATTTAAAAAAGTAATTTAATTTTAAATAAATAAATATGTTTATAAAAAACTATAAGATTAAATAATTTTTAAAATAAAATTAATATTATACAAAACTTGATTTAAATAATATTTTTCTCGATATATTTAGATGTTAAAAAATAAAAAACAAAGATAATACAGTGTATAATAAAAAAATAAATTTTGCAAAGTAAATTTTATTAATATCTAAATAAAATTTTAGCAAAGGGTAAACTATAAAAAGTTACGTTAAGTAAAAGTTAATTTATATTACGTAAACTAAATATTAAAAAATTGCTACAAATATAAATTAAAAACAAATTAAAGTTAAGTTTCAATTCTTTAAAATAAAAGTATAAAAAGAATTTAGTACTGCAGTATAAAGTTGGCGTATGCTGTGTAAGATGATTATTTTTAAGTAAATGAAGAAGTGTAGTTTTTCCAGCATTATCAAGACCCAGAAACACAATCTTTGCAGTTTTCGAAGTAAAGAAACTAAGAAAATCCCAAAACCAGTTGACCACAAACATTTTAGTAATCTATTTTCAATATTTCAAATATTAAATATTTAAAGAAAACCATAATAAAAAGCTATCTAGTGTACATCTTTTTTTTTTAATACAACTTTAAAGTATAGTGAAGAAAGAATTAATAAAAATATATTTAATAATTGATACCTTTAGCTATTATCTTTCATAAAAGAAGAAAAGTTGAGCTAAAGAGCAAGCCGAGCTTGCCCCAACATTGAGATAATTGTGCCAACAAAATCGCCACCTTGAGTTTTGCCTTTGAGCGACCAATGATGAAGCGAACTTTTCCTTTTCAAGTTTTGTTTCAACTAGAGTTAGGCGAAACAATTTTGTAGTATAAGCAATTTTCTATAACTAAACCGCTTTTATTAAGTAAAAGTTACATATTATAAGTTATACTGATGAATATTAGTGTTTCCTCCGAGTTTTTATATTTTTTCTTTAACAAAAATTTATATATTTTGTGCATTGGATAAGTGGTGTCTCTTTTAATAAACGGTTCGTACTAAAAGTTTATGTTTTAAGTCCTTTTTATATATTGTTGTATTGTCTCTGACTTTTTATCTTTTTCTTAAATTTATTTATTATGTTTCTTGAAAAAGTAACATATATGAAGTTCTTTTTTTTTTAAGTCCTACTGATAAGTTTAGAATTTTCGCTCAGTTTTTGGCGCTCTTTAACCTTTAAAAATTGTTAGTGCCTAACCGTGATATATATAGAAAGTGGTCTTATTAAAATTATGTTTTTTAATGAGGAAAAACTAACTTTGTGGGAAAAGGTATTTTTTCTATTTTGCACAAGCCTTATATGTAGGTTATAGAAATTATTCCCTTCTTGTGTGACGATTCTTATCTTAAAATTCTCAAACTCTTTGCCTTAAAAATTAAACGGCTTAGGAGGGTCGAGGAGTAAAGTCTTCTAATAATTTATTGTTTGCTAATATCACCACTGACACTAATTCATATTTGAGATTCACATCCCTTCAAACTCCTAAAAGATAAAGAAGTAATCTAAAAACATTCAAAATTTTGAAAAACTGACAGTGTACACTCAAATGGAAATAAGCATTCGTAAAGAGATAACTTTAAAGTCGGAAGTTGTTAACTAATGGCTCTAGCTGGAGGACTCGTAAAAAATCCCTTTCACTAACATGACGTGCAGTAGCGAAGACACAGCCCCGCGGGCACGTATGTTAAGATTAGCCGAATACACACATTCGACCCCTGTTATACTATGATAGGTTGTTCAGGGCCGTGCCATCTAAAGTTAGCGCCACTATAGCGTAGGGCGCTTCTGCGTTATAAAAAATGCTTGCTTATCGGCTCGTCTTACTTGACTTTAAATACTTGCTGAGAGACAAACGAGTTTAACGGCCAGGAGTAGATCGCTGAATTTGCTTCGTATTGGGGTGAGTTGCGGTTGGGCTTTGCTGGTGACTCTTGTAAGCGCGAAGAGCATGTGGGAAAGAAGAGGCTTCAGAAAAGTCCCACTACTAGTAGCCTAAAAGGAGGCTGGATATAGCCCACAGCGACGCTAAGGATAATGCTCCCTAACAAGTAGTTAAAGGCCTGGAGGAAAGCTAAGGCTCGCAGTTAATGGAGAGAGTCCACTCATGACAACTCGCCTCAAAGGTTAATTTTAATGACGGCGCCTCGCTTATTAAAAGTAAGCTGCTATGTCTCCCTTGCCAAATTTTATATAAATTCCAAAGGGAAATAGCGAGCAGCGTGATTACTGCTATAAAGAAGCGCGATAAGGCAACTGCCGTAATTTTGTGATAAATGAGAAAAGCCTGGTAGGCCGGTAATTTTTAGGTAGAATAGCTAGTGTGTCTTCGGCTGCGTCACTAAAGTTGGCTTCTCCTTCCCATCGGAATGACTCCGCAGGTCATAGTCAAATTTGTAAAGTGACATTTTCTTGCGTGTCGTTGGAAAAGAAGAAGCAGTGGAAGTTGGTGTGATGTGCTCTCGGTAACATAGATAGTGTACGGCCTCTCTTTGTTTTAAAAGAGAGCCTTTAAGCCTTTAAGAAAATAACTCCACTTTTTGAAATCCCATCTTCAAAGCGAGACAACGTAAAAGCCAAGTTATCAGATGATCATTTACAAAACCTTCCTAGTTAATAGTTTGAAAAAGTTAAATATTCCACGTATAAGTCTAATAAAAAACAGTCTCAGCTCTTGCTTAACACCTCGGGTACTTGTAGTTTTTTTAAATTAAGTGTTTTACGCTCAGGCAAGGCAAGGAAAGCTGTTATACCATAAAAACTTCTAGCTCTTCTGTATAAATATCGTCTAAAATAATTAACTACCCTGCATCATTAACCGCAGGTGTTTCCAAGAAAAAAAATATAGATTGTCATCCGTTAATCAAATTAATGGCTTTTTTATCTTTTAATAAATATTTCTACAAGTTAGAAACAATTACTTGAAAAAAAAACCTCTTAAGTTTAGATTAATATCCACATGATACTGCCATATATGTAGTTTCAAAATCTTACTAAACTCCCAACCGCGTACAATATAATTCTAATATTTATTATCAGTCGTGATTGTCATAGATAACTATTTATTACTTTAAAAACCGATTAATGATTGCATTAAAATTATATTAATACCTCTCGATAATCTAAAGCATCAAACTTCACAAATTCTGAAAAAATAGATTGAAAAATTTGTGATCGCGATTAGTAGTAAAGTGGAAACCTTATACTGAGCGTACAAAATTAATAAAAAAAATTTTACATCAAACCTTTTCCAATATATAAGCAAAAAAATACTTTTTTTAAGTTTATAATCCAATATATAACTTACCTTTGCTTTAGTCGCTTAAACTCATTAATTTAAAACTAATATCAAATCTGCAAGTAACTATCACCAAACGTCACTATCCCAATTTATGAGGGGGTGCAGCATATGGAGCCCCCATGGTAATCCATCACAGTACATTTCTCTTTACAATAGGATATGTATTAGAGCTTATTACACAATTTTTAATATTCATTCCCCCCCCACCCCACATTTAATTTCACTTTGCTCCTTCACTTATTAAATGCTCAATATACCTAAACTATTGAATAATAGCCATAAACCTTTTTTAACCCATAAAACTTAAATTAAACTAATGTTATCTTATATTAAATGAAATTAGTCCTTAAAGAGCCTGCGGTTTAAATTATAGTATACACAACGATTGCCTCGCTATCCTATTTTAGAGCTATAGTTTTTTGTTTTTGCCTCTAAGTTTTTCCTACTTTCATATAAAAGCTTACATTAAACGGGTTTATAAAATATGTTGAAAAAACTTGTAAATTATAACAGGTTAGAAGGTTTTTTTAGTAATACTAAATTATTTTAAATTTAACAATATTGAGTTAGTAGAAGCGGATATTATAATTGCGAAATAAATAAAATTGTTTTTATTTTGATAATTTACATATTTTTATAAAGTCGGTTAACTTTTTTAATGTATAGTATCGTGAGGTCAAAGATTTTTAGAGCTACTTAAAAGTAACTAGATGTATAAAGGCACACGGCTCCTGGGGCCTCTTCTTAGTTCGCTCATATATATAACAGCTGGTCTTGCTGTTTCTGATAAAGGTAATAGAAATCCCGAGATAGTATAACAAAGAACAAACTAACAAAAGCTAAAACTTAACTAATAGGCCGACCCCCAGTCATAGGTGGTTAGGTACCTTTATTACGATTTAAACTGCTCTTAATAATGAAAATAACGGCAGTTGGCCTTAGCCCTTTAAACAATCTATGTAACATTTGACTTTGTAAGAGAGCAAATGGTCATACAGTGAACTGATGGTTCTAAGTGTGAAAATTTGTTCGTTTATTGATAGGTTTACGATTTACTAACTGTATTGCCTACCCGCTGTCTTCCTCTGGCCCGATGGAGTTCTATGACTTTATGGTTCGCTAGAGTAGGAGATTAGGTAAATTCGTTCAAAAGCTAAGGTCATACTGGTTTTAGTAATGAGTAATACGAAATAATGTTATTATAATTGATATTAGATACTTATAGTATTTTGTTTAAACTAGCTTTGATGACAAACTTAATCTAGAGTCCCCTTTTGTCGTATCTATTAGCGCTGGCTAAAACTTATGTATAAAAATAGTATAAATTTCTAGAGTATTGAATCATCTCATATGATGCCTGCTGATAGCAATGTTACAGTAGTGTTATTTTCTAGTGAGTACTATACATAAGGTGCCTGTTCGTAACTCCCAACTACCCATGTCAAAGAGATATATTAAAAAAAAATGTTTAAATGCGTGAAGTCAAGTGCATATCAATTCTCAAACCACAGTAAAATTTTAGTAATAAAAAACTCTTAAAGTTGAGATAAAAATATTCCACAGAAAATTCAGTTATATCTTTATAATAATGAATATCTTTATAAATTTAAAATAATAATCTATTTAACTCTTTTAGGGGTATCCTTTTAGCAACAAAATAGTGCAACTGAGCTAAAGGGAGCACTTATCCTAACAAATTTGTACTCTGCCTTTATAAAGTTAGAACTGCTAACATTATCTTCCTTTTTCCTTAGTAGCTAGTCTAAATTTCTACATATTTAAACTAAAGGAGTGAACTAAGTCAATAACTTTCATAACGACAGCAATAGTTCAGTCCTTGGCTGCCATGTATAAACGAGTGAATATATGTAGACTTCCAAAAGTATTATAAGCCCTTTTTATAAATAATAAAGGTTGCAAGATTTCGTGTTCCATATATATGCCCTTGTATCATATTTAAAATATGTATGGTGCTACATAACATACATTTTTATCGATACGTCTATTATTAATAATCATATAGAAAATTTTTTATTTTATCCTGGTACTGCAGCAGCAGCTGCTAAAAATAATTTGACAGTTATTTTTAAAGGTAGCATGAAATTAAGTAGTTCAAATGCTTTTTTTTTCATTTTTATTTAAGCGTTAGGGAAAAACTTATTTTTTGATGTTTTCTCCTTATGTAAATTACTAAAATAACCACACACTGGTACAGAAAATGCCCGTAGTTGCATTCCACCGTATTAAAATAATTTTTTTTAATTCAAGTAGACTCCCAACTTTAGCTAAACATAAACTCTCTAAAAAACAATTTTATGTTTAATAAATCTTTGAGCTTAATTCCTCATAACCTCTTGTCACCTTTACCAAATTGCATATATGATTATTGTCTAATTTTATTATTACCTATGTACAACTCGCGAAAAAAGTCAATATCACAAAATAAGTTCTTGGATAAGATTTTACTATATTTTTTAACTAATAAGGGGTTCCTTTTGGATTCAATTTCCTGCTTGCTGAAGTTTAGCTTTTAGAATAGTATATGTAAAAGGAACGCCAGTAATATAAACAGAGTAATCGCATAATGTCCGAGATTTATAAATAATTATATACGCATGTTATAATTAATTTATAAAATGGAAATAATACAATATTATTAAGACTATGCAAACAATAAAATAACAAACTGCAAAAAACTCATGCCTTTGAATAGATTTTTAGTACACAATTAATTTGTTAATTTGGCTTCAAAAATTAACTGGTAGCGTTAATTCATACTTATTATAATTATCCTAATATAGTAAAATATCTGGAGAACTGTGAAAGGAGCAAAATCCCTTTCTGGCTCTCGTCGGGGAAGTGGAGCGCTAACGTGGATCTGGTAAATTTACGGTAGTTAAAATAATTTTATGCATATAACCTTTGAAATCTTATTACTAATTATATAATAATTCTTTACACATTTAGTTTACTTTAAAAGAGTACTTTCGAGATGGGAATTGAAATTTCTAGCTTTATTCGAAGTCTTTTTTCAAAGACTGAAATGCGAATTTTGATGGTTGGGCTTGATGCGGCTGGTGCGCTATTTTTTTGTCTTTATCATTATTTTATGGTTTAAAATTATTTTATATAGGAAAGACAACCATTCTATATAAACTAAAGTTAGGTGAAATAGTAACCACTATTCCTACTATCGGCTTCAACGTGGAAACGGTTGATTATAAAAATAATTCGTTCACTGTGTGGGATGTTGGAGGGCAAGACAAAATTCGCCCACTTTGGAGACATTACTTTCAAAATACTCAAGGTTGAGCAATAAGTATGGAAATTTTTTATAAAGTTTATTAACGTTTTCCTAGGGCTTATATTTGTAGTGGATAGCAATGATGTCGAGCGCATCGGTGAAGCTCGTGAAGAGTTAATGAGAATGTTAGCTGAAGACGAGTTGAGAAATGCTGTTTTGCTCGTGTTTGCAAACAAACAAGATCTTCCCAATTCTTTGAACGCCGCTGAAGTTACGGAGAAACTTGGATTGCATTCTTTAAAAAATAGAATTTGGTACATCCAAGCAACTTGTGCTACTAGTGGAGATGGCCTCTATGAAGGCTTAGATTGGCTTTCTCAAAAACTTAAAGGCAGGCAATAAATTTATGGAATAAATTTATACACAAGATCTTTAAGAGATTTTTTAAATGTTAAAGTAAATTTTTTTTGGTTTCGGAAGCTAATATAATTTTTCGAAGCACATTCCCCCCCCTAGATTTTATAATATCTATAATGCGGTGTTCCTGCGCTGCTTAGGTCAATATCATGAATTTAAATTTACAGCTTGCGGTTAAAATAGTTTTTAATTGTTTACTTTATTAAGAACCCAACGATTCTTTTTTTACTGGTTATTAACTTTGTCAATCTCTTTATTATGGGTGAAAAGAATATAAATACAAATTATATAATGCACAAAACTGCCAAAAGTCCACGTTCTTATTAAGGCGTTCGAGAGTGCCCAAATTATACAAAAAGTTCATTAATTTTTATTTAGTATCGAAGAGTCTTTTGTTTATCTTTTAGAAAACGCAAAAATTCTTTTTATTGTTACTAAAAAAAGTTATATTATCTCCACTACTATATAAACCTGTTTTTCCACTTCCTGATGTTTTTTATTTTTAAAATAAATGGGGTAACAAAAAATCTTTTTTTTGTATAGCATTATTAAAAGTTTACAGCGTTAAGTTAATAAGGTTTGATAAAACTAATTATAATATTAAAAACGCATATTGTTATAGCCAAGTTATCAAAATTATACTAGAAGTTGAATGTATTTTTTTGTAAAAAAAAAGTTATTCTTTACGTGATAGAAGAAATACAGCGTTAACTCCGCCTTAAGCGCAACTTACATACACTTCTTAACTTTTCTTCGGAAGTTATTTTTTTTTACTTTACCTTATTGTAGATGAAGAGTTCGAATTAATAAAAGATATTTAAACTATTATAAATCATTTTTTATTAAATTTTACATGTGTCAACCTTAAATCGCTTACTGAAAAATCTAAATTTTTACTTATAACAGTCTTTTGTGTTACAGTAAATAAATTTATAAGGAAATAAATAGTAGATACAATACTTTTTAAGTTTAACAAGAAACAGTTAATAGCTACCTAAAATCCTGGGAAATGTGACAAATTTTTAAAATTATAATTTATTCTAGTATATACTTAAAATATGCTACTTTGCCTTACACCTTTACGAATGCAGGAAATCTTAGGGGAAAAAATATAGGTTTAATAAACGACTGTGTTATTATCGTATTTTATTCTTGTTCAGCAAGTTAAGCAGTATGTAATCTTCCATATTCACACCAGCTTATGAGTTCTTAATATTTTAGCTTAAGATCATAATAACAAGGGCTGTCCGAATAAACCAAACTCATTGAAGATGTGTTTGCTTCCTTTTTAAAGATATAGAGAACATAAAACCCACCCTCATTTTGACTTTACTATAGCAAATAAGTTGTTTAAGTGATTATACAACTTAACAACTCCAAAATAAGGTCCAAGGTTATACCCCTTTTCTTTCAAGGTTGTTTAAAATCTTGAACATTCTATTTTATACAAAGTCTATCAAACTAGGTAATGTAAAAATTAAACTTGTAATACAGTTTGACTTTTTTATTAAATGTTTATTTAAAAAACTGTTGTTAGTTTTAAGCCCTACAGCTTAGCCCTTGCGATTTAAACATCTATCCATGATTTCGCACTAGAACCGGGGTGTATATATTCCCCGAATAGCAGTTTTTGGATTTATTTTCTTTTAAACAATTCTTCATTCCCGGGCCGCTGGACTTGCAGAGGGTGTTTTCATAACAAAGTATAGCAGAAAATTTCAATTAGTTGATGAATACCGTATCAGTCTAACACAATAACACGTTTACACAACACCTAAGACACAATTTAAAACGCAATATATGGAAAAACAAAAATAAACATAGATTACGAAACACTGTATAATACTTTAAATCTAAAGTTCGCAACCATGAGACATACATAAACACAGAACACTAGCCCTCTAAATTTTCACAGGAAAATGATACGTGATTAATCCAATCGGAAACTTGAGGGGAAGAACTGATAAAGATACGAAAGAGAAATTAACATTTCAACGCATAAAATATCTAATATAACCTACCTTTTTTAAATGGATACAAAATGAACAAAGTAAAATTTTATCTGGTTTAATTAAATCTATTATACATATATGGAAGCAAATTTTGACATTCTGTAAATAATAAGGACCTAAACTCATTAGAAGTGTCCTCGATTAAGTATACTTTTCATATACGTTTTTCACTCAAGTTTTGAAACAATAGTAAGGGAAGATAGGTTAGCGGGTTAAGATTTCGTGATCTCCTTGTAGAATGCCATTTTTATTAATAAATAAATAAATTAGCATTTATTATAGTTCCTCGTGATATCTAATTTCAATAAACATGTCTATCAGGCTAGGAAATTCAAATAAAGTAGTTTATAATGTTCGCTTAGCTAAACTTTGTACTACTTTTCGGCTTTCAGTCTACGCTCCTTTTATTATGTCGTTTAAAGCCTAAAAACCTAAATAAAGTTGATTGCTTTTACTAAAGATCAAAGCACAGTTAACTTGTAATAACAACAAAACCTTGAGCTAACAAATTATTTACTCAGTTGTAAAGAGTTAATAAAATAATACCCATTATTATCTTTTTTAAACATTTATTAAGTTATAATATTTTTTTTATAAATAATTATAGAAGTGATATTAAAGTGATAGTCTTATAGTAAAGGAAGAAACAGAAGACAGTGCTTCAATAGAAATTTTTTTTGTCTGTATGGAAAAAATTTGCAAACATTAGTTCTCTTAAATCTCCCTAGCAGAATTATATTTTTGAATGGCTTCTACTTCGTTGCTGAGAGTTTCCGCGTTAGGGTTTTGCCTCCCGCATCTCTTGCAGTTTTTCTTTTTCTTCGTTTGTTGACGAAGGGGCTCAGTGCGCGTAAGAAATCTATAATATTAAATTAAATAACAGTTCTACTACCTCGACTTACCTATATTATACTTTATATTATTTAAATTGTTACTTCACTGTCTATAATATACAATCTCGAAGGCCTTCAACTTGCAAGATCAACACAGAAACTAAACAACCCTAACAAATTTTGTTTTAAATCTCTACAGGAAAACAACCGTAGGGAACGATAACAACTCTTATTTTGAACGGAAGCATAAAAAATACGTCAATATTTAAATGGCTGAAGCTCCTAACTTAAGACTTAAATACTGTGGATGCTCATCTCGCAGAAAGTATAAAAAAAAATTTTTAAGCTTAAATTTGTCATAAAAGGGTGGCCTATTCCAGAAATAAAAATAAATAACTATTTTACAGATATGCTACTTACTAATAATTTTGACTATACAATTTATTTTTTTTTGCAAAGTTAAAAGTTCTTTAAGAAGCTTGAGCTTCTTTAATTGCTTTTCTAAAGAGGAAACGGCTTTGTAGTAATTATTAATATATATATATATATTAAGGTAATATCTATAACTGTCTGTTATTAATTTTTTATTTATCTCGTTCTCTTTTTATAATTTTTAGCTACTACCTCGTAGGGGTGTCTGTAAACTACTTGTAGGGTCCAGCAACGGGATATTTTTTTTTCATTTCTTCAGTTTTCAGTAAGCACACTATCTCAGGGCCCACAAATATTTGCCCATCTTATATTTCTTGACGTGTAAAGGCTTTTTTGCTGTCATGCGGATGACCGATGCTACTGGTCCCAATTTTTTAATGACAGGGAACGGTTGACGAAGCATCTAAAATAAAGAAGAGTCATTTTTTCACGGTAACATATCATACCTTTAAATTAATACTTTGGCGTGGTTGAGTATACTTTTCCATTTGAATATTTTTTGAAATTTTTTAATCCAAAACACTTTATGTACTTCTTGTCATATTATTGAAATTTGATACAAGAAGGTTCAACGAGGAAAAAAATGCGTAAACCCGACCCTTTGAATTCCAGCCTAAAAGCCTATGCAATATTTGTGCAAAGAAATATTGTGCAGAGTATATAGGAAGGACTGTCACACGGGCTGATCTATGCATATTATGTTTGTAAATGATAAGTTACTTGCTATTATCATTTTGCTTACCTGTTTTTACATCAACGTTATAAAGAGGAGTGCACTGCTGTGCTCTGTATAGCAATTAGAGCATTTTCAAACAACTGCTCCAGAAACCAGGGTGCTGTCCGGTAGAGGTTACTAAGTTCCTTCTTTCCACCTTACGGAAAAGCATTTTCTTCGCCCCAAATAAAGGATTAATTAAATGCTGATGACTGAGTTACCAGCTTGTTCAACCACTTATAATCACCTCGCCACTCAGAAAAAAAATATAATTTCAAAAATTTAGAAAACAGCAATAAACGTTACCTTCATTTGAGTGTTCAAAGATGTCTCAATAGTAGCCTTTTTACTGCAGCCAGATGCTTTATAGCGATGGTAATTTATGGTTTGCAAATTTTTAGGTGTATTCTGAGCAAACTTTATGTAGTGGCCCATCCAGCAGTGGCCAAGCTTTCGGGCTGAAGACCACGTGTTGCATTCGGCAAATCAGGCCCTATATGAAGTAAAAACAGTGATTTACTTAAATGTTGGAAAAAGTAGCCAATTAAGGGGGAGTACAAATTATTTTTTTTCCAGCGATTCCAAAATCTGTTTTTATTCTTGCTCGAAGTCCCCATAGAAGTAACCCTTTTTCATGGACTTTTTTTAGAAAGGTGAAATGGTAGGTTTCTTGACCTATTCGTTATGAAAATGGTATTGTCTATTAAAAAATGCTTTATTTCATAGGTACCTATGACAATTCCGTATAAGTTATCCGGTTTGACATGCGTCACTATACCTTAATTAAGTACAAATGTATATCTTGGGTTAATCCCTCTTGTGGAACTCCGATGCCGACCTTAAGGAGGTATTACAGATAGTTAACCCCCATAAAATTTTCGTAACAATGTATCCTATTTTTACTCCTGGTTGAAAATTCATTAAGAAAAATTCTTTTATAGATATTTTCTGCAAGGTTTTTAAAGGCCGGAGTTTTGAAACCCTTGAGTAAATTTTATTTCCGCTCTTTCCTTTGATAAAATTAATTTACTGCCAAAGAAACTAATTTTCCTAACTATTTTTTTTATAATAGGAGGTCCCTCTTCCATGGTGGGCCATCAAATTTATTACGTTATTATTTGCATAGAAGTACCTTTAGTGCCTTAATAAGAGTTAGTAACTATATTAAAATTATTTGTTTTTAAAATAACCTATACTATGTATTATGCGCCCCCATTCTGTTGCATAAAGAATGAAACTCAAGGATATGGGCCTCAAAGAATTTTTTTTAACCTCGGAAAGATTATAAGGAAAGTACAAGTGCTGTTTTTCTTCTTGTTTTCCTGAGCAGAATATAATAAAATCGTAAAAAGACAGTTAAGCTACTTATCAATTTTTTTAAATTGTTATTATCACTTCTAGCCATCAGTTAAAGTATCTCCGATATATCTACTAGAATTTGTTTTATCTTCATAGGAGGTAGTCATAATTCAAAATTTTTTTTAAACAAATGAATTTGCATTATACAAGGGTATTTAAGACACCAATTTCACAACATATTAAAGGATAAGATCAACAATAACCAGTGTAAAGAAGCAAAACAATGAGGGATGGATCACTCTTTTTTTAATTGTGCAGATGCACATAATTTTGGAAATTTATGAAACAGGTCAGAAATCGCGGACATGCACCACTACCGCTACTTTGCGAGAAAAATTTTGTGACTGAAATGATGTAGACAAAGTTACGCTATTAGCTATTCTTCTCGCTCCCCAGAAGGTGTGCCTGCTCTTTCAACTGCCAATGATACGCTCTCTCAGAGAATTTTCTCCTTATCAGACCAACGAACCAACTGGAATAGTTAATGTAGACGCGATTCAAGCGACTGTTATAGCGCTACCCAAACAAAAAGCTTCTGTCTTCGATGAAGTTACCAATGAGATGTTGAAAAAATGCCTTAAACAGCAATGCACTATTTGTCTCCTAGCAAATTTAGAGATGAGCATTAGCAGTTTTATAACATGATAGAGAACAGCAACTGTTGTGATGCTGCCGAAGACATCGAAGCCGAAAGCTGCAACCTGCAAATATCGACCATTAGCCTCCTGTGAGCTGTAGGCAAAGTGGGCGTAGCCGCTTTACTGCACCGTCTTGGGAAGGTCGTTGAGGCTCGTGACCCTTGCGAAGTCCGCACTCAACGATCTAGCAACACTACTCGCGCTTTTAGCTTTAAAAAGGAATCAAGCTTCGTCTTCATAGACATTGATTAGACCATTGATTAAGTTTTAGCATAAAGGTCTGTAGCGCAAGCTCAGATCGTTAACCGTTAATCTAACCCTTATGGGGTCTTGAAAATGCCGCCGTCTTTGCAATAACTGGCAATAGGAGGCTCCTAAGAACCTCTTCTCTCGCCCCTACTGTTCGCAGCCTATATCCGCGACGTACCCTTACAACCATTTCCCTCGCGTATCGCCCTCTACACCCACGATACACCATTTACTCATCATCGAAGTCACCCGCCCTGCTGTACCAGCATTTGCAGCAATATCCTTACACGCTCGCCGGCTGTTTCGTAAAAGTAAAGTTCTTTTTTTAAACGCGACGAAGAGTAAAGCCCCCTATTAACGTGACGCTCTTAACTTTGATGGCATGAAGATTTCGTGCACTCTCAAGAGAATATTTGGGAGCCATCATAGACAACCAATTTTTGGAAAGTCAACACGTGGACTAAGTAGTGGCGAAGATCAAGACAGCGAAAGGCGCTTTATCTTTATTATGCAGCAAAAGCAAGCTTTCATCGCGCAACAAAAGACGATTGAAGTGCTTTGCATTTAGCCAATAATGACATCTGCTTCTGCTGCAGAACCTACAATTTTACGATAATAGCGTGTGCACTTCAAGCGCTTCGAAACAAGTTACCGCGCGTGATGATAGTGATGATAAATACTCCGTGGTTTGTGCGGAGCGAAGCTTTCTACCGAGATCTCCAGTTGAACTCATTAAGCGCTACTTATTTGTTTGACAGGTGTCAGTCCGACCTCTCCTATCGCTTACATCTTACCATTGATCTATGATGCTGTATAAAAGTAATAATGAGAATTAGGAAACAGATATATTTAGACTGTCGCGCACTCCCTTTTAAAGAATGAAAGCTGTCATTAGAGTGTGCATTACAGTCATATATATATATAGGTGCCAGATAAACTTCTCAAGTTTACCACCCCTATATATAGAAACTTAAATGACCCCAAAAGTCCTTTGTTGTTTTCCCCTTAATACTCATTACTATAGCAATTACAAGTTTATCTGAGAGATTTGGTCTTCTAAATAAAGTTAAAGTTAAAAATTTACTATTTTTCTATTGGTGCATATATTTATCCGTTCTCTAACATTGGAACCGCATCGGTAACAGGTAAAAAAAATTACACTTGGCTGCGATTCCGCTCGAGTATCCGGATGTTTTGACTCGGTCGAGTCCAAGGAAAAACCATTTATAAATAAAAATAATATATAGTTAACAAAGCGTTTTAATGCACAGTCCTTTGCTTCATTATAAAAAAACGCTTGAAAAGTTATAGTACTTAAATAGTCTTGAAAACTAAAAAGAACCGAAAGTGCGTAAAAACAAATACCATTAAAAAGTTAATTAATTTAAGAGTTCATTGACTTTATTATACTTAATACTAAGAGAGGATATATCTACCTGTTCACACCCAAAATAGCGTAGCTTTAAACCTGTTTTAAAAAAAGTATCTATTTAGGGTTATTTATTCAATTTTTTAGTTGTATATTGTTTTACTCAACTTTAAACAATTTTTTTAATTACTGAGTTAAATTTTAGAAGTTATACATCCCCTTTACTGGGTAAAAAGATAAGTTTACAATCTTCTTAGCATAAATCTAATAATTTAATATATTTTTAATTTTTTTTTGTACTATCATGCGAGAAAGTAAAAGTAGATTTTTCCCGTTAAAACTTACTTTTGTGTTCATATGAGTGAAGGAAATGAAAGAAAAAACATATAGCTCTATAAACTAATATATTCCCATTACAAAGAAGTGTGGCTGCCTTAGTATAGTGATGAGCCTAGATTTCTAGTTCTTTATTCAGCTTTAAAGAGATTACCGCTTAATAGTCTGCAGGCGGCCAAAATAGTATAGCAATATAATTTACTCGTAGTTATGATAATTATATGAAGAGTGCAGCTTTTATTTTAATCCCATAGAGGTTTAGTTTTAAATAAAGCTATCCAAGCTCTTTATTTTGATAAAAAAACTTATATCCATGCGTTCTCAAAGATGAAGAAGCTCTTCTAGTTTTAGAAGGACTGAAAAATTAGCAGACAGTTTTTTAGGTAGAAAGTTTTGCGATGATCAAACGTAAGTTATTTTGTTTTTGTAAAGTATGTAAGGCCCAAAAGAAGTCAGTCACTTTAACAAACAAGCTAATTATAAACAACTTCAAATTAGCACACTACATAACAAACTTTCTTCTGCCTTTATACACTTAATTTATCACCTCCCTACTACAACTACCCTCGATCTTTTGGCCAAAGCTAGAGAAGTACGTTAAGCAAGGCTCGAGAAGGTTTATTTGTAATTGTGTTCTCATACCAGCATCATAGTTATAAAAGCTCGCATGATGGGACTCAAGCTGAACCACCTAAAATTTTAGGTTAGCTACAGGTAAACAATAAAAGTTATGTTGGCTAATCTTTTTTGAACGTTTAAGTAAAATATTGTATGATAAAGTTTTTATTAAATTGTTAATTGCTTAGGCCAGAGGATTTTAGAGTGCAATGTATACAATCAATATATAATTAAAATACGGGCTTTTTCATATACTTAACGTTATATAACAATTTATTTCCATAGAAAATTATAAAAAAAGTGTAACACATAGAGGCGTAAAAGCACAAAAACTGTTAAAAAAAAAGTTCAGTTTCAAATGTTATTTTTTCTTCAAAGTTGACTGTGTGAAGGCGTAGCAATAATTACTAACAATATGAAATAAGAAACGTTGAGCTCTCCGCGTTCTTATATTGCTTATTAGTTGGCGGCCTCAGGCGGCTTGAGAACTGTTAACTATAAGTATTACTGTGAATCTAAGCTTTAACTAATTTCCATATTACATTTCTTTGTAAGATATTATATTATCTTACTTTACTTAAATACTTTAAAATATAATTTTTTTAAGTTTTAAGTCTAAGATCTACACCTCAGTAGACTTCAGCGTAACCCTCGTAGCTACACAGTCTATTTTCATCATCGTGGTCTCGGACTTAAACCTAATCTACTTGCTTCGGTACTATTAGTAGTATTTTAGCATCTTATTTAATAAAAACCCTATAATAGGAGTTAAAAGTGTTAATTTATTATTTACTGAATGACTTCTGTGTCTTCGGCTCCCGTAAGGACCTTACAAGAAATTAGAAGTTTAGCTTTAACGCTAAACAATTCATCTACTAGAACTTTTGGAAGGTATTTCGTTATTATTTATATACATACATGCTAGCTTTTATACGTTGCCATTTACTATTAAAGGGTTAAAAAACAATTACTTGAGATTAACATATTGTATATTGAGTACGACGGCGTTATTTTGTGCGTGGACATCTCTCTGCTTGCTGGCATCCATAGTTTTCAACAAAATTCTCTCTACCATATTATAGGAGAAATTAAGTTGACTGTATTATTTTTTAATTTTTTATTTGCTTAGATCTTTCATTCCTCAACCCTATAGGATTCTAATCTTTGGTTGGAAACGTTCCCTGAGGATCACTTTTTGATACCTACTATAAAACTTCAAGCACGCATTTGTAAATGTGCCGAGGGGCTTGACGTTGGTTTATTTATGGAAGCAATAAGTAAAATTACTTTTTTATTTTATCTTTTTATTACTTTTACTTTTTGTTACTTTTCTTTACTGCTAGAGTTGCGTAGGACGTATCTGGAAAGCCTTACTAATGAAAGTGAAATGAGAATAAGTTAGGATTCTGAATATTATTTACCTTAAGCAAAATTCCTTTGGGATTTAATAAATATATTATCAGTTTGATACTCCAGAGTTAGTGCTAGTAGTCTTAAGACAGAGTTTTACTTCATTCTTCATAAAAGTTGAGTTTATTGGTGGTTATAAATTATATCTTATATATAGTTACTTCCTTGAATACAGGTGATGTACCTTTTTATTATTTCGTAACGAGTAGGTGTATTCATTTAAAAAAATTCGATAAATATTTGTCTTCAATAAAAAATGTCTTACATTAGTAAATTGTTTAATTGTTCTATTAAAAGCAAGCAATTTTCAATATAAAATGTCTTATATAAATAAATTGTTTAATTTCTATTAAGATCAAACAAGCTTAATAACTTCCGGTTATGCTAAATATTACTAAATACATACACTAAAAAGAACTACAAAATAGGGTTATCAAGTTAGGGCATCTCACCCTCTGAAACCCTATTATGAAGCTTTTGTCGACTTTTTATAAAGGTTTAAATATTATGAAGGTAAAGAAATGTTGGTGTAGAAGAGTTATGAACTTTTACGCTAATTTATTTCGTTATAATACCGCTACGAAATTTAACCTTTACGTTTTATTGTTACCTTCTGTTACAGCTTTCGTCAATCATACTATCTTAAGTTGAAAGAGGAAATTAAAGTAAAAAATTTTAAAGCCCCCTAAACTCTTTCGTAAACCCAAAAGTTTAATTCTTTATAGTTTATTAACTTAAGAGTTACAAAGCTGAAAAAAAGGTAAAAAAAAAGCAACTTATGTCTATATTTTTTGAAATCTGTCAGTGCATCTTTGGAAGCGCAAAACTAAGAGAAACATTGAACTTTCTTTATAATGAAACATATGACAATTATTGGCTAAGCAGATTTATGATGGCACTTGGAGGAGACTACAAAGATCACGTCTTTATTTTTATAGAGTATTTGAACTTTTACGAAACTGTAGCAACTGGGGAGCTTATTGAATAAATAGTTAATTAAGCCTTATGCATTAAACGTTGCGCGCCCATTTTAAATTTAATAATCGGGTCGTTTTTCGAAAAAAAATTTAAATAGCAAACTAAAACTATTATTAGCTGCTTACGCAAATATTATATAGGATCTAAAAATGTATAAAACAGACCAATAAATAAAAACAATAAACAAACTATGTATTATTGAGCGAACCGTATTATAATTTCCTTATGCAAATGATAAACTGGAACTTAAGGTGCAAGAAATTGCTAAATAAAAAAAGATAGAGCGTAACTCATAACAAATTCAATATGCTATTCCTATAGTGGATCTTAAAATGTAAAAGACAGCTAAATGAGTAGAGATAATAAATTCAATATTATATTCAAAAACATAACTTGTTATTATTTTCTATGCAAATACTATGTTGTGTCTAAAGAAATTTATTAAATTAATATTCTATTTAAAAATGTAAAACACAAGTTTTTGCCAAAATTTGGTAATACACTCTTTTAAGTAAAAAAATTGTTTTGTTCTATTTATTTATTAAACTGTTATAAAAAAAATAATTACAAAAGTTCATAATTAAAATTAAATAGAATTTAAACTATCTTAATCTCGATATGAAAAATTTCAAAGAATAATAAAGAAATAATATAACTCATATATATAATTTAATAAAGTAATATACAAAAAATTATTATACGATATTACATAAATAAATAATACAAGTTTTTTTTTCTCTTAAGTTTTATTTAAGTAACCTGTAAAAATTTATAAAAATATAAACATAAAAAAAATTTCACTTTTGGTTAAGATTTAAAAGTTTACTATTTTTAAAATAATTTTTAAAAATATTATGAGAAACAAAGCTTCTCAAATTTTTTATCTTTCTCTTTATGTCATAATCTTACCTTATCACCTTATATACCTTTTTAATAATTAGTTCAATATACTTTTTTCCTTTATACATATTTATTTTAAAGGTGAACTCTTGAATAAACTCAAAAAGCTAAAATAAAAATTTAAAATAAAAATCAAATGTATTTAGAGCAACGGGTAATATACCTTCTTAATGTGATTTCCGAAGAATATTAAGTTTTCTTCTTAATTGTGTTTTCGTAGCCTCAAAGAGTTCCTTATTAACTTTACGGGCCAAATTCTCATTCGTACAAAGTTTTAATAGTAATGTCAATATATCACCATGTAAAATATAGTTTTTTTCATCTTTAGCAACAAAAATCTGTGTTTCTTTATTTAATAATTCGTATAGTAAAAACATACTTTCGTAGGCTTTTAGTTCATATAAGGATAAAAATACAAATTTTATGAAGCGTATATCTCCTTTTAGCTGAACAAATTGTTTATCGACTAGAAACGCTTTAATAACCTCATAATAACATCCTTTGGAAAACAAAAAGATTAAATATCTCAAATATATTTCCTCATTAGCAAAACCCACAACAGAAAAAAATTTTTTTAATTCATGATAGCATGCGTTGCGTAGCAATACGTCTAAGAAAGGAATTATTTTTCCTAAAGTTGACTTTAAATATTGCGAACACTTCTTATAATAATTGCAGTAAATTTGAACTATATAAATTGAAATTTTTGAATTTCTTAAAGGCTTATAATAGTTAAGAGCAGATAATAATATATTTACATCCCCAAAATGCAGACATAATTTCGCTAAATGGGGTTCTATCCTACCAACTGCCACGTGGTCTCCTTGATTATACAAAAAGCCTTGAAGTTTTACTAATATTTCAAAAACAGCTCTGTAATCGAAACATCCATACACTGGATATGTACGAAGATTAACTATTAATTTTTCTCTTGAAGACTTAGTAAGAATACGCGTAATCTCCTTCACCACATTTATATTTCCTGATATAAATACTGATTCTACAATAAGCATTAAAGTTTTTGGACCAAATGACGAATTAAGCATGATTGAAAAATAGCAGAATGAGGTTTTGTCCTGAACCATATGATAGAAGACATCAATAACCTCTTGGTGCAATCCGGAGAAATGAAGAATTCTTATAACTTCTCGATATAAAGAAATCATTTCAGTATATAGTTCTTTAGTTACAATTCGTTCGGGAGTATAACTAACTGTATTGCCAATAGTGGTACTTTTAAAGGAATTTTTACTTAAGAATTCTTCTTCTTTAAATAATAAGAAAACCTCGTAACATTTTAGGCCTTCCCCTTCATAACAGCGTATTGCGGTACACCAGTTTTTAACAGAAAATTTTAAACCATTAGATAGACAATAGCGAATCACAGGTATCAAATCAAGTCGATAAAATAGAAAGCAAAAGTTTAAATATAATTTAACAATCTTTTCCCATTCGCTAAGCAAAGGATTTCTTTCAAGAGAGACAAACCAAAAAAAAGTTCGAATTATGTTAATTAACTTAGAGTTTGTGATAAAAGGTTTAAAGCTATCACTTTGATAAGCATCCTTGCTAATAAAGTTAAGATTATACAATTTGCTGTCTATTAACTTAGATGACTCGAAAAGTAGGTTATCTATATTTAAAAAAACTCTTTCAGAGAACCCAGCGGATATATGATCCCAAAGAGTTAAGTTAAAAGCCCTGGCTATGACCTCGACAGCCAGGATATAAACCGATTCGCAATTTGAATATAAATAAGGATAAAAGTGTAAATTTGAGTAAATAAAGTGCAAAGCTTCACACTGCATTTCATATGAATTTTTATAAGTGGTATCGGCCTTATTACCAGACGCTTCAAGAATGTAAAAAACACATTCATACAGAGAAGGTGGGTTTGTCAGTTGCAATAAAGGCCTAAAATATAAAAATAATCGGTGAACTTCGTAAGTGCTCTTATTTTTCATATAATATTGAAAAATAAAAGAAATTAAAGCAGCTCTTAAAAAGAGAGCCTTCTTTGAGTTTTCCAAAGAAAGTAAATTGGCGTGAGCTCTAACAAAAAATAGCATTCTTTCTACAAAGAAATTACAATTCAACGCTCGCTTGTGTGTTACAGGGCAAACACCCTGGTATAATATAAGCGTGTCCCACGCTATAATAAGATTTTTTAAAATATAAAACGGCTCCGTTGAAAGGCTTAAATTTTTAAGATAAGAAAAAAAGGCTGTAATTGAAGTTCCACAAGTAAAATTTAACATTTTGGAAGGATCTAGTAAATCAAGTCCGGGCCTTCTTACAATACTTAACCGCTGCTTAAAACTTTTTGTAAAAGCTACCCATGATTCTTTTTTCTGAAAGTGACTCTTTTCTTTAGAGAAAATACCGGTCTCTTGAAAATACTTATTTAACGAAAGGGATAAAATTTTTATCGATGTGTCTACATTGGGATTAATCCTTTTCAAATTCTTCGTATTTTTTAAAGAACTAATTTTATTGTTGTTATGTCTGTTGGCCACATAATCAATTGAGTCGCCCGCTTGTGAACTAATTTTTTTTAAGCCAGGCACAAAAATAGCTTCAGGAGCGATGTTTTTGTAGAAAAATCCTTTACTATGTATATTAAAGTTGTTCGTTGTAATCACAGTATAATTAGCTGTAAAAACTTTTTAAAAAATAAATATAAGTTAGTAAAAAAAATTTCAAGGTGACCTTATTTAAATACTTACTGCGTTCTTTATCACAGTTAGCGCAATAGTTAGTTTTTGGACCTCTGTTGCTTGCAGCCTTAAATTCAAACGTAAATATATATGTTATGCGATTTTACTAAAGTCTCACCTTCAAACTACTAAAATTTATTTGAAAAGTTTTTTGAAAGTTATTCATTTCTGCCAATGAATTTTTAGCAAAAGTGGAAAGTGCGAAATATTAAAGATGAAAGGGCCTTAAAACTTTTATAAACAATTTTTTATTATGCTAAAAGTAAACGTATATTTATAAACTAAAAAAAAACTGGGTTATAAACTTAGGTATAGATATAATTAAAATGAGGAAAGTAGCAAACAGGAAAATAAAACTCTAAAGCTGGAAGTTTAAAGAACCTAAAAACACCTCTTGCATGGGAATAGTTCCAGGTGTTAACACTTCAGCTGGCCTACTTTTGCACTGTTTAAAATCGATACATATACTTAATATTCCCTTCCCCTTTTATTCCGACTGAGACTTTTTAATGTGGCGGGAAGGTAGAAAGTTTAAGTATAAATGTTCCTTAATACTTGAAGGCGCCAAAGACTCGCTGGTTTGGCATGTCACCGTAGCGCTCCAGTTGTACATAAACATTCTATTTGATGACGGATTCCCACGAACTCAGCGATGCTCGCAAAAAGTTACTAAGATTCAATGCAAGCAGAATAACAGAATCCGTGGCTAAAATAAATAATGGGATACTTCGCCTATTAACTTTTAGGATTAAGTGAACTTTTTTAAAGTTAAGCTGCTTTCCGAAAAAAAAATAAGACTGCCTTACAAACCTTTCTCTTCGGAATCACTTTTACTCTCATAGTTCGATTGCCAAAGATTAGTATTTTAAAAAAAATATTTGTCAAAAGTAATTTAACAGTTCTCCTCTTAAAACTTAAGCTTCCTTTAGTACTCATATATTTAAATAGCTTGATAGCTAGCAAATAATCATGTTTGCTTAACCTTTTCGTTATGAATATTTTATACTAATAATATTTGCAAAAAATTAACCTCGCATATCTGTAAATTTATATTTATTTTATTATTTAAACTTCTCTAATTCTCTTAAAATCTCTTTTATAAGATGGCTATACAAGAAGAGAATAAAAAGATGTTACAGAAAATTTTCTAAATTCAAAAAAATTATTCCTAAGTATTTAGATTTTAAGCAGCCACCAAAAAAAGAACCAATACCACGTCTTAGCTAAAAGTTTCCTATTAATACGTAATACTGTTTATGTTATTTTAAAAAAAAAATCATGTTTTTAATAAAAAAAACTTATTTTTTTATATGTTATTATAGCTTCAGCCTGCCATTTTAAAAAATAAATCAAAGTTATATAAATTATAAATATATTAATTTATTTTACTTTCTTAATTGCTTTTTTTGTTCTTCACCTTTCCAACAGCGCTCCCAGTCGGAAACATACTGAAACCCCTGAACTTTCTTATCTACTACTTCAATGATAAATGCCAACAAAAATAATTTGGGGAAGTATATAATTTCCTAATTATAACGCCAAAGAGTGCAACAATTTCCTTTTTTTACATTTGCGACAACTCCATAAAAATACTTAATATTCGCTGTATTTGGGTAATCGAAAGAATGCTCGCAAAATATAAAAAATTAGATGAATTGTTAGTCTTGCAAAGTCTGGGTGTTATTTATTTATTTATAGTAATTCATTTGAATTAGATTATAATAGAGCCCACGTTTTTGCTAGATAATATTTAGCCAACTCTTTTTACTTATAACAAAGTTTATAATTTGAAAAAATAATAAATTTATTTTTTCCGAGTAAGCGAAAAAGTTTTAAGAGGATCAGATGACTTTGACTTTTTGCCCTATTGTAGTAAAAATTAAATAAGAACAAATAATCGTTAAAAAACGTTTAAAGTATATATATTAATATAGAAAGAATATATTATAATAATGTCCCTAAGTCAATTTAGAATTTTTTTTATAAGAAATTTTTAAAGAAATAAAATATAAAAATATAGAGTATATACATAGCGAAATAAAATGTTTAATTCCAAAGTTAACATTAATTTATAAATAAAAATTTTAAAAAAAAAACCAAATATAATATAATTTAAATATATAATTAAATTCAAAATATCGTTTATGATAAATAGTAAATCTATATAAATAAAACAGTTATAAATTAATGTGAGATTTTTAAATATTTTTTAATACATAACATAAAAAGTGGAGTGCTTTAAAGCTTAATATTAATAATTATAATTTTTATAACTAAAATAAAAAAATAGTATTATATGTATTATAAGCAGAAATATTTTATAATAGAGTAAATAGTATTATTACTCAAAAAAATCATGTAATACTTCGTAAAATACAAAATTTCAAAAAGGTTAATATATTAAATTCTTATAAAAATTTACAGTAAGAGAAAAAAATAATATGTATATAAAAAATATTAAATTAATAAAGTTACTACAAAAATGACTTATAAAATTATATTAAAAAAATCTTATATAATGATAATTATAATACATAAAAAAATAAATTAAATTCAAAATTTTTATTTAAAAAAAATATTAAATTAATAAAATCAATGCAAAAAAGAAAAAATTCAATTATAATCTGAATATAATAATAAATGAAAAAACAAATTAATAAAATTTAAAGATTTTTATAGTATTAATAAAAATTTGATAAAGTCAATACAAAAAATAAAATAAAATTTATAAAAAAATTATAAAATTTTTAAAAATCAATAAGTATATACAAAATATAAAACAAATATAGTCATTACAAAAAAAATATATAAATATAATTAAAATTATATTTAGTAAAATATTAAAATATATAAAAATCAAAACCCTATACAATAAAATATTAAAATATATGAAAAAGAAACCAATAATATAGTAATAAAAAATCTATAAAAATTTATAATAACAAACATTAGAATAAGGCCCTTTCTTTATTTTTTTTGTATTTCCCATTAAATTCCAAAAACTGTAACGTTTTTGAGGTGCGTGCTCGTTAACAAGTACAGTTTTTTCTCTCGTAATATCCTCCTAACCAAGAAAAAAAAAAAAAGAAAAATCATTTACAGAAATAAAATAAAATTTATAAAAATGAAATACAATAATAAACATTAATAGAACAGTTCAACAAATAAAAGTAAAAAAAATAAAAAAATTACTAATTATTAAAAAACTTATATATTGTTTGAAGTAATAATAGTCAAAAGAAAATAAAAAATATTGGTAAAAAATACTAATACTTAATAAATAAAAAAAATCTTATATGATAATTTATATAATAGAAGTTAAAAAAATAAAAAAAAATAAGATAATAAAAATTGGATAAAAATAATAATAAAAGTTAACACTATTAGTAATATATAAACAAAACTCGTAGATTATTAAAATTAAAAAATTTAATATTATAGAAAAAAAAACTTTATAAGTTACTAGTGCGTATATTTATTTATAAAAAAATATAAATTTAATAAAACTTTAAAAATTACAAATATATATTTATTACTTTTAGTAAATAATGAAATAAAATATAAACAAGTATTATGTACATTATTACTTTTTGAAGGCGCAAGTAAGAAGGGACATTTTTCAAAGAAATGTCTACATTATTTTTATCAATAGGCCTGGTGTGCTTCAATATTCTCAACTCTCTTGGATGCTCTTCAAAATGAGTCTTATTTTAAACAAATTATAAATAGTAAAAAATAAAAGAAATTCTCACAATTAAGTAAAAATAAAAAAATATAAAAATATTGATGGGATTTATTATAACAGAATAATAAATAATAATAAAAAATTCTTTTTTTTTAAAATTAAATATGTTTATAGTTTGAAAAATATGACACTGTAGTACTCTAAACTAATGAATAAGAAAGATAATAATATAATAGTTAATATAAATCATTATTAATATATAATTAAAAAAGGAGTCTAATAATAAATAAATAATTTAAACCGCTTATAATATAAATATGGACAATAAATAATTTTTTTAACAAAAATATAATATTAATTGTACAAAATAGAAAAATATTATCTAATTGTTATATTTAAAAAGACTAAATAAATTATTAATAGAAAAAAAATTGATTTTACAGAAATAATTTTTTTTTGGCGTATAATAAATGAATAAATTACATTAGATTTATAAAAAATAATATACTTTTAATTTTGAAGAAGTTAAAATTTCATTTTTTATGGCTAACAAACGTGAAGCTTTTATTTTTCCTCTTGTAAGTCTCGTAAGGACTCCCTCAACCCTGACAAGATAAAAATATTGTAATAAAATATTAACTTTTTTATATTATTAATAATATTTTATAATAGTTCAACTTTTATTTATTATATAATAAATTGGTTTATTTTAATATTTATGCGTATTAATTTTATTTATAAAAAAATAAATATACTTTAACAATATGATAATAATAAATTAATATATAAAATCAACAAGAAATTATTATATATATAATACTATTATGAATATTTAGTTATAATTAAAAATAAACATAGAAAAATATAATTAATTATTAACAATATAATAATAATTAATAATAGAAACCTGTATCTTAAGCGCTCAACTTTGGCAAAAGGAAATTTATAAGGCTGAAGAACGCCTCCTTCATGTGCGTTTAACAATGTTTCAATATTATTCAGAACTTCTTTATCTTCTTCTTTCGATAAAAAAGATAAAGAATTTCCTTTAAAAAGTGTTTTAGTGAAATTGATTATTACAATAATAATTGATACTTAAAAGTTTGAAACAAGATATGAAACATAAGAAAATTTCTGAAAATATTGAAAGATGATGATAATAAAACAATCTAATAAGTATCAGGAAAGACTAAAATATATAGGAAGTAAATAAAAAAGGAATAAAAAATTTATAAGCATAAAAAGTAAATATAAATATAGAAAAAATTTTAATTTTTTATTTAAATTTATTTTTATTATTATTAAAGCTTAATCAAATTTATAAAAGTATATAAATATACAAAAATACATCCAAAAATATTAATAAAAAAAAGTTCATAGAAAGATAAAAAGTTAAAAAAAGTAGATAAAATACTAATAAAAAGCATGGAAAGTAAAAGTAACGATAAATTCAAAGTATATACAAAAGATACAAAAGGGATATCTTTAAATATAGAAGCTTTAAATAATAATGATAATAATATGAAAGATAACATAAATATAAAAAAACAAGTAAAACTTGTATAAAAAAAATAAACAAATAGTGCTTTACTATTAAACTTAAAATTAATTATAAATGTGATAGAGAATTACAACCAAGAAAATAGTCGCAGAGGAAATAATTAACAGAAGTTTTTATAAAATAATTATGAAATACAAATAAAGAAACCATGCTTTCCTGCACGTGCTGTACGACCCACGCGGTGTATATAGGCGTTGGCGTGCGTTGGAAAGTCAAAGTTAATAACCCATTCCACATCCAAAAAGTCGATACCACGGGACATCTATGCAAATAAAAAATTATATATTACCACTGCTGCAAAGAATCAATTAAGCAACCGTATACTCTCCATCTTTATTGCTCCTTAAGGAATTCTTACGACTTTCTTCTACAGAAAGTTCCTTTTTTTCTAAAATCATAAAAATTTAAGATAAAATTATATAAATAACGCAATAGATAACAGTTTTCAAGAAAAAATAAAACAGTAGAATCTAAATAGTTGAACCATAGTTTAAAAACTCTGTTTCGCTTTCGATTTGGTTATTCATGTCTAAAGTTTGTGGTATGTTTCTATCTTAAATCAAAAATTTAATATTTTTTTTTAAAATTTTAATGAAAATTACTTTTGATCAAAAGATTTTCATCAGAAGCAATAATAATATCATACTTTCCTCTATTGAATTCTTCAACAATATATAATCTTTAATAAATTTAAAAACAAAGTTAACATTAAGAAAAAAGGAATTAGACTTAATAAAAAAAAACCTCGAATTAAAAGGAAGGGAACTATTAAGAACACACGACTTAATTGAAAAGGCGTCCAAGAAAAGTTTTAATCTATTACAATAAATAATACTTGAACGATCTAAAAAATAAAAAGTTTTTTAAAAAAAATATAAGCAAAGGAAATAAAGCAAGTACAAAAAAAAACTTCCACTATTAATATTATTAAAAACTTAAAAAATTAATAACTATTTTATTATCAACAAGATTATTTAATGAAAGCAAAATACCAGAAGACAACTTTTCATTAAAAAATAATTCTGGTCTTTATAAGTCAACGAGCTTAAATATATAAAGAACCAAATATACGATAACAAATATTAACGTACTACCCTAACATTTTTTTATAAAACTAATAACTTTGCGCCCCAGAAAATAAAACAGTGGTGCCAATTATATATACATATATATAGTAGACTACAAAAAAAAATTAATAAAAGAAAATGAAGTAAAACTCAAGCAAAAGTAAATTTACTTATAACAAGTATTAACGCAGTTGACAAAAATGATGATTTTTCCCATAACAATTTTGAAAGCCAGGAGAGCGTATAATAGTAAAAATCGGTCTTTATCTACACACCTGGAATGTAAATTTAGTTTTATTAGTACATGAAAAAATATACAATACAAACCGAACAATATGTTGTCTCAAATAAGTATCTTTGGGCAGGTAGGATTCTTTAAGATTAACAACAACAGGACTTTTTGAAAGTAGATCTTTTAATTTATCCACGTCCTACTTATATATAAGACAATTTTCGTTTATATATAATAATAAATAAGAAATATACTTGAGAAAATGTGGCGGACATTAAAAAAGATTGTACTGTAGAAGGAAAATGGGAGCAAAGAGCCCTAACGTCTTCTTCATAGCCAAATGAAAATAATAAATCTGCTTCATCAACGACAATTTGGGCTAACTTCTTTAAATTAAGGTTCTAATAATCAAAGGTCAAGGTTAGAGTAGCAAAATAATGAATACTATTTGCCTTTGACTTAAGATGAGCAAGAGCTCTACTTGGAGTGGCAATAACTATATCAGGCTTCTCCAATAAACCTGGTCTTCCGAAAACCAGATAAAGATAACTTTCAAGAAAAAAATAATAGCTTACTTTTGAGCAGAAAGAGAAACAGAACTAGACAACGCTAGTAAAGTTACTTCCGTTCCGCAATATTTTAAAAGAGCACAAGTTTGCTGATAAACTTGCTCACATAATTCCTTGGTAGGAACAAGGATTAAACACTTCACACTTAGAGGTGATGACTACGCTCAATATATAGCATAATAAGAGAACTTTTGTTAGTGGAAAAAAATAATATAAAAGGTCGTTATACCGGCTTCAACTTTAAAATGTGAGATATAATAGGTATTAAGTAAGTAGCGGTCTTTCCGGAACCTGTCCTTGCTCTTGCAACAATATCTTTCCCATTTAACCCGAGAGTAATACCTTCTTCTACCGATTTTTTAAATAAAATTATTATATAAATACTTCTATTTATTTAAAAAATACAAATTATGTAATAAAATAAAAAATAAAAAATATAAATACGTTGAATTAAAGTTGGTTTTGACCAGCCCAACTTTTCAATAGCTTTGTAGATCCTATCATCCAAATAAAAGTCACGAAAACCAACGCAATCTGAAGAAAGGGTCATTCAAAAAAAATTGCCTATACCTATAAATAATTTAAAGTGTTAAAAATATATTTAATAAGTATACATAGAGGAACAAAATTACTAATAATGAACAATTAATAAGAACGAAGTTGATGTGATAAGAGAAAAATATATTATATTCTTTTAACGCCCAAATCCTTACTCGACTAATAAAGCACGTGATAACTAGGCCACACATCAAAAAAACACGAAGCCTTTACCACTAATTTATTACACCCTACATAGCATATTTGTGCTTTCTGAAGACTTTGATAATAAAACTTGCCTTAAACCTTGATAAAGTGATATATAATTATTAAAATTTAAAATATGTCATATATACATCAGGTGCCCTTAGTTGTTTAAGTTAAGTCGGGAATTTAGTTTTTTTGTAGCGATAATAACATTATTATTTTACTATAGAATTGAAACCTTTTATTTTGGTATTATTAAACAAATTATTAGTGTTCTACTGCTATGTTGTTTTAAAAAACTTCCTACTTTTTATTTATGTTGAATTATAGAAGTATTAAAAAATAAACATAATGGCGATAGTTAACCAAAAACTTTTTTATTCATGCTTAAAAAGTCTTATAATCTTTACCATATTCAGATCTAACTAGTGATCAGCAATTATAATTTCATCATCGGCTATTGAATGATAATATATATTATACTTTACATTAAGTAGTTCCTTTTGATTTTATACAGATAGTTTATTATTCTTTACATTTCTTTAAATTATGGCAAAAGAGTAAATAGCTAACTACTAAATTATGGTTTTTTATTTTAATAAAAGGTTATTTGGAGCCAAATTTTTTTTCTCGAAAAGTTCAGGTTTATTACTATAAATAATCATCTCATTTTTAAAATTTATAGAATAGGCGTTTTAATAACACAAGTAAATTTGTGAATACCAAGAAAAATAAAACTATGCTATTTAATTTTTCATGTTCCGGTAAAAAATGTTTGTAATCTACGGAATATAATTTAGCAGGTAACTTTTTTAACAGCGAGAAGGTAAAAGGCAATAGTCTTTTTACACATTACTGTTAACTGTTATATAAATTCAGGTCAAGATTTACTAATAATATTCTAAAAAAAAAAGGTGAAACTACAAAATCGATAAATTAGTTTTCAGTGTGATTTACTAAAAATTGCCAAAACCCCCAAAGGAAATAAAAAAAATTCTGACGACTAACACGTATGGTTATCAAATATTTATTATTTTTCCAAATTTTCAGTTTTAGTCTTCACGACTGCGACTCTCTTATAAATTTTATAAATATTTTCTAGACTTACATACTTTTAAGTTTTAAAATTAATAGTAATAGAAAAATATGTACGGGAGTAATAGCTCTGGAGGTTTTATTCTAGTATTCTTTTACAAAACAGTTCTGTAAATTTATTTTTTTATTAATGTGAGGATCCTTTTCCACAGAAAAGAAAACTTTTGGTTTTAACACCTTTAACTCTTCACAAAATCGAAATACTAACCCCGATAATCCCGAAAACAATCCCCTTAAAGATCATGTTCTTCAGAATGTTTCATCTCAGTCGATTTCATCTTTAAAATTCAGCCCCGTAAATCAAAATCATCTCCTGTATAATTTAGTTATTACTTCCACTTTTCTATTTTTAAATAAATTTTTTCCGTCTTGTTTAAATTTTTTTTTAGTGCGACAAGCTGGGATGACACTGTTCGTTGTTATATGGTTAATTCAAATCATTCTGAACAATTAATTCAAGCTTCTGTTATTTTTCCTTTATGTGTAACTTGGAACGAGGGACTTATTATGTTAAAACACTTTAATTACTAAATTTTTTATTATTGCTTGTAGAAAAGTTTTATGTTTATACTCTAATAATTATTTAATCTTTTCTTAAAGAATCTTTAAGATAAATATATTTTTTTGCCTTTTGGCTATTCTCTATATCCTTTTTCATGGGTGATTTATAGAAAGGAGATCAATCTTTTATCGGTTGTGCTAATGGAAAAGTTATGAGCTGGAATTTGTCTACTTGCCAAGTCGACCAAGTAGGAATGGTAAATTTTAAGTTATTTAAATTTAATTCCTTTTTATTTTAATCGTATTTAAAAATATATTATTTAAGATAAGGCAATTTTTAATTATAACAATAAATTGTACTAATTCACTTTACTTTAAATATATTTTATTATTTTTGATTTTGTGTGAATTTTTAATTAAAATTTTTAGCCGAATAAATTAAGAATTTTTAAAAAATTACTATTAAGATTAAAAATTTTAGCACGATTTGGGTGTACAATCATGTCACTATCTTTCATCTTCCAATATTCTTATAACAGGAAGTTGGGACACCAAGTTGAGGGTATTGTGATTTTTTTTTTATAAAAAAATTAAAAAAATTCATTTATATTATAAACTTTATGTTAATTAGATTCGTATAAATAATTTTCCTATATTTTTTTTAATAAAATAAACTTTTCTTTATTATATTAGCTTTTATTATTATGATAATTATAAATTTTATCAAACTCTCTTCTACCAACTTTTTAAAAGAAATCTTTATCTTTAAAAATATGTTATTACTGTAAATGTTTTAAAGTAAATCAATAAAATTTTTAAATTAAATAGGTTTTTATGAAATAAAAATTTTATTATATAAATTTTAATTATTACTTTAGCTGAGTTTTCTTTATACATTTAAAAAAAAAATTTATATGCAAAATGTTATTATTATTGAATTAAATTAAATTACAAAAAATATATTTATTAAAATTTTTTATCACAATTTGATAATATATAATTATTATAACATATTTTTTTAATATTTATTCTAAATAAAAAAGTATATTTTTTTAAATAAATTTATAATTATTACATTTAGATCTTTTATATAATTATATTTTATAAAATTTTAAAAATTGAATTTTTTTTATCATATAAATATAAATTTTTTAGTAAAAATGAATAAAATTTAGTTTTTATTTTAAATTTTTTTTATAAAAAGAAGGAATTTCTTTTATTATATATAATATATATTATTTTTAAATATAAATCACGAGTTAAGTTCCTTCATATTTAAAAAAGTTATATAAAAATTTTTTTAGTTAAAATTTATTATATTAAAAATATATTTTCTTATTATATATAAATTTTTATAATTATTATTAATAAATTACTTTAATTTAATTTTATTATAAAATTTTAAAATATTTTTTATTTTAGTTAAACTTATTATAATTATAAAAACTTTTATATTGAATTACTATTTATAAAATTAATAATTGTCAAACTTTTTAATATTATTACATTTAAATTTATAGAAATTAGAAAATCATATTTTTTTAAATTTTTATAATATTTGTAATAAAAATAATATTTTAATAAAATTTGATAACTTATAACGTTTTTTTTAATAAATTTTTATATAATTTTAAAAAAAGATTTCTATTATATAAATAATTATTATTTTTATATTTAATTTTTATTAATTTATCAATTTCCTTTTTGTGTAATTTTTAATAAATTTTATTAAAATTATAAATAATATTAACAATTGTTATTAATACGATACTTCTTTCTCATATTTTTTAATTGTAATTATTTTTTTAATTTTTTATTGTAATTATAACAAATTTTTTTCAAAAGGTTTAAATATATTTAAAAATTTTGTTTTTATTATATATAAATTTAATCTGATCTATAAAAATTCTTTTTTGTTTATACCTTTTTTATTTTTAAAAAAAATTAGTATAAATATTTATTCTTTTACAAATTGTGTAATTTTTATATCAAATTTTTTATTAAAAAAATTTTCTTAATTTGCGCCATATAAATTTATATTTTATAAATTAAGTTTTATTTATTTTTATAACTTTTAAAAAAATTATTTTTTATTATAATTATTACAATAATTAGATTTAATAAAATTCATAAAAATTTATTTTACTAAATTATATTTATATTTTCTTAAGTCAATATTTATTAACTATAATTTTCGGTTAAATTTTTTTTTTTACTAATTTTTATTTAATAAAATACTTTTTTATTAAAATATATTTAAAATATTAAAGATATTTTATTTATTTATTATTATATTTAAATAGAATATTTAAATTATATAAATTCCTTTTTGTCTATATTTTTTTTATATATAAAAAATTTTATATAAATATTTTAGTTTTTAAATTGATTTTTTTCTTTTTTATCAAATTTTGTATAAAAATATTTTTTAATATTTATTATTTATTATTTATATTTATAATTTTTTTAATTAAAAAATATCCAATATAAATATTTATTATATTTTCTAATTGATTAATTTATTGAATTCCTTTTTTATCAATATTTGTATATATAAATTTTTTGTTATGATTAATTTATTTAATTGTAAATATAAAATATCTTTTATGATAAAAATCTTTTTTAGAATTTTTTAATAATTATTTTTAAAAGTTTAAAAGAAATTTTTATTATAGAAAAGATTTATTATTTAATATATATCAATAAGTATAAATTTATTTTTCTTTCTCCATTACTTGATAAAAACTTAATATTAAACTTTTTAGCTTCATTATAATACTAAACTTAAATAATTTTATATTAAAAATACTTCTATTATTTAACTTTAAAATTTTATTCTAATAATAGTTATATATATTTAATAGCTTATTTTTACTCAAATATTATATTTTAATAAAAATGTATAATTTTCAATATTTTATTTTTATTATTATTTAAAGTTTATATAAGCTTTGAAACTTTTATGTTAATGTTAAGTTGCTGCATTTTCAAACTATTATTATTAATAGGAATACATAAATACTAAATACTATCATTATCTATTTTATTTAATATTATTTTTTTTCTTTTAGAAAAGTTATTAATTTTACTTTTTTTTTTTTATTTCTATTATTTCTTAAAAAAAACTATAATAAAAATTTATATTTTTTAAGCTTTTTTAAGAACTAATAGAACTCAAAAATTTATTTAAATATAATTTTTAAAATCTGTAATATTTTAATTATAATTATTATAACTTGTATAAAAAATTTTTTTTATAATATTAAATAGTTATAATTATAAAATATTCCAATTACTTGTTTATAATATTATTATTCTTTTATAATATAATAGGAACTTTAAGTAATAATTTGAATTTTTTTTTGAAATTAAGATTTTATTTTTTTATTTTTTTAAAAAAAGTAAAAATTTATAATTAAACTTTTTTGTATTTTACAATTTATTTATTAAAAAAATATTTTTAATTTTGGTTAGTATTATTATAATTATGTTAAAAGTAATATTAATTGTTTACTGTTCTAATTATAAATTATTTAATAATATATATTATAAGATTGTTAATCCAATATAAACAAATTTCTTAAAAATTGATAACTATATTTTTTATTAAAGGTAAATATAAAAAGTGTTTAAATTTCAATGTTTTTTATATTATAAATTTGTTTTAAGTAAAATTTTAGATTATAAAGTTTTATTATAGAAAATTAATACCATTAAAAGTTTTTTATTAAAATTATATAACAAATTTTTTTATAAATATTTTAATTATCACTTAAAAGGAATTTCTTAAAGTGTATTCATATTTATATTTTCTTACTTTTAGAAAACTTTAGAGTAAAATTTGTAAGTTACTTTCAAGTTATTTTATATTTTTAGTGAAGTTTGGATTATATAACTTTTTTTATTATAGAAAATTAATATTAAAAAAAGTTTATTAGTTAAAATTTATAACAAACTTTTCTATAAATAATTTAATTTTTACTTAAAAGGTACTTATATGAAACTTTATAGTAATTTTATCAATTTTTTTCAAATTAATTTTGGATTTTATTAATTTTTATTTAAAAATAAATATATATTGAACTTTATCAGTTGGAGAATCTTATTATTATTTAGAAGGAAATTTTAAGTGTATGCATTTTAATTTTTTTTATATCCATTAGGATAATACTAATAAAGAATAAAAGTCGATTAAAAGTAAATTTATACTTTTTAAAGTCTGATAAAAAAACTTTTTTTTAATTTTTTTAAATTTATATAAGAAAAATTTATTTTTACATAAAAATAATATTCGTAGTGTTTGCATTTTAATAAATTGTTTATATTTTTTAATTTTTTTTTAATAAATCAAATTGTTTTTAGTAAATGTTTTGTTTATATAATTTTCTTATAATTTTTACTTAATTTTATTAAAAGTTTATTAGCTTAATATGATTTAGCAGAAGTTAAATAAATAAAATTTAAAAAAATTCATTAAAAAATGTTTGCTTTAAAAGATTTATACTTTTTAAAATTTTTATAAAATTTAAAAATTTATCAAAATATTTGTTTATTTTTTTATTTTTGTTTCTAATTAAAATTTGTTATGATTATTAAGTAAAACTTCGATTTTACGTATTTTTATAGAGGAAACTAATTTTTTTAAAATTTAACTTTTTTATGATTGCTTTTCAATTACTAAAATTTTTTATTTAATAGTGATTTATTTCTTTTTATTACTCAACTTTTGTAATTTTATTTTAAAACTTAATCTATTATAATAATAAAAAAATTAGCTAACTTTTTTTAGAAAAGTTTCATTTAAATTATTTTTAATTACTCAAAAATATTTTATTATTTATGAAAAGTAATTAACTTTTACTATTTTTTTAAATCTTTCAAGTTTTAATTACTATTATAAAAAAAATTAGTCAAGATATTTAGAAAAGTTTTAAACTATTACAAATTTTTTTAAATTATTGAAAATATTTTATCTTTTTGAAAGAATTAACTTTTATTATTTTTTTAAATCTTTTAAATTTTAATTTCTTTTAAATAAAAATTTTGCTAATTTTTTAGTTTTTCTATAAAACAAAATTTCTCTAATTGTTTTTAATTAATGTTTTACTTTTTTAAACATTTAATATTAATTTTTTTTAAAAAAAGTTTTGGGACTTACGTTCGGCCCAACCAGTTTTTGAAAAGTCTCTTTCAGGCAAAATCGCAGCGATGGATTCCCTAAACAATTTTATTCTCGCAAGTACTTTTAATTTTATTATAATAATAAAAAATGGTATTACGAAAAAATAAATAAAAGATAATTTAAACATTTTTTTAAAAGATAACAAAATTATATAAAATATATTTAGTAAATTTTTATACGGGAAAATTAATTTTTTTTTACTTTTCAATTTGCATTTTCTTAAAAACTGTATTTTTCCAAGCACTTTTTAAAATAACAAAAAAGTTTATAAATTTATTAACACTTTTTAAGTTAATGATAAAATAAGAAACTCTATAATTTGCTAAATTTTAATTTAATAAATTTAATAATTATTTTATTGTATTCAAGAAATTTTATATAAAATATATTAAGTAAATTTTATTAACGTTAAAAATTAAATAATTTTTGGTTTACCTTTTCTCAACAATTTCATTTGCGCAAGTATTTTCATGAATAATATTCTTTAAATTAGTTAACTTTTCTCTTATATATTTAAAAACAAGAAAATTTATATTATTTAAAAATATTTATCATTTGCTTAATTACTTTATACCCTATTACATATCTTTTTTTACATAAGAAAATTGAGAAAAATTTATAATAAATTTGTTAGCAACTTTTATTAATGCTCAACTTATTTTTATTCTTTTAATTTGCGTTCTCTCGCGATACTTTTAAAGAAATTTTTACTTTGCGAATTATATTAAATTTTATTTATAAAAAATTAAATTATTTTGCAGATAAAAAATATTGAAAATAATTATTTTCAATTTTTTTTCTGCAGCTTTTTATTATTTTATTTAAAATAATGATTATTATAAACTTTTATATTGCCGATTACTTTATGCTATTAAAAATTATAACTTATCACTTTGTAGATAACATTTTATAAAAAAAGTAATTTTTATTATTTTTTCTGTAGATTTTTATATTTCTATATAAACTAAATTATTAAAAATTTTTACTTAACAGATTATTTGAATTTTTATAAAAAATAAATTATAAATTATATCGCAGCTAAAATAATAATAATAAATTTACTTTTGCAAATTTTTAAATTTTTAAATATAATAAACTATTGTAAACCTTAATTTTGCCTATTATTAAATGCTAATAAAAGTAATAAAGTTAATAAAATTAATAATTATAAACTTTCATTTTGCAGATTTTTTACATTTTTTTATATTATTTTAATTACAATATAAAAAATTTTCTTTTTATTTTTATATTTATTTTTTTTACTCAAATTAAATTATTATTTATAAACTTTTAAAAAATTTAAATATTTAAAAAGTTACTAGGAAAAGCAGTTTAAACGATATCAATCCCGCAAGGAATTTTGTGTTCGACATACGGAATATGAATACTCCTTTTTTAGTATTTTTTTTACATTTGTTTTATATTTATTTATTTTTTTTTCTTATTTTTCATTGTTATGCATACCACATTAATAGCATTGTTTTTTGGTTATATCTCTATATTATATTTATATATAATTATTTTTATTTTTATTATTATTATTACTTTATGAAGATTTTATAATAATATTTCGTTCCTAGTATTTTTATTAATATTTACTTATTTTATTTATATATATTTAGGCGATACATCTTATATAAATACTTTTTTTTATATTTATTAATATTATTGTTGTTATTTATAGCTTTCTCTATTTTTTGTTATCTTATTATATAAATCTTCCATTTCCGCAATTTTTTATGCTTTATTTATTTATTTCTATTTATTAAATATTTTATTTCGTATCATATAAATACCTTTTTACTACATTTATATATTATTATTATATAAATATTTAATGCTTTTGTTATAACTATTACTTGTAAAATATAAAATAAGTTATTTGAATATAAAGTTTTTTTTAGAGTTAATTATTTATAGATGAAGTATTTTTTAATGACTTTTTACTTCCTATTATAAAAAAATATTTTATATGTATAGTTATATCCCAACTTACTATAAATTTTTTTGTTGCCATTAATATAATATATATAATTTTTATTTACTTTAAATTATTGTATTTATTTTATAATTTATATTAATATTATTTTGTGTAATTATATATTATTATTACATTATATTTATATTATCAATTATCATTTACTTTTCTTACTAAACATTATTTTTATTTACTTTTGAAAACTTCTGTTATTATTATAATATAACTAATTTTTATTGTTATTATAAATATTTTTTTGTTGATTAATATATTAATTATGTAATTTTTAAATTTATTATTTTCATTATAAAAATTATAATATTATAAAGGATAACCAAAATTAAATATATACACAATTAGCATTTACCTTTTATAAGAATATTATTATCATCATAAAATAGTTTTTTATATTTCTTTTTTTATTATCTATTAAAAATTTAAAAAATATGTATTTTATTAAAGTATATTTGTATATTATTAAAATTGGTTATATAATAATTTATATTATTTACGTATTGTAATTTAAAATTGTTAATATAATTATAAAGAATATTCATAATTCATAATTGTTTATACTTTATAATTTATTTTTATTATGATGAATATTCATTTCTTATTATAATCATTTATGTTATTACTATTATCAAAAGAATACTTATAAATTATTATTATAATTGTTTATACTATTATTCAATTTATTATTTTTTTTAATTTTATAAAATGTTTATATGCTATTATTTATATATTACTTATATAATTTTTATATTATTATTTTTTTATTATAAAGAATATTTATGTATTTATTTTTATAATTTTTTCAGTATATTTTTATTAATGTTTTCTATATTTATGTTTTATTATTAGTATTCTATACTTTTTTTTAGCTAATATTAAGTAAATATATATTTAATAATAATGTTTGCTATATTTTTATTACTTTAGTATTAAGTAAAAAATTTCTTTCTGGCAAAAATTTTTCTTAACTTTTTTTATTAAAAAAAAAAAATTTATATTTATCGCTAATTCCTTATTATTTTTTTACTTTTTATACTTTTTTTTAATAATTTTTAGTAAAAAGTTGTGATGAATAATTTTTTTACTAATATATAAAATAATTTTAACACTTTATTACTATTATATAAATTTTTATAAGAAAGTTTATTAATATTTATATATATAAATAAAGTTTATTTTACTATTATGTTGTTAGTATATACTTATAATAATAAGTAATATTTTTTTTAAAAAAATTTTTTTCTGAACTACTTTTATACTGTTAAATAAATTTAATCTTTATATACTTATTATAATATTAAGTAAAAATTGTTATGTAAAAATTTTTTTTATTGATATAATTTTCTTATATTTTAATAAGTAAATATATTTTTTATATTTTATTAATAACTTTTATGAAGACGAGCGATTCGAAGTTGAAGAAGCAGGTGAGATGCGCCGCTTTATTTTCTTTTGGTTTCATTTCTGGCTGCATTGCTGGAAGAGTGGCAGTCGATGCCGTTAATAACAAGTAAATTTATCTTATTATCATTAAATATAAAAGATATAACAGAAATCAATAGAAATATATAGAATACTTATAAAAAATATATAAAGTTGTAGAGTTTAATAATTAGTATATAAAATAAATTTATATAAAGGGAGAAGTATATATTAGAGATATAATGACTCGTAATATTACTATATTATTATTATCCAAAAAAATTAAAATAGAATTATATTCATATAAATAGTATAAGTAAAACAGAAAAATATTAGAAATATTAAACGTAATAAATATGAAAATTTAAGTAATTTATAATAGTAATGAAAAAAATAAAAATAACTATAGAATTATTGTAAAAATATATTAATAATAACTCATACTTCTATATATTTTATGATTTAAATAAAAAAGTATAAAAGATACCCTAATATATATATATATATAATTAATAGTATTTAATGTAATATTAATATATATTGAATATGAATACAATAATAATAAAACCAAAAAATATAAAAATTGAAGCAATTCTGCTGAAAACTACTAATATATATTAATAAATTTAGGTATATATAGAAAAACATATAAAATATATACTAATAAGCAAAAAATAATCAAGAAAACAAAAAAAGTTAAAAAATAAAATAGTTTTTTATTATTTTTTCTCCAACAAAGCAATAAAATCCGTATATATAGATATCAAGCTATTAGATTATTAATTGTTCGCCAATCAATTTTATTGGTTAACTTTTTAATTTTTTAAGAATAATCACAGTAAATTTATTATATTGAATGCTTTTATTATTTATACTTTCAATTTTTAGTTCATTAAGAACATAAAAAGAAGTATTATTAAAAACTTCTACTTGGTAAATAAATATAAAAAAGGTGTAATAAATATAAAATCCCTACTAAAAATATTAAAATTTAGTAAAAAGTTGTTAATTATACTTTTTTATAGTAAAAACTATTTTTATATTTTTTATTTATTATATTTTTTGTTTTTATTTTTTTTTAGCCCAAAACTCGTTATTATAAATTTATTAAAAAAATTATAATTTATTTTATTTTCAAAAAATATATTCATATTGTAAGCAATAATTATGTAGTAAAATTTCATTTCGTTTCTTTTTTCTCCAAGTATTTATTTTTTGTTATTGCTATCTTATGATATTTTTATTTTTATGGAGTCCTTTATTAAAATTAATTATTACTTTCTTTATTTAAAATATAAATTTTCCTAGTTTCCCTATTTCATATATATTTTATTATTATTTATTATATATTTATAAAAAATTATTATCATGAAAATTTATAACTTATTTTTTTATATTTGTTATACTTAAATTTTTTGGAAGTAAATAATAAATAATAGTAATTTATTAATTTTTATTATTCCTTTAATTATAATTTATCAAGTAGTTATTTAAAAATATTATTATATTATTTTTACTGATAAGTAATTATATTGATGTAACTTTGAGAAATAAATATTTTATAAAATATGTATTTTTTTCCTTAATAAATAAATGTTTAGTATTTTAAATAATTAAAAATTATTTTATAGTTTTTGATAGAAAATAATAATATAATTTTTATTATTATTAATAAGTAAACAAATATATTATTTTTTTATATATTATATTTTTTTTAAATGTAAAAAAATTATTATTATTCTGTATAATGGAAAATTATTTTTATAGTTTCTCGATAGAAAAAATAGATAATTTTTTATTATTAACAAGTAAATATATGTTATTTTTATGGTTTTTTTTTAAACTATGTTAACTCTACCTCCCTCCTCTCGTCGTCCTAGAGTTAAACTATAGCGCCTATCATTGGAGGGTGTTGTATAAGAGAGAAGAAACTGGTTTACTGATTGACTTTCTACCCGTATCCAAGGACAGCTCAGGGCGGGCGAAGTTTTTTCACATGTATAAGAGCGGTGGCTCGCATAGTATGAATAATCCTATTGCGTGCATGTAAGCTGAATTAGATCCTTTAACTGGCTACTTTGCTCGTAATTTAAAAAGAAGAGAACATTGGTTTTGACAAAATTTAGAATCACGAGTAGTTAAGCAGTGTGCAGTAAATTCGTTTCTTTAAAGTGAATTTTTAAGTATAAACATTAAAAAAATTGTATATATTATAATGAAAAATTAAAAAAATCAAAATTATTAAATTCTTATTCATATATTTTTTTAATTAAAATGATTATACATATTTTTTTTTATTGAAATATCTTTTATATTAAATTATTTTTTATTTTTGTCAACAATATTTTAATTTATATAAAAAAAATTTTTAAGTAACAAAAAAAATTATACTATTTTCAATAACTACTTTATAATTTAAATAAAGAACGTATTAAGTAGAAAATATAATTATTTTTTATCCTATACTTATTTCCTTTTAAGTACTGCCACTGGAATCGGCCTTCAGCAAAATTCCTTCCGCTCGTACACTTTTAAGTGCCACCGCTACACGCCCCCCAACAATACGGCTTGTCACGTGTACTCCGTTAATTGTCTCGCCCGCCATCCCACCTATGAGACGCTCGCTACCGGCGGAAGCGACGGAAAGGTGTCCTTTTGGGATTGCAAGAGGTATTAATCGTATTATTATAATTCCTATTACTACCATTATTATTACTATTCTAATCGCTATATAAAAGCCAAAATTGTTTAAAGCATTTTAAAAAACTGGACGACCCTCCGACTTTACCAATAGTCGCTGCAGATTTTAACCTATCGGGTGAATTATTTGCCTACGCAAAGTCGTATGATTGGTCAAAGGTAATGTTTGACTTTTATAGAAAAACTTTATATTTTTGGTCCAATAAGATAAGAATTCATGGTGTCTAGCAATAACCACTTGTTTTTTTCTTAGCAGCACACTATATTTATATTTAAATTTTTATAAATACCTAAAAAAGCTTCAGTAAAAGTTTTTCTGTGTGTTTCACAATTTTTTTTAGGGGTACAACAATTACGACTATTCGTCCCCAACAGCCATATATGTTCACGCCGTTAAACCTACAAGCGTGCAGTGCGTAAGTAGTAGAAAATAAAAGTTTATCACTACTATTATTATTATCATATAATCAATAATATTACTGCATGTGAATGCACGTGGTGCACTAACCAACTTTTTAACGCGTATTCGGGATTTTTAAAGGTATTAAACTTAAAATATATTTTTTTGCTTTTTTTTAAAGAAAATAGCAAACTCACGAAATATGCGGCACGTGGTCTCACGTGGTCAGCTGATTAAATTTATTAACTACTTTTTGGTGGTACATATAAATCCTCGCTTAAAAAAAACATAAATTAGGCTCAGGATATTGTTTACTGCGCGTCATAACATTTTTTTTTCTCAAGTTTATTAGCTTCCACAGTCCTATAAAGTTAAATTTTTTTCTAATAATAAACAAAATTCTTTATGAACTGAATTTTATTACTTTTAAAAATTCAAGCAACTGTAGAAGAACCCAATCAAAGCAGTTTTCCGGCTTTTCTTTCTTTTTTTTAGTGTAAATAATATAATTATAGTAATAATCTACAATAATAATAAATATAACTATAAAAATAATGAAAACCGAATTAGCCAGTTTTTTTAAGAAAGTTTCAACTTTTAGCTCCACGTTTCTATTGAGCATTTGCAATTCTTCCTGTAAAAAAAAAAAGTTTATTCACTAAATTTCGTTAAAAAAGCAATAAATATAATGAAAAAAATTTAGTGTCACAATGCATATAAAAAGTTTCTACGTAATATAAAAAGACGCTAATAATCATAAGACGACACAACTTATCTAAAAACCGATTCATTATTTATTGTCCATATACAAAAAAGTTTAGCAAATATAATTTTAAAATAAAAATAATGAATAAAGTACCATGAAAAGGCAACTTTTTATGTTCCATATAATAATTATAAAAAAAATGATAAAATACTAAATATAAATAATTATATCATAGCAATAATAATAAAGGAACTATTACATTTCAAAAAAAAGTATTGCTAATAAAATTTTTTATTAAAGTAAAAAAAAACTATATTTTATATAATATTAAAAAATATATATAAGACTTATAAAAATATGACAATACTAATAATATTTATATCATCAGAAACGTAATAAAGAAAGCAAAATATAACAACTTATATTAAATTAAAAAAAATTGCTAACAAAAATTTATATGAAAGTTAAAGGAAACTATTTAATAATATTTAAAAAGAATATTAATAAAAAAATTATAATAAAATACTAGAAATAATATTAATGAAATTAGAAATTAAAAAAATTTATAATCACTATTTTTTAAAAAATACTTTTAATATAAAATTGTATAAAAGTAGAAAAAACTTTTGTACACAATCTTTAAAAGAAAGTATTGTAAAAGAATTATAATAAAAATACTCGTAATAAAATCTATATTATAAAAGTGATTAAAAAAAATTGTAGATTATTTTATATAAATAAATATTTTTAAAAAAAGTTGTTATAAAGTAGAAAATATTTTAGTGTAAACGATATGATTTTGGCTCCGGTCATGTTTAAAAATAGGGAATCCGATATTGAGTACACCTCATTTTTATAAATTTTAATTTTGAATAATAACAATATACTAATTGACCAAGGGAGGAAGAGAAAACGCGCGTTGGTTTTAATGAATCAAAAAAAAAATTTCAAGGACTAAACCAAAAATTTAATGAATTTTCTTAATAAAGATGCAAATTATGAAAAAAACAACCAATAATAGCCATAAATATACTTTGAAAAAAAAAAGTAATGAAGTGAGAAGTTCACCTGCTCAAGTTGGCTGCAGTTTTCAACGACATTCGAGTTTATATCAAATATAAGTAGAAAGAAAAAAGAAGTATGAAGCGTAAAGCGGGTCTTTTTTTAAAAAAATTATAATAAGTTATATATATTATATATAAAAATTATATAATCAAGTTTTTAATAAAAAATAAAAAAAATACCCAAACGTAAATCTTATCATTTTCATAAAAAATATGAGAAAAGTTGTAAAGAGACTCTGAATTTTTAGTGAAATAGGAAGGCTTGCTGGTCAGTAGAGAAATGCTGTGAGGGAGTCGAAGCTGAAATAAAATATTTAAATATACAAAATATTGACAAAAAAAATAATGAAACATTTGGGGAGCTTATGAATAAATATAACGATATAGAATAATATAAAAATTAATAATAAATGAATATAAATTAATAATAAGCAGTTTTTAAGGGTAATTTATGATATATAGCGATTTAAAAATAATTTTATTGTACAGTAAATATAAAAAAAAACAATTAAAAAGTATTGAAGGTCAAAAGTTTAATAAAATTTAATATTATAAATAATATATTATGAAAATATTATAAGAAAATATAAAAATATATTAAAAATAACTAAAAAAAATTACATAATATAACAAAGTAAATATAAATATTATAATTTAAAAAAACAGTTAAGCCGATATATAAATAATATATTATAAAAAAAAAAATAAAAGTTAAAATATTATAAAATAAAAATAATATTATGATAAAAAAAATGCTGAAGCTGATGGATAAATAAAATATTATAATAAAGAAATAATAACAAAAATAATGAAAGTAAGTAAAATGTATATTAATATATTGTATAATAATAATAAAAAATAAAGTAGAATATATATAAGTATTGATAAATATATAAATAATCAAATAATAATGAATCAATAATATAAAATATAGAAATAATAACTAAAATAAAGTAATTTTGAAAAGTTAACCCTACTCCTAACCCTTCCTAACCAATAATAAAATATTAAAGAAATAATGAAGTTATAAATAATAATAAAGCTGGAAAAATTAAATAAAGATGACGTATTATAAATATAAAATGAATAAAAAAATTATGTTAAAGTAAAAAGATAAAAATTAAATATAAAAATAATAAGCAATAAAAAAATATAATAAATAATACATAAACTGGAAGCCGAAGCTTTTCGAAATATATAAATAAAATAACAATTATAAAGAAATAAAGACGACAATAATAGCAGGAATATATATAAATAACTAAATAATATATTACAATAATAAAAAAATAATTGTATTACTAGTAAATAGTAAAAATAGTAATACGAAAAGTAACAGAAGTATTAAATTATTATAATAATAATAATAATAAAGCACAACGAAAATAATTTAAAAATATATAAAAATATATTTAGAAATATAACCAAAACGCTGATATTTTTATTTAATATAAATTTGTTTTAAAAAATGTTTTATAAAATAAAAAAATTAATATAAAAACTTTCATCATAAATAAAGAAATATTTGAATATAAAAAAATTTTAACTATAAATATATATATATATACGCATATATTTTTTGCTGAAAGTAAAAATTCAAAAAATTAATTATGGAAAGAGAATATATTAAACATTAAAATACAAAACTTTTAAGGATAAATAAAATAAAAATAAATAAAACTTAAAAAATATATAATAATAACTAAATATAATAAACTTTTAACTAAATAAATATAAATATAAAAATAAAAAACTTTCAACTAAAATAAACATAAATATTAATAAAAACAAGTAAAAGTAAAAAATATGCAAAATACAGAAAAACTAACTTTAAATTCATAATAAATTATTTAATGGAAAAGTTAATAAGTTTAAAGCTATTCAAATGTTGATATTAATAATAATGAATAATAAGTTATTGTAATAATATTATAATATAGACTTCGAGTTCAAGCGCCGGAATAAGAGCTTTGATAGCGCACATGGGAAGTCCCAATATGCAGCAAAAAGAATGAAAATCCTCAAGCAAAAGACTTCCATACATGAAGCAATACTAATTACATTATTCTTGTTACTATTATTGTCATGATTATAACTATTTAATTATAAATTATTATTATAATAATTAAAATAACATTGACATAATAAAAACTTTTTATATAAGTATTACTTTATAAAAAAACCATTCAGATAAAACTTTACTTTCGCTTTTCACTAAAAAATCTGTAAAAAATTTAATAGTAAAAAGTTTTTTAGTATATAAAATGAAATAATTAAAGATTATATTAAAAAAAATACTACTCATAATCTACATAAAAGACGCCAACAGAGAGTTTTAAACCAATGAGAATTGGTATAAACTTTTGGCGTTAATACTCTGATTATTGGCCCATTTCAATAAAAAACTTGCACGTGCTAAAATACAAAAAAATACCGCAAGAAATAATAGTGACGCCCCACGTGTCAACGGAAAACCGAAAGACATTGTTTTTTATTGTAAACGTCGTTGTTAAATTGTCTGTCTGATATGAGAAATTCTATTGAACAGTCAGTTGTTAGTATTATTGAAGTAAAAAATATATATAAATAAAACAACCAATTGCTTTGCAGACTCCTGCATCCCAACACAAGCATAGTGGTGACTTAAAAAATTTACAAGCTTTTCAAAAAATTTAGTGAAAGAGGAAAAGTCCAGTAATACCTTAAAAAAGGGAAAAATAAATAATAATTTTTTTTTTGAATTATAGTATTGATTATAGTAAAAGTTTAAAAATAATATGTTCACTTCTTGTTCAGGCCCCAACACTTCCATCATGATGCCCTCCTTTACAAGTAATTATATTTAATAATAATAATAATAAATAATAATAAAACTTACAGTACAAGAAAGTTTGCAAAATTCTGAAAGAATATTAACTTTTTCATAAGCAGCATTGGTTGTAAAGTGCTCTTTTCTATGTATATAATAGACTTCTTATAAATATAAATATAAATAATAAGGAGAAGACGATGATGAAGAAAAATACCAGAAATTCCTATCTTGCGATTTTCCTTGTATGTAACTTTCGTCATTATTCTAATAGTGTAATAATAATATATAATAATAACAAAATAAAAGTAATATAACATATTAATAATAAAATAAGGATCATGCTTAGATAGTTACCGCTTAGCAAATATCACTATAATAGTTGATAACGAGCGAGGAAGAAAAGTAAAATTTTTTATAGTAAGCAATTGCTTTTGGAGTTTCTCAGACTATTTTTATGATTTTCATTACTTTTATGTTATTTAATAATAATAACAACAATAATAATAATTATACCAATAAAAAATGCTCAAAACCTACTGATGCGCGTTGTTGTAATAAAGTTCCCTTTTCAATAACATTAACGTAACGGAAAACTTCAGATAAACGCTTTAAAAAAGCAAAAGAAAAATGAAATACAAAATAAATGTAATAAAAGGATATAAATTAATATATAAAAGTAAAAATATGTAAATTCATATAATTAAAATTTATATATATTATATATAAATTTAATATAAAAGTAACAAAAAATTAAATATATAATAATAAGTAAATATATATATTATATATTTCATAATAGATATAAAAGTAAAAATTATAATTATATATCTATAAATATATATTATAAAAATATATAAATCTTATAAAAAATATATAAGTAAAGAATATATAAATTCATACTATAAAAGGTAAATAAATATATTTTATAACAAATATAAAAGTAAGATATTATAAATATCTAATAATAAATAATAAATATTTTAAAATTTTGTAATAAAAATATAAAATAATGATAAATATAATAAAAATACGTAAATCTAATAATAAATGTTTAAGTAAAGAATATATAGATTCATATAACTATACTAAGGAAAAAGAATAAAAATCCTCCACAGAATTTAGCAAATCGAGAATGAAAACATTCATTAGAGCCAACAAAGTGCTGTTAGTTTCAATAGACTTAATGAGGAAGCCGACTTTATCAGAAATCCACTAAAAAATTATTAAATTTTTTTAACATTAATTCATTATAATTAATGAAATTGATTATATTTAACAAAATAATAATAATAAAATTATATTAAGAAATAAAATAAAAATATATTTGACATTAAAAAACGTAAATAAAAAAATAAAAGTATAAAAAACATGAAACAAAAATAATGAAATTAAATTAACATAATAATTATTAATTAAAAAAATATAAAGATAGATAGATTGAAGAATATAATTAAGTAAATAAATCTAATAAGGTATGCACAAAAAATTTAATGATATAAAATTAAAAAATTAAATAAAAAAATTCAATAAAGTTTTAATATATTTATATAAAAAATTGAAAATAATGAAAAAAAATTAATAATACTATAACAATTAAATTTATTAATATATAACAAAGATAATAAAAAATATAATACAAAGAAAAAATAATGAATTCAGTTTAAAAAAAATACACAACATAATTTCAATAAACTATCAGAAAAAATAAAAAAAAAATAATAAGGAAAGCAAAATAAAAAATTCACTTTAATAAAGTAATTCATTAAAAATAAACAAAATATATTTAAAATATTTTAAAATATGAAATAAAAAATAAATAAAACCATAAAAACTTTTTAAGCCAACAAAAATACTTTAATATGTAACGTTGCCCAAATGTCGCATTTGATTGGACACAACCGGAACCTTATGGATAAATTTTCATAATCAAAAGAAGTAATCTGTACATAATAATAATGGTCATGTAAATTAAAAATATATTAATGATATCATAACATTATAATCCCATTCGTTAGCATCTTTTTGGTTAACAACCACGCGCTCGTTGCTGGTCAGCGCAAGACTCGTGGTTACAATAATTCTTTGCCTTTTCATACAACAAAAATTTTTATTTACTATATATTATGAATTTTTTGACTGTTATTAACCAATCATTAATGAACTGAGCGAAGGATTCCTCGCAAATAGCATCGTACTGTAAAAATATCGAATCTTCGTTGTAGCCAGGTTTTTGGGGGCCTATGATTGGTAGGTATAATTACAGTGTTTTAATTATTATAGCCAGTAAGCGCGTTTCATTGCTATGCGCGTCAATATTTATAGTGATGGTGTACTGAAAATGGTACTACAGCCATGTGCGGAGGATGAACTGTAAACAAAAACTTTATACTTTTGTCAGCGACTCTTTTCGTCGAATCAATTTTTATTATTTTTTCACAATTTTTATAATGAGGAAAACGTTTTAACGGAGTTGACACTAATTAAATATAATAGCAAAAAATAAACAAAATTTAAGCAGGTGAAAATATTTGGGGCATCTTTTTGTGAAGCAACCAAAGATTTTCATAAAAGAGGTTGTTTCAATTTATACTTTTGTATGCTATAAATGCTGTGAATTCTTTAATATTTGATTATCCAACTAACGATTTTGTCTAGTACTATAGGAAATTTTTTCCTATAAAGAACATAAATTACTTGCTTACATTCAATAAAATAACTGAACTTACACGTGCTAAATACGCTTTGATAAAAGAATGTTAATTTTATACGTTCTATTACAGATTTTAAAATATATCGAGTTTTTTAATGAATATTTAATATTTCATTGTAATAGAATTCTCGGGAAAGAATAAAATTACATTCATTAAAAATATTATAAAAACAAATACTCAACAAATTTTTCAATATATGAAACTTGCTTAATTTATTAGTAAAAAAATTAATAATAATTAAAAAACGTACAAAAAACGTCTTTTTTCAAAGACTGAAGTGCCAATAAAAAGGCTTCTTTCCACAAAATTCGCGCCTTTTATTGGATATGTATATAAAAAATTAACATAAAAATAAACTTAAACCGTTCATTATTTTTCAGTTTAAGAGCAGAAAAAAATATTACCATGTCAATACGAGAATAAAATTCAAAAAAAAAAAAACCAAAACTTCTTATTAAACAAATTCACCAGAAATGCGAATGTTCAATAAGCAAGAAAAATAAAAATATGAATAATAGCTTATTAAAAAAGTCGTTACAGTCACATATACAAAGTAAGACATTGCATTATAATAAATGAAATTTTAAAAGACCCGCAAAAACTTATTAATAACGTGATCCCCAAAAGTTTGTAAGGATATTTCCGCAAAGTTGTCAGAGGAAGTCTCCAGAAATGTTGCCGCCATTCTTGAGCGTATTTGTTGGGGGGGAGGAATAGTTTTTACTATAAAAAGCGCACGTGCATCCTAGCGGGTATATTAATGTATAAATTTTTTTAAAAAAGTTAAAAAAATAAACCAACAATAGTAATAAATAAATTGTCAATACTCAAAAAAAAAAAATGCAGAGAAAAGTTACTTTAAAACGAGATGATATTTTTTGTATAACATAACTGTAAAACAATTTTATAAATTCAATTAAAAGTAAAGAACTATTAAATAAGTTTAACGAAAGAATAAGACCCAACAAAAAGTTTTTCAAACGAAATTTATTTAAAAACTTTTCTTAAAAAAAAATAAAATTTATAAAAAGTAATATTTCATTTCTTTATAAAAATTGTTTCCTTGATATAATAAAAAATTTTAGAGTTTATATTTTTATTGAAATTTATGAATAAATATAAGAACAAAAATCAAAATATAAGTTGATATGAAAGTAAAGTTTTAACAAACACATAGTTATAATATTTTAAGCATTCATAAAAGTATATAAATTTTTTATAAAAAAATAGGTAATCACATAAAACATTAGAAAATAAATAGAAGTAATAATAATGAATATGAAAATAAGAAAAAACTAAAAGGATTATAACAAATAATATAATGTGCTAACACCGAATAAAACTTTTCTAGTAAAATAAGGAAGATTAAAAAATATAATGATCATAATAATAAAAGTGATAATAATAATAAACTTCGCTGGATTCATTAAAGCCCGAATAATCGCATAGTAATTGCAATGAAAAATGAATATTGAAGTTTTCTAGATGGTTAGAAACTTCGCTAATAATGAATTTCACTTGCGCCTGTTGAATAGCTTCAAAAACCTTCAAGTTTATATTTAAAAAACATGCAATAAAAAAAATGATATCATGAAAAAATAATATAAGTAAAACGTGAAGTGTAAGCAGATGTTTTTTATTCGCTAATACAGTTTCGTGCAGTTCACAAGAATTGGCTAAAAAGCTTGAGGGGCTCTTAATAAATAATACGACTATTAAAACAAAAAGTAATGATAGAAACCAATTATGAAAGAGTATATAAAACACTGACCAATTAAATTTTAGTTTAATATTAATTAATATTTTTTTATAAACGAAACTTTTCCCGCATGTTTCAAGCTGTCACGATAATCATTATATATATGCAACGTGAAAGATGATAAATAAAATACAGAAATTATTAGGGTTAAGAAGAAATATTAATACTAATAAAAAAGTTTATATTAAAAGTTATTAGAAAACTAATGAAAAAATTTTTCGTCAGCCAATAGCATAATTTAAAGGGATCATATATAAATATAATAATGATAATGATAATCAAACAATAAATATGAAGTCCGTCGAGGAGACAGTCAGTAAAAGCGAAGTAGGTTCAATAGGAGTTACCGTTAAAAGTTCGTACAACTATATCAAGTATTATTGGTTAAAAAATTATATAAACATAAAGATTTTAATATATGAAAAATTCATTTTTATATAATAATAATTATTATTAAAGTAAATAAAAATACTGAATACTTTATAATATATATATAAACTTTTGAGTAACTTTAGTAATATATATAAATCTTATAAATCTTATAACTTTTACTATGTGAATATTCTTATTTAATTATTATAATAATTATTAGTGAAGTATATAAAAAACAATGAAAAGTTATAAATAACTCTATGAAGAACTATAAAAATCGTATAGTTAATAATAATTTATAAACAATAACTAAAAACGATTACTATAAAAATATTCTTTTTTATGTAATAATTATTATCAAAGTATACAAAAATAGTGTAAAGCCAAAAAAACTCAAAAAAAACCTTTTAAATGCCTATAAAAATCGTATAGTTATAATTTACGACGTATTCTTTTCATATAATAATTATATTGCAGCATATAAAAATAATGAAAATTTTAGAATAATAATAAAAACTTTAAAAAATATTACAAAATATTTGAAAAAAGACATATATATATAAAAATATCAGAAACTTTTACTATTATAAATACCTTTTCATAATGATTGTTATAAGTAAATAAAAATAATGAAAACTTAAAAAAAACAAAATTATAAATAAATTTTTAAAATATATAAAAAGTCATAAATTTTATGAATCAATAATAAATATATAATAATAAGCAAAAACTTTGACTATTCTTATTGTTTTTCATAATAAATAAAAATAATGAAACCATTTTAAAACAAAAAAATGAATTATAAAAAAATTACTAAAGTATATTAAATGTAAATTTTATGATTTAATATTAATATAATAAGCAAACTTTTGCTATTATTTGAAATATTTTTTTAATATAGCAAGAATAGTAATTATAAGTAAAAAAATATAACGAAAACTTTATAAATATAGTAAAAGTTATATACAATTTATACGAATTAATAAACTAAAACCTTTATATTTGCTGATAAGTAAATGAAACCATGGAAACTTTATAAAATATATAATATTATATAAATTTTAAAGAGCTTGTGATTAATAATAAGCAAATCTTTAACTATTAATATATTTTCATAAAAATAATAATAAATATAAAAAAATGTAAACCTTAAAAATATAAAAGTTAATAATTAATTTAATTAACAATAATATACTTTTATAATTAAAAAAATATATATTCTCTTTATTTTATAATAATAATAATTATATTAGTAGATATAAATAATAAAACTTTAAAAAAAAATTATCATAAAAAAAAACTTTATTATATATAAAGGTAATGCTTTTCTTATTGTTATAATAATAAATAAATATAAATATTTTAAAAGTTATTTAAATTTTTTTACGAGCTAATAATTATTATATAGTAGCTCAAAAATTTTATAATAGATGTATTTCTTGTTATAATAATGGAACATTTTTGTTACATAAATATTATAATAATTATAATAAAAATAACAAAACTTTTACTATTAAAAATATTTTTTCCATTATAAAAAAAATATATTAAAAAATTTATAAACTTTTTATAAAATATTATAATTATTATAATACTAACTGAAAATTTTTATTAAAGATAACTTTTACTAATAAAAGTACTTCCATAATAATTAATTATTATCAAGTATATACGTTTATATAATAATAATCATAAACATTTAAGATTTTCTAATAAAAAATATTTTCAGTATTAAAAATATAAAAGTCATACTTTTTTTAACAAGTTAATAATAATAACAATTAAAAACTTTATAATTATAAATAACAAAACTCATAAATAAAATTATTACCTTAATAATAATAATAATAAAACTTCAAGTTATCAAATTTTGAATATAACAAAAATAAAAAGCTTAAAAATATTAAAATTTCTGCATTTATATATAAAATATGTTTCAATATAAATATTATCATTAATTTTATAAAAGTTAATAATGTAAATTTTTAACTTTTACAAGTAAAAGTATTATTATCTAAAAAATATCATGAAAGAAATGTAAAACATATTTTAATATGAAAAAATTATTCAAAAAAATTATAAAACTGAGAAAAAAACTTTTTAGAAAAAAATTATTATAATTGAATATAAATATACTTAAATGTTATATAACCTTTATAAACTTCTAAATATAATAATAAGCAAGTATTAAGATATTATGATTTTTATTATGTTTTTTATTATAAAAATATATATTCAAGAAAAGTACTGAACAGTTTTCATTGACACTGACAATAATTTATATTATTTTACAAAAAAATTTTTTATTAAAGTAATACCAGAGTTTTAATAAATAGTAAATCTTAAACTAATAAAAAATAAGGTATACTTTTTATGTAGAAATTATATATAATAACTATAGTTATTCATAAAAAAAATGAAAAATACTGTAAAATTTTTTATATAGAAATTATATACATATTAGTTATTCATAAAAAATATCAATAACATTTAAAGTAAAATATTTTTTTTACCAACAATTCCTCATCACGGTTGACTGTGATTTTCAAATACCTACTTTTAGACAATAGAATGAATAATTGTGAAGATTCACCAAAAGGGGCCCCAGTCTTGGTTTCCGATATGGTGGACGCCGATGGGTGTACAATAGGAAGACCTCCAATGTACAAAAAAGAAAAGGTTTTTTTAAAGTTTTAATTTTACCCAACAAAAAATTCAATTGAAAGCAAACAAAAAGTTGCAAAACCATGCAAATTAAGGAAAAGAGGTGCATATTATTTTCCTTTCTATCAATTAGACCCAACAAATTTTGCTTGTTAGAAAATTAAGATTCTCGGGATAAAAAATAATTGATCCAAGTTATTATTATTGGGTACAAAAATTGATTATAACCATTATTTCTTATAAATTTGGCCCAGTTTTATAGTTTTCCAAAGCTAGCGTAATTTTTTTTGCGATGTATAAATGATGCCCAAGAAATGTAAAAGAAAGCTAGCTAATAAAGTTGAAACAACCAAATTAAACATAAAAATACCCAATTGATTAAAAGTAACAAATTACTTCCAGTATTAATTGTTAACTTTAACTCGTTATATAATGAAAGAATTCGTTGTGTTAGTAACACGTGACTGTTGATGGTGTTTAATTAAAATTTTTATTAGAATTTCAATCGTACAAAAATTTATAAAAAGCTTAAACCAATAATAATAAATAATTATTCATTAAGATTATCATGTATACGTAAACACTTGTATATTCATAAATATTTTTAAAAAATATATAAAATATTAAAATAAAGTATATAATAATAAATTACTTTGAAAATACTGCAAGTTTAACCGGAAACAAAGTTTATAAATGCATTCTTTCATTAGTTCTGTCTTCAGTAAATTTAATGAATCCAACAAGGTGACCTTAAAAAGGCTCAAAGCTAAAAAATATTATAAATAAAAAAAAAATAGCAATAAAAGCAAAAAAAACTATACACAACTAAACAAGCTGATACAACAATAAAGCAAAAATAGGTAACTTTTGGTATAAAAATGTTGCAAAAAACACTAAATACCCAAATTTATATTGTTCAGTATTTTTGAGGAAGGCTCGGTGAGGCCGATAAATAGAGGAGTTAATGTTAGATGACCTGAAAAGGGTTGGGTGAAAAAAAATTATATAGTAAACATGAATAGAAAAAACCGCGTAAATTGTGAATATCAACTCGAAAAGGAAAAGAATTCAAAAATTCAACTTTTAGAAAACAGCCGTAGGTCTCTATTGACCAGTGATATTAATTATAAATAAATTAAAAATTAAAAAAAATTATGTTATTTTACCGCAGACCTTAGACACGTGATCTTTTTCACTAAAAGCAGCCCCGCGCAGATACAACATAATTTCATCCAGTAGACATTCGATGTATGATCTAACCAAGTGACTGAGAAGCTTATCTAGACTCACTACACAAGAAGAGGCGACACGGCCCAACTGCAAGCATAAAAAAAATTAAATAGATTTTTATTTAAAAGTAGCCAACAATATATTAGAATTTTTACATTGATATCAAAACGTTCTTCCAATGATGGAAAATGTTCAACTTTTAAGGTATGATCGTGAAGACTTACATAAATTTTAATGAAAGCTGCGATAGTAAAATCTGTTATTATAATAATAGTTATAATAAATTTGTTTACGCTTCTCTTGTTCGTTGATTGGCCTCAGGTCGAAGTGTTGAAAATTCCTACATAATAAAAAATTCATTAAATTTTTAATATTTATTTTCACTATCAGGAATTTTCTTTTTAGGAATCTGATTAAATATTTCAAAATTCCTCAACATTAATCATTGTAAACTGACCAACAATCATTAAATTAAATAAAGTAATAAATTCGTTTTTAATAATAATAATTTTGGCACAAATTCTTTAATTATTTTCAAAAAAAAAGCTTTTAATTTTTTTAATTAATCGTAATTCAAGTCAAATGCTCCCTTACCCAAAGAATAGAGCGAAAATGTTAAACCAATCAAAGTAAAAAAATCTCACCATGTTTTAAATTTAGTGTTTATTACGCCCCAAAATATTTAAAAGAGTAATTATTTTTATAAAACATAAAGACTTTCAGTTTCATCACAGAAAAAATACTAATAAAAATAATAATAACTACAAATTACGAACGACACCACGTGCTAAACTTTCCAAATTATATTACAATAGTTTTCTTAAAAATTAGGGCAAATTAGTAACGTTTTATAATACGTGAAAAAATTAATTTATAAACCATTTCATAGGATAATAAAAGTAACGCAAAAATAATCCTTGTTAACCAATAATTTTGACAAGTATACAAAACAAGAAAGTGTTTGTAGGTTAATGTACTAAACATGCTTTTCACAAGATAATTCCAACCAATTAAAATATTCCGGTAAAAAAATATAAGTCCTATAAAAATATCAGTTATACCTATAAAAATAATTTTGATTTATTATACAAGTTTTGTCCAATAAGTTCCTCTACTTTAAAAAACCAATACTTTGTTACAAAAGTAAATAAAAAAGATTCACTAAATTTTTTATAATTTCCCTTCTATTAACTTTAAGGTAACAATTTTTCATAATGAAAATATAAACATAACAAAAATGACGAACAAAAAATAATAACCACGAATCACCTCTAATAAAATTTTATCACAAAGAGTCTTTAAATACCGCCAAATTTCCTCCGATAAGAGGGAATAAAATCGTTTAAATTAATTTTATTAATTACAAAACTTTAAAACTTTATGAAAGAAATAAAAATTACGATTAAAAAATAACTGCCAATTAACTTCAAATAAATATAAAATTTTGTCCAAAAATTTACTATTTACTATCAGAAGAACAAAAAAACCCGCCAAACTTCCAAAAAAAAAAAATGTCTTAAAAGTATCGCGAAATATCCTTAAATATTGCTTTAAAAAGAAACCTTATAGCAAAAAATAAGCCACAATAATAACAGCCAATAATTTTAAATTATTTAATTATAGAATTAGTGAAAAAATTAATCTTTAAATCAATTACAAATAATAAAAACCAACATTTTTATACACTTTAATTTAAATTGTAGATATATATTGGATAAAAATATAACCGCCAAAAACGTAATCCAATGATCAGTAAAAAAAAAAAATTTAGACAGTAATGATATTTTCCAACAATATAAATTTAAATATCAATAAAACTTTTAAAAACTTTAATTTAAAAGGGAAAATTTTTTTCTATTGGATAAAAATATGACCGCCAAAAGTATATAATTCAATGATTAGAAAAAAAAACTATTATACAATAATATCGATAATTTACCGACAATATAAATTTAAATAATAATACTTATAAAAACTTTTATATAAAAGTAAATTAGTATTGGATAAAAATATAAACGCCAAAAATATAATCCAATGATTAATTAAAAAACTAATGATAGTTTTCCAACAATATATACTTGAATAATAATAAACTTTAGTACACAAAAAAAGTTTGCACAGCTTTAAAAAATAGTAAAAAATAATTATATGAATTTTTTAATAAAAACTCCGCCAAAATTACCTCCAGTAATAAATAAGAAGATGAGAATTTTTAGTGAATACGATTTTCAAAAAGGATGCCCATTTTTCACTGTTTAAAAAGTTGGCCTGAACATGCAAATAACTCAACTGAAGACTTAAAGAAAACTCGTCTAAAAATAATGAAAAGTTTGTCACCGTTGAAAAAGTTATGAATTATTTATGTTATATGCCTTATTTGTTCTTACTTTTTATATTTAATAAATATTATAGTTTTCTATATCATAAAATTTTTATGTCAATTTACTATAATAAAATAATAATAATTTTAACGTACGATATTGTATATAATAAAAAATATATACAAAAATAAAAGGTTTATATTATACACTAAAAATACTGAAAATAAAAAAATATATATATACAAAATTTTTTTATAAAATAATAAACCATAAAATTTATGCCTTAAAATTATAAAGTTGTCTTTTTTTAGTATGTAATAAACCTTTTTATAAAAAGAAAGTTTTGTTAAAATTTTGAATGCCACTCAAAAATATTAAAAGTATATAAACACATGAGATATTAAGCAAGTAAATAGTGATTACAATTTTTTTTATAAACTCTGGCATTAAAAAGTTATAATATTCAATAAATATTTTCTATTAAAACTTATAAATAAATTTCCCGAAACATCACTAAAAATAATGCAATAATTTAATCGAATTTTTTCTAATAAAATTGTGGCATAGAATATATTTATTTTATATAAATATAAAACTTATCAATTTGCTCACTAAAATTAATGCAAATTTTTATAATATACAAAAAAAAATTAGTTAAAAATATGCAAAAAAAGTAATGAAAACAAATTTTCTTCCCATAAAATTATTGCATAAAAATATTTATACTATATAAATTAAAAACTTAGTAACAAATTTCTCACTAAAACTAATGAAAAAATTTAAAAATTATATACGAAAATAATAAGTTAAAAATATGCAAAAAAAAGTAGTGAATTATAAATCTTTTTAATAAAATTTTGGTATTAATAATTTATTATATATAATAAATAATTTTTATGAAATCTTAATAATTTTCCCCAAATTTTTACTAAAAATGCAAAAAATATAAATATATATGAAGAATATAAAAGAACAAAGTTTAAGCAAGCAAGAAAAGTAATGAACCCACAAAATTTATTTGTTTTTATATTGATTATAATTACGTAATTAACAATAAAATTTCACTAAAAAATTTTACAGAAAATTAAAAAAAATGTATTGAGGAAAGTTAGCGAGAAAAATAATGAACTTGATAACTTTTTTGTTAATTTTTGGCATAAAAATTCAATAATTTTCAGGATATCATTTTTCGGAAAACTCAACGATCACTTATAAAATTTAAAAAAAAAATAATGAATTTAATAAATTTTTACGCAAGATGTATTGAATTTTAATAAAAATTAACAAAAATTCACTAAATTTTTTGGCCAATATTATAATAAAGATGAAAAATCAAACGATAAATATTAAAGTAAGCAAAAAAATAATAAAGTCAATAATTTATTATAATTATTTTTTATATTAAAATATTCACTAAAATTATACCGTAACTATAATTCAAAAGTAAAGATTAAATAAGGGATATTGAAGTATGCAATAAAAACAATGAACCCAAATTTTACATAACCTGCTAATAATAAATAAAAAAATCTAAAAGATGAAGATTAAAGTAAGCACAAATAATTATGAAGTCTAAAAAATAACTAAATCTCCTTAAATTTTAACAAATTATAAAATATTTTTAAAAATTAAAATCAAAAGAGGCGTAAAGTTTGTGAAAAAAATTTTGTTCATTAAATTTTTATGAAATTGATAAAAAAAATTTGCTGAAATATTAATAATGAAAATTAAAGCAAGCAAATTTATGAAATTTAAGTAAAATGTCTATAAATTTTCACTAAAAACTTTGCAGAAAATTAAGAAAAAAAATAACGGTAAACCCAATAACTGGCAGACTTCTACAAAAGGGTCTTCCGGCTTCGAATACAAAAATTCTTGAAGTAAAAACAAAATTTCATCTAAAAATTAGTAACAAATAATTAATCAGTCAGGTTTGATATAATTTTAATGACGTATCACTTGTTTGCGCGGACTTAAATGCGCTCGAATCCAACCAGTTATTCTCTTTTATTTATATTTTTTTTTCAGTTTTATAATGAAAAAAAGTTATCTAATAATCTACGACCATTTTCAAGCATGAATTCAATGTCTTCAGTCGGTTTTATCAAAAGTTTTAATGAAATAACCCTCCAACAAAAGTTTTTTTCTTACGAAGTAGTTGAGTTTTATATATAGTAGTATATAAAAGTTAAAAAAAAATTCGAATAAAAAAATAATAAATAAAATTTGCTATAAGCCGGCGCATATAAATTTTTTGTTATAAAAATTAATAAAAGAAATAAAATATAAATTTTTTAAAATAATAAAAAATTTTATTAATCTAATTTTTTTGTATAAAAGTAAAAATTAATTTATAATAGATAGTAAAAAGCAAAACAAAAAAAAAAGTTATTAACACAAGACAATTAAAGATATTATTGATAATTTATATATAAAATAAAAAAAAAAGAAAAGAAGTCATTATAATAAATATAAAAAGATGAAGCAAATTTAATTTATTCTTTCTATATATTCTCTAATAAAAAAATTAGAAAATGTTTAAAATGATTACAAAAAAGTAAATAATAATAAATTAAATTAGAAAAATTCATAACTATAGAAAAAATGTTTAAAAGGAAATTATAAAGTTATTAAATTAAATTAATTTAGAAAATTCAGAACTTTAAAAGAAGTAATAAGAAAGAAAGTAGAAAGTTAATAAAAAATAAACATATTCGAAAATTCATATATAATAAAGATGGAGATAATATTAAAAATGAAAAGGTTAATAAAAAATTATAATTTAGAAAGCAACTTCATAACTTTAACTTAAAATTAAGATTGAAAATAATAATTACTAATTAAAAGATTCTAATTAATAATAATAAATAGTAAACCAGGCCCAAACAAAGTTAACGCAATTTCATACAAGTTTTCTCGCTCAATATAAACACGGCCTCCCACTAATAATTAATAGTTAAAATGAATTTTTAATGATAATAAAAACAAAATATTATTGTATAACTTTCAAAAAAATATTGAAATTATTTTTTAATATAATTTTTATGAAAAAAGGTAAGCACTTATTACAAAGAACCCGCAAATATAACTTTTTCGGATTGTAATTATAAATTTAATTTTTGATTTTCATAATTGTTATCATTATTTTTTTAATTTAAGTTAAGTTATTAGTAAAAATTTTTAATTTTATTTAAAAGATTTTATTATACTTTTAATTATACTTTTGAAGAAAATTTAGATTTATTATAATTATATTTTTGTGTAGTTTTTTATTTTGTATTTTTTTTAAATTAATTGTAAGATTAATTCTATTTAATTTCATTAAGTAATAACAAAATCCAATATGAAAAGCTTAACCTTAAGTCTCTTTCTAAAAATATTTAATTTTTAGTAAAATAATTTTTTTATGAAATTAATTTAAAAAAGTGCTTTCCAAATTATAAAAAGTATTTATATAAAAAACTCACAAACAGAGATTTGGACATCTGAAGGTCTTTTAATCTCCAGTAAAAATAATCGAAGAAGAACGTTTAATTTATGTATGCACTCAAGACGATCACTTTTGGATAAAATTGGAAAAGGATCTACTCGCTATATAGTTTATAATTTTCATTAAAAAAGATATATATATCAAATTATTTTTACCATGCAAAGGGGCAACGATGAATAAGTTCCTCTGGAAAGAACATCCAAAGCTGCAGGAACAGCATAAAAAGGAGCCCTGAATAATAAAAAAAGGTTGAACATACTATAAAAAATTAATAATAAAAGAAAATTTATAAAAACCTATAGAAGCCTGTAAAAAAAATTATCGAAAAAAAAATAAAAAATATACATAGAAAACTTAATTCTGCTTGCTCATAGATACTGTGCTAAACACTTAAAATAAATAATTTCTGTACACAAATTTCTTTGGAAAAAGTTTTTAATAATAAACAAAAAGTTTTTTAAGAAAAAAAATTAAAATTATAACCTTTTTTTCCATAAATCTCTATGAAAATTAGATAAATGTTCAGCAGCCGCTTTATAAAAAAACTCTTTCTCTTCAACCGAACTTTTATTTAATTAGTAACTCTAATAAGTTTAATGTAATTACTAATAAAACCTCAATATGGAGTGACATTTTTCATATTTCTCATAATTCTTGCACCAAATGACTTAACCAAAATAAATTAAAAAATTTATTCTGAGCGATGTATAAAGTTTAATATTATTATATTGATACCCACGTTAAGAGCTCTAATAAATAAAACGCGATATTTTTCTAAGAAAATGGAAATTTCTTTTTTTTTAATCTCATCTTGCTTAGATCCAAGTCTGAAAGTCATAAAAAAAATTTTATTACAAAATAACACAGAGTTAAAAAAGTTATAGAAAGTAATTTTTGATAACAATAATTATTTTAAAGATAAAATATAATACCTACAGTGATAGTATAACTAACTATAAAGCAAACTTTTAAATATTACGTTTATTATCACAAAAGATCGAACTTATTTAAAGCGTAATACTTACGTCTCAACCAACTTCACATATTCAGAATAACATTTTTGCAAAAGTTTATTGAACACAACTGTTAAATTAATTTTTTCACTGAAGTTATAAGAATTGATTCGAGACATTAATAAGCTCAACCGCACTCATCCAAAGCGAACTAAAAAATAAAGCGACCCTAACGGAGTATATTTGTAGAAGGCTAAAGGCCTTGTGAAGTTTGTGCTTTCGAAGCCGAAGTTAATTGATAGTTCGGTATTTTAGTTCTCCTCCTTTATTATTTTATGGTTATTCTCTTATAATGCTTGTCTAAAGTTATATTTACTTTCCTTTCTTTTCCCCTTATAAATTCTTTTCTTAATTAATATCTATCCGCTATTATTCAAAAGAGTCTCTTGACTGGCATTTATTTCCTTATGTATTGGCTAGTTTCTGTTAATAACTTACTAACTTCATATTTCCTGTAATTCTAGCTTTCACTGTTTGCTTTATTTAACAAAAGGATCTTTATTCTGCATCTTATTTTTTAAAACTATACGCATAAAAATTGCAACCTTTAATTTAATAGGTTTAACATAACTACTAATAAAATATTAAATTTTGCTATATTAACAAGACGTTCACAGTTTTTTAAGTATTTCTAGCTCTAACTTAAATTAGTGAAGAATAATAATGCTATAATCACAGCTTAAGAAAACCTTTTATAAAATTTCTCGTCTCACATAGTGAGTTTAATTATACTTTCTGCGAAGTAAAAAAGTATAAATGGAGAAATACTTGATAAACCGAAGATGAAAAGATGTCAAATTTTGGCGTAAAAATTAGCGGCCTAAGTTAATAAATGATGCTATAAGTGAGAATAGTTTTTCGCACGTCCTGTGCGTGTATCTTTATTTTTGGCGGGAAGAGCGATGCAATCTTTGCTAGGCTCTGACCGTAGTAAGTAAGAACTTAGTCGTTTCATAGTCAACGCCTTGGCAACTACGCAATAATCCCGGAGTTATTGTATTAATTTAAAAGGGTTTTGGATTTCTTGTTAACAACTTTATGTTTTGAAGGGACCATTACGATAATTAACCGAAGCCTGAGACTTTAAAGATTAATAAAAAAGATTAGATTTTACCAACTTAACTCAACTATAATATCGACTATTAAACAAATTTTGCGAGGTATTATCACATGTTAAATAATTGAATAGACTTACCCAATGTCGTCGAATATGGCTTGCTAAAAAAAAAAAAGTATGCGAAACGCAACTTATAAATTACATTACAATCAATGCCGAATAAATAATATGGTAAGAAGGAGGCGCAGTAACTAACGTTAAAGAATTCTCTTTAGCCGGACGGAAAAATATTTTGGGTGCATTGAGCGATAATGCGGAAACTATTTAACCCGTTATCAATTTTAAATAAATAACAGAATTAACCTGTAATTAAAAAAATTAATAATGAGTTTTACACATCCTTTTAGTAATTCAAAAAATTGCCATATACAAACAACGATTATCTTTACATATATATGAAAAATATAGTATATCCAGTACTAAAAAAAGAGCTAAAACACATTTTCTAAAGTGGCTTGAGCGTCAGCTGCCGAGCAATACCACAGAATAGTACCACTACTACAGGAGCGCTTTTTACAACCGCAGTAGTGGGCAGTAAGCGTAGTTGAAGGCAACTCGCGGAGCCACTGACCTTGCATCGTCAAATGAAACCGCGTGGCTCTGTGCAGCGGTTTAATGTTAGTTGAAAACAACATTCGAAAGTAGGTTGCATCCTCGGCCAGCGTACAAGCATTAGGGGCAATGGTTGCTTAAAAAAAAGTTGGAGCGAACATTACCCAGCATGCAGTGCCGTCTTAACATCTGCTATAGAAAGGTTGATGAAGACATGAACGATTGCAAAAACACAATCAGTAACTTCAATGAACTCTTATGCAGACTTAGCAGGAGAGAGATTTCACCTACAACAGAAATAGCAACCCAACGGCCGTAAATCTTTTGTAAGACCTGCCCATTGCGCCATCCGCAATTTTTGCCGTGGAACTTTAACCACAAGCCCTTCTAGAAAGACGGCGCTTGGTATTGTGGCAGCATAAAGATGTACTTGTCGCGCTTTTAAGCGAGACCTGCCTAAAAGCGGTTGATTGACTGGTACTCTGCGATTATCAAAGTGTGCAGTGACAGACGCCGCAGAGTTGTAGCCATTCTCGTGGGGAGGAAACTTACCGAACCACGATTGCTCTTTATAACCTAAAGCTTAAAGACCGCGGGCAAAGCTGACCGATGTGATCCCGGTCTACCTATGGCCCCTCTCCTCCCGGTAGACCGCTAATATTAAGAAATCTCTAAAAGCTGTTAAAATGCGATGTACGCGATGTTTTTTTTAGAAAACCTCAAACGCAAAACGTGCTTCTTGGAACAACCGAATCGGAACCCGAATGGAAAAATACTATTAAGTATGCAGACCAATAAAATCTTCGCGCGTAAGCATTTTAAGATGCGCATGCTTATCGACATACCCGTTCTGAAAGGCCTCCACCTGCCGAGCAACGGGTATTCTCTGAACCGCTAACTGATAGATGTTCATACTGGCTCGTTGGTGTGTATTTTTTTGTAGTCTACCGGAATATCTAATGTACCTTATTAGTCATAGCCGCCGGATGATACACTTGGCAGCTGCTACGCAAAGCACTAACGACAAAGAGCTGATACCCATCTTCACTATCATATAGACAAAAGCTAACTTATTTCGCAACTTTCTTCGGGAGGTAGTGCAACACGTTCTGAAGCGGCCGTTTGAAGGTTGGACCTCTTTACCAGTGTTTTGTTAAGTAAACCAAAACCGGTGCCACGCTCCACAACTCGATATTAAGGGTTGAAAGCAACAAGATTAAGGGTCACTTCCAGCATAAATCCACACATTGCACTTTCTGTCAACGTTGAGCACATCGAAAACAGTGTAGGAAGCAGAGAAGATTAAAATATACTTATAACAAGCACGCAAGAGTACTCCAAAGCAAGAGAATTCGAATAAATCACAAAAATGTATCAAGGAAGGACAACATTTTAAGCATCCCGCCTACTCACATATAAACTTTTAAGCTTTTCCGTCTAAACATGCATTTATCGCCTTCTCAAAGTGTCTGTTGTCTGTTCGGTCAATTATTTGAACACATTTTTTTTTATTAGTTGAATAGATGGACGTGGACATATCAGTCATAAGTAGCCCAATGAACAGACACTCTGGTATAAGAAGGGAGATAAATTATGGTCTTTATCTGCTTAAAACCACTATCACCATCTAAAAACTTCAAAGCTAAACGAAGAACACTGAGAAACAAGACAGTTTCTTCAGAAAATTTCAAATGTAGTCACGCCTACTTTAAACATTTAGAACACATTATCCTAAAACTACAGCCGTTAAATAAAAAGGAAGAACGTGGCATGTACTTCACCATGAAGAAACCTAAAGAACTGCACTTAGAACGAAGGAATGGCGTCACAAAAAATAGTTATGCTTACTTATTACACCCTGAAAACTATTATGTAGGACAATACGCCCTCAAAATATTTTTTCTTATATTTTTTCTTATTACATTAGTTTAAAAATCTCACTAACATGGCTGGTGAAAATGACGGAATTACAGTGACGTTTATTTATAAAGTATAAATACAGAGCAAAAAACCCAATTCATTAAAATCTGGTTAAAGTCAAAAAACCAAATAGTTTCTTTATAGTTTAATGAAAACAGTATTGACTTATAAAGGGTAAGTTCTAAGTTGGGGACCCACCTCTCAGCTCTTTGCTCATTCTTTTTGATATACCCCCGTTAATTATAAAAAAGTATATTAGTATAATTAAATAATTTAAAAAAAATTTAAGGTCAGTATTACAATTTTGGGTTTTACTAATTATCTATATTTAACCCTCTGGCGTAGTTAAATGTTACTAATCGACATTTTCTATGACAAAAAGGTTTTCAAATTCTTTTTTTGCTTAATAGTTTATTGTGTTCTAGAAACAAAATTTATTAATAAAAAACTACTGAGTTTTACAGTTATCTTTTACAACCACCTCCAGAAGCTTTTACTGTATAACCTAGCGGGCTTTGTACTTTACTCGTGCTTTCTCAATATTCTCTGTATGCTACGCTTGTGTTGTAACTTTTTAAGTTCAATTGTAAAATGACTATGAAATATAGCCGAACGTGCTTTAATAAACTTTAATGCCTCAAAAAGATATAACTTGTTTGAATTAATATTTAAGTACAGAAGCATAAAGCAATTACCCACATATTCATTTGTTTGCCTCTAACATGTGCGCCTTTTTTACGAGCATATATGTTATACTAGCACCTAAAAAGAGAGTTATCATCTTTTAGCCATACGCGAAGATGGATAGATTCTATCTTAAGAGTTTTTGATATGCGAAGAACACAGTTTCAGATAAAATTTTATACATACTTGGCCGAATAAATCTATTTAAAAGTTCGTCAATTTGAAATTGTTAGATCGATCGAGCGCCAGGAAAACGCCATTTATTAATAAACAAAAGAAAAATATTGTTCGGTTTACTCCCTTTTTCTACCCTGCCATCCTGTTTCCATTAATCATTTTGTTTACTATCATTTTTTATTTTACTTTTACTTGGCTTTTTAAAGATAAACTATCAGAGAAGTAACATACTTTCAGCGATAGTTAATAAGTAAAGCTTATTTTAACTTTTTGCTTCGAGACATTTTATATAAATAAGAATAAGCTTTTCATATCCATTTTAAAAGATGGTGGGAAACATAGGTGCTTAATTTTCTCGTATTTTAAGCTTCAAAAGAATTTTTTTAATATAATAATTAACTAAAGTTCTATTACTTAGCATTTCAAAGCCTTTTATTGTCATTATATTAGTGTATTATATTAGTAATATTTTATTAAGCGATTTTATAGAGGTGTAATATAAGTATTTTATACATTTAACCGCACATATTTCCTAAATACTCTTTTAACAATAATGAGGTACAGAGTCCCCTTGATATAAGCTAATTATAGCCGGAATTATAATTATAAAAGTATTTGAGAAACGTACTAGCAGGGATAATCAATATGAATTCTGGTTAAAAGGTAAGGGGTAAAGTCAAGTCACACGCACACCTTATAAGAGAGCTTTAAAAATGTTCAGAGATAATAGGAAAAGTATCTTTATAAAGTAACGGTCTTATTGCTGTAGAACTATTATAATAACCTAACGTACGCCAAAGCTATTTGAAAAAACAAACGAACAAATGAGATCCCTACATCGATGGCGCAGATCCTATATTTTTCGCTTCGATCACCTTCCCAAAACTTAAATCTTCACAGTTATAAGCCAAGATTAAATTGTCGGAAGCTCAGAGTTTGCGAAAATATCATTGTTTTTAAAAAAATCGATTTAATTATTTATTTCCTTGTTTTACTTAACAAAAAATAATCACTGTTTCATAATGATAAGTATGTAATCGCCATCATTATAATAAACATTATGTTAAGGTAAGGCTCCAAATTTTTAAAGCTTAGCTAAGACAATAAAATAAGGAACAAAAGATTTTAATAAAGAAGCAAAATAATCAAAGAAATAACGAACCGTGCCTATTATTGTTAATTACAACTTAAATTATAGTCTTTGACGCACAAAAACTTTTGGGTAAGAAAGCGATATAACTCACCTGTTAATTCGTAATCTTTGCTAATCCTCCTTTCGACCTCGTTACTCTTCAAAAACTCATATTAAAAAGTCACGTGTTTTCTAGTTAATGAGCTGTGCAATCAGAGTTTATCTTAAGGAACAAAAACTTTTTGTATCGTTCTGGTTTGAACACGTTTTTTTTTATTAATGGGGAAGTCTAAGAAGAAAGCAAAGGGGACTACCGTACAATTAAGCGAGTTTATCTCTAACCAATTTAGTTGGGCTGAGCAATTTGATGACTTACCTACCGAACGTATATATTTAATATTGTCAGACTTCTTTACTTTGAAGTTATAGTTTCGTAATAAAGTTGAGGATAGTTATAAAATGATTTTTGTGGTGTACACTTATAGCACTAAATTAAAGTGTATAAATCTTACAAACTTTAATTCCTTGCGTGGAGTATTTAGTTTTTAATAACTTTTTAGTTATAAAAAAAACTTATATTTACTATTATACATTTTTTTAAATTTTTTAAGCGCAAGGAGACCTTTATGAGGACCACTCAGCCGTTGAAGGAAATAAGTGGCAACCTAAAGAACGATATAATGAAGCAAGTTGTAACCTCATATATTTTTTTAACATTTTTTATTTCTTTAACCTCATTCTTCCTTGGTTTAGGTTTCCGGGCTACAAAAAGATTAGACGAAGCTCTCAATCAAGTTGAATTACCGACGAAGCCTCCTTATAAAGCCTTTATTGGAGGGCTCCCCAGTGAAACCGCTGAAAGAGATATTCGTCATTTCTTCGTTGACTGTAAAGTATGTATTCGCAAGAATCTTATTTAGATTATGAACAAGATTCACTAGATCGTTAATTTCAACCACGTCTGTACGCACGATGGAATTTCTAAAGGTTATGGCTTTGTGGAGTTTGAAGACTTAATCTCTTTAAAAACAGCTCTTGGAAAATCTGATAGTGTTACAATATATTTATAATTTTATCAGACGAATTTTTAGTTTTTTTATGAAAGGAATTAAATGGTAAGCTGGTAAGGGTTAGTCTTGCTACTGGCTCTTCGAGAGAATCGCCACAGAGCAGAGTAGATGTGGGATGGGTTAGAAGTACATCCCGGAATCTTTCCTCCAACGACAGTGTGGAAAGTGAGGCTAATAGCTGTTCTACAGCGCTTGTAATGAAGTTAAAATTAGACATAGGCGGTTATGGGAATCGCGGGAGATATGACCAACGAGGATTTCAAGATAGATTTAGAGGTTTTGCATTTCATTGCGGCAAAGAAAATTGACCGACCGCTACTTTCGTGAGTGCAGGACAGACGTACGGAAGTCGACAACAGCCTTCGAGGGCATACCCCGAAATCGAAATTCCTAAAGTTATAGGCTCAAAGAGCACTAGTGAAGGTTTTTCTATATTGATTTCGACAAGTTTATTTTGACTCACCTAATTTTTTTCTTAGGGAAGGAAAATCCTTTTGGAGAGGCCAAACCAGTGGATTCACAAGAAAGCGTTGAAATTAATAGCGAAAAAGCTGTTTCATTCTCCCCAGAAAAAAGTTTTACTCGCGGAGGTATTATAGTTACCCAATTTATAAAATATTAAGCTTATTACGATATAAGTACTGCCCAGCGATGCACAGAGCATTGCTTTTCCTAAAGTGCTCGGCTCCAAAAAAAATACAACAGGCACTTACCCTTTTTATTATTATTAAACCGCCACCAAATTTAAGTATAATAGAGAAAGAGAATCCGTTTGGAAGTGCCAAGCCTGTGGATATACTGGACACAACACAAAGATCTCACGCAATTCCAAAAGTTATAGGCATGAAAAGTTCTACACGTAAGAAAGCAACTTTTTATGACATAAACTACGTTTTAGTGTTCTATTGATATAGAAAAAATAAGCCCTTTTGGTGAAGCCAAGCCAGTGGACTTGCAACATCCAAAGATGGCAAAAGAAGGTTGAAGGTGTGGAAAATAAGATAATTTATAAATTATTTTAATAGCACTTGTTTAGTTATGCTTTGAGCATATTTTATTAATAACACGACCAGAAGTTAACAGAGCAACACGCCACCGGCTACTACCATCCGTCCAAAAAATCTCTTTCTTTGGCGCTACTTCCGCCGAAGCGAGGGCGATAGTCGTAGCCACGTCTATTATTATGGCGGGTGCTATTATCCTGCCTTTGGGGTCTTTGGTAGCTCCAGTTCTTAGTAGAACGCTCTTATGGTAGAAAAGCAAGTAAAAATCCAAAAAAAAAATTACAGGCATTCAAGAAACCATCTCTTTGCTGTCCAAATCTTTTTCTAGAAGGAACCAAGTTCGTGGGGAAATTAAGTACTTCCGGTAAGTCGCCCGTCACCAACGCCACTTCCTGCTGCTCAGCGTCAAAGGCCGCCTTCACGTCCGCCTCTTGACTTACTGGCAAGTCAAACACAACGCCCCCTTTGGTGGTTCGGTAGAGCTCTTTAAGTATTAATGATAAGGCGCTATGAAGAAACAATCGGTCGTTGAAAAAAAGAGTCTGCTTTACCTGTGAACATGCCGTGCTTCCTGAGAACTTGAAAGCAACCGTCGTGATTTACGGGCGTCTGCCACGTTTGCCAGCCTTCCTTGCCAGTCAGAGCGGACATACAGCGGGCATCAGGGTTGGCTTGGAGACTTAGAGCATACAGCATAGCTACTGCCTGTAGCAAGAAAAGTCGCGCAGACCGTTTTAAGCTGGTAGGCATAAACTTAAAGGGTACCTGCTGAGCCTCGTACTTTTTTAAAAGCTCTGAAGCGTGCTCTAGTAAATTTTTATAGGCAGTCGTGCTAAGCGCGCCCAGCTTTTTGTTTACAGTGTTGACTGTGCTCTAATAAAATAAAAAACTTTGTACAAAACAAAAGAATAGGCCAATGCTATAATAAACCTCTAAAGCAGCAGTTGAGCACGGAAGGGCGATAATAGATATTTTTTGCTTGATATGTTCTTCAATCCTGCGTATGTCGTTAACATCTTCAAACAAAGTAACGCAAAGCCCTACCAATTCATAACATAAAGCAGTTAAAATATAAAAATAACATAAAGAAAACCCTTTTTTCCAGCCCGACCAGCCCGACCTGAGCGGTGCACGTAAGTTTCGTCATCTCTAGGCGGACCCACCTGCAAGACTAAATCGATATCCGGTACATCAATGCCTCGTGCTGCCACGTCGGTAGCGACCTAAATAGCGTAGCTCTATAAATATTTAAACGCATTTAAAAAAATTGTAGAGCCACCAAACACGTGAGATGCCCTTCTTTGAATCGCCTAAGCCGTGTCTCACGAGTGGCCTGCGAGACATCGCCGTGGAGTGCCGCCGCATTGGGCAACTTCATAGCTAAATTGCTCGCTTCTACTCTAGTTTCTAAGTAAAAACCACCAATAATCATTGAAGACGGACGCAACTGACAAGCTAAAAAAACTAACCAGTAAAAACGATAACCCTGGAAGCGCCTAAAAACTTAATAAGGCGTTGAATAGCTAATGGGTAGAGATCCGGCTGGCAAACGAGGGCCTTATGGACAAGCGTCTCTGAAGTCTGGGGATCGGCATCTCCGACAAGATCCACAAGGGCGTAATCTTTATCCATGAATCTTTAACAGTAACGAAGATATTCATCAGCTACTGAAGATCAAATAAACTTTTAAGGAAAAAGACCTGCCAACGGTACTTCGGACCCAAGACGGGATCGTCGCAGAGAAAAGAGAGATTTGCACAGAAGGGTTAACTTCCTTGACAGTTTGAATAATTAGATTAAGATCTTTTTCAAAACCGATATCTAGCATGCGATCCGCTTCGTCTAGCACAAAATATTTGATGTTTTTAAAATTCAAACAACTGAATGCAATAAGAACGGATCAGGAAAAAGTATAGTAAAAGAAAAAAAAGCAAGTTATTACTCTTTATTCATTAGATCGCAGAGTCTGCCAGGCGTAGCAACAATAAAATGAGGGCTTCGCTTTAGCTGGTTTAATTGATTCGTGTAGGAAACACCTCCGTATAAGCAGGAAATTCGAAGGTTGGGATCAATTTTAGAAAACTCTTTAGAAATCTTTGAAAGAAATACTATTAATACAAAGCAAAATGTTCTACATTTACAGTCTACCTGGAGAGCGAGTTCACGGGTAGGTGAAAGGATTAAGGCAATAGGCGTCGAGGCGGCTCTAAAGCCATCAGATTTAAGTCTCTCGACCTAAAAATAGAATAACTGCACTTAAAAACTGTAAAAATATGAAGTTAAAATAAACAAAACCATTGGTAAAGCAAAGGAAAGCGTTTTCCCCGTACCCGTCCTTGCTCTAGCAATGACATCTTTAAAATTGTAAATATAATCATAGCAAGCGGACTGAATGGGAAAGAGGCGCTCAATTCCGTTTTTGCGTAGTACTATTTTTATAAAGAAATAAGACCCTCAAAGCTTTTGGAAAAAAATACAAAAAAACCTTCACAAGTCTCTTTAGAGATATTAAAATTATTAAAATCACTTTTTTCTTCAAAATCGGTAAAAGCTTCAAGAAGTTTGTCAAAAAAATTACTTTTAGAAATATGGAGGTAAAACCTGCTGGATTTGAACTTTCTTTCCTTAAACTACTCTTTAATAACGGATTTATAGGAAAACGCTCTGAAGCTCTCCAATTCACGAAACTCACCCGAGAGGCAAAACGGAAAATACCCATCTTCAGCGATAACTGTAGTGTACTCGAGGCAAGGTAAGAGTAGGGTTATATTCCCGTGGTTCACGTGTTATTGGTTTTACAAAAGATCATCATTAGTTGTAACCCCGCCTCCCTCTCGAGAATGCCTAATTTTATAACTTGTCTGGCCTGTTAATGCGTTTTCAAGAAATAATATTAACAGTTTCTAGTGTTTATATAAGTACTCACTCTGTGTTTTGAATAAAAATTTTAAACAGCTTATGTTCTAAGCAAGAAAATAGAAAAAAAAATTGCCCTTTAATTGATCAAGCTAACAGCTCAACGTTAACATATATTCCCATTAAACACAAATATTTTTTTTTGCTTGAAAAACACAGTAACAAGAAACATTTTAAAATTCAATGCACTACACAAATGCGAATATATATTTATATAATTTTAGACAAAAAAAATTAACAAAAGCACACCTACCAAACATAGAAAAATAAGCAAAAGTATTTACATATATCTAATAAGTAAAAATCAAAAAACAGTTGTAACAGAAAATAAGCACATGGCTCCGTCTTCGCTATAAGGTAATCCGTTATAAACCAATTAGCAACCAGAAGACTAAATAAATAACTAAAAATTTAAAAAAGTAGCCCAAATAAGGAAAATTCAACTCTTATGCTATTTTTGGCAACGTTTATACATATATGGAAATGTTATAAACCTTTAGTAGAGGTATAAAGGCAGACGGATTAGAAAAAAGCTGTATACATTTGATTCTTTTAAAGTTTTATCTAGCAGATTATATAGTTCTTTTTGGACTTTTTCACCATTATTTCTAGATTTTAGCCTTTGGGTTCAACTGTCGTGCTCTAGCATAAGAAAGATTTGCTTGTTATTTAATAAAATAAAATGGGCTCCTCTCTTCTGAAAGTCGACTTAAAAGGACAAATGCTTATTTATTTAACTGCTATTGAGAATCTTCGTAAATAACTGAAGGCTGTGAATTGAAGTAACAAGATTTGAAAAAACATCTCTTATAATAATGCTAATCCTTACTCTACTCTCCAAATATTTAACGAGCCTTGGAAAGAAGAAGTAGAGGAGAACGAAGGAAATACTTATGATAAAAGGCACTAAAAAGAATTATAACGACAATAATAACAACAAAATTAATAATAATAATAATTCAGAAAACAAAGTAAATAGTAGTATTAGTTAGGGGTAATAATACTTTTGCGAATAACCCTGTATTAACCTTAATAGTAATATTATTAGTAATATCACTAAAAACTCTACTTAAAATAATAGTAACAAACAGATATGCCTTATAGAGAGCAGGAATAGCTCTGAGTTAGAGATGGGCAATACTTCTCCCAGTAGCTGCGCCTCCTTTTAGGCGAAGTAATAAGATCACGCCTGTGATCCTTTGCGAAAACCAAAAGTGAAGCCATTTTGTAAAACTTTTTCTAGTCAACGGCACCAACAACATTCCGAAGCTTAGAGATACCCGTCAAGGCATTAAAATATTTTCAGCAAGGGCAGACGAGTATCGAATCATCATTAAGCTTATGCGTGAGGAAGCGCTACCTTATTTCACCTACCAACTGCCAGAGGAC